AGCAAGTAAAAAGGTAAAAAAAAAAAAAAAAAAAAAAAAAAAAAAAGGCAAGAAAAAGCCTGGAAATGGGCAACAATAGCAGTCGACCTCAGAGAGGAGAAGTGAAGAAGAAAAGCTAAGCCAAAAACATTATTGTATTTAACTGGGAAGGAAAGGAATGCCACAGGTCTGGTCAGGGGGAACACAAGCTTAAGAGGAAGCAATGTGWGGTGCCAGGGAATAAAAAGCATCTGCAAGGGTCAGAGGAAAAAGGGAAGGGGAGGAGAAAGAAGAAGGAAAATATAAAATATGAGAGAGTCTGTTTTGGYGAAGCATCTAAACATTTCAGTGCTTATCTGAGTGGCTTTCTGAACTTCTGTGTAATGTTCCCTTCTATAGCACCTCTCTCTAATGTTTCAAAGGGGAGAGGAGCAGACTCCTCCTGAAAGCAATTTGCAATCCTCCTACTCTGGAACTACATAGTTTTTAAAAATGCTAAGACACATAATTTGCCAGTCAGGATTCTTCAAGCTCTCCCAACACAAGAGTTCACAGACCATCCAAGAGTTTTGTTTTAGACAGCTCTTTTTTTACTTTTTTCTTTTTCTTTTTTTTTCTCTCCAGAGTGACACCAAATACAACGTTTATAGAAAAAATGTCTCTTCTTATGAAAAATCACATCTATACGGTTTAGTACTGTGGTAAGGGCAACTCACTCATTCCAGGCTCAGTCAGATAGCTGTAGCGCTTACGTAAAGCAAGGGAGACGAAGTTCTGGCGCCGGTCAGCCTTGTCCGTCTGCAACAAAACACAGCAGGGTTTAGGGCCTTTGGAGCCCCTGCCCCCATGGGAACAGAGCAGCGCTCAAACCTCAGCAGGACAGGATGCTTTTCGTGGCACACGACCCCACGGGGAGAAGGGACGCTTCCATTCAGCTTCAGGATGGCATGCTGAAGCTGAATYTGGGCAGGCAGGCAGGCAGGGAGGGGCAGAGGTGATGTCTGCTCCGGTGTGCTGTGGGATGGGTGGCGGGCAGGGAGCGTGGCTGCACAGAGACCTGCTGTGAGTGACCCCCTTCCAGAGCAGGCAGGGAAGGGCTGCAATGCTACCAGTGAGCCCTCAGCTTCATTCCTCTGCTTAGGAGGTAGAAGAGCTCAGGTAGCAGAAGCAGCTCATTACCCTGCCTTGAAGTATCTCTGTATTACCCCATTATCACTGAACAAACTGCTTCACACTACTAGAAATGGTGTGACAGTGCTCGTTCTCTGTAAAACAAACCACCTTTGGCTAGAAACACAAAACACTACAGGTACAGACAGAAAACATTCAGAAGAGTGCAACTTAGACTGATCGAGTGCTTCACCCCAGATTAGTTTGTCCCGAAAGCACATACATCACAATGTACACTGGCTTTAAAGTGAATACATTAAGGACAAAAAAAGGCATGGGAGGGGATTTTTTAATATGCACAAAATGCAAAGATGTGGATTAGAAAGCAGACTGCTCTTATTAACTAATAAATTGTAAGTCGCTGCATTCAGTGGCAAAGCTGCAAGTGCGGTGCCTTAAATATTAACAGTCCTTCAGTGATCAACTCACTCAAATGTGTGGCTAAAAATACAGTTTGTTTAGAAAGAGAATTATTGTTATAGCTATAAAATAGCTCACWGGGAACAAATTCTGTGGAGATAGAGTGATGCTTTTGCTATTATTATTTTTTAACGTTTTTAAGGAACATTTTGGTTTGAGTTGTTTGGCTTTTTTTAGCTATTCTAACCAGCAGGTGACAACTGCTATTTATTTGCCACCAGGAATAGAAAAAAAAATTCGCTGCTAGGTAGATTGGAAACACCGATGCAGTTTCTTTTATAAGATGATCTCATCTATAACTGCCTCTACTGAGCAAAACCCACTCAAGTTTCTGACAATCTAATGTTGCAGTTTCAACGAAATGCTGGATTTTCAAGCTGCAAATATCTGAGGTTTATTTGAAAATAGATTTGAGCATAGTATTTAGAAATTGCTCTTGGCTGGTTTACTTTTTTGAAAGAATCCAGTTTATTTACASAGGTAAGATATTAAAGGCCCCTATTGTGGCCTCAGCAGTACTTTTTTCCTTCTCAGAAACACAAGTTACCACAGCAGCGTCAGTGTTACTCCAAGAGGTAAAATGTTATCCACTAAACTCTTCTTTGATTTTGCCAAAATTTGACTTGGTCTGATATTTATAAATATATTCTYTTTCAGAAGAAAATTAGTTAATTTTAGACTGCTTTTATTCAATGCTTGGTTTAATTTCATAATATATAATCATGKTTTTTTCCACATTTGTGCACTTCTACTGTTTTACAACAGACTATCAGAAGTCAAGAATATTTTCCTGTAGGTATCATTTCAACACCACAGTTCAAAATAGCTGTTTTTTTCTATAACATACTACTTTTCTTCACTAAATCTGAAGGAAATAAAAACAGAAGACAGTGTTTATATTACCTCATCATCTTGATCTGACTCTGTTTCCTTTTGGTCCCAAGATGCATTGCAGAGACAAGGAATATTATAATGGACAGCAGGGAAAAGAATATCAGGATATGAAAAGGACCAAATTGGGAGCACAAAATGCAAGCTGATTTATAAGGCAAAGCAAATCCAAAATGTCAACACAAAAGAAAAAAAAATAAAAATCTTACATCCAATGCAAATAAACACATGACATTACTGAAAGCATAAACCTATGAATTGCAGGCTGAAGCATGAGCTGTAAACAGAATTGTAAAAATTATAGGAACTTGACACCACAGTAACAAGAGACTTTAAAAGCGTTCTAYGTACAAGAAACCAATCAAACATACATTTTAAAAGCCTTTATCATATTCCAAAGCATTCTCATTACTGACAATTCACAGGGKTTCTCTATGACTAGCAGGAAAGGAAAAAGAAAAAAGACAAAAACTGAAGGAAAAAAAAAATCCAACCCAACTCCAAGGAAAATATTTCTATTTCCTAACAAATACCTTTTTGTGTGCTGGCAGAGTGATATTCAAGTTGCAAACAGCTGTTTGTGGCAGTCCTTTTGTAGTCTTTGGTTCTTTCAAAAATGATAATCGACCACAGGGTTCCTGGCTGGTGTCTCTTACCTGGAAGAGGAATTTTGCCACACTGTAGGAATATGCAGTAATTCAGAGAACTAGAGGASTTTCAGGAATGTTTCTCAGAATTTCTTTCTACAAGGAGCTTTCTGGTGTGTAAAGACCAATAATACCAAGCTGGAGCTCAGCCTGAGGTGCTGAGGGAGAAAGGTGTTCCTGTGAAAGGGTTAGATCAGCCTGAAGCTCCCTGATGGCAAATCCTTGCAAGACAAGGTGCCTGAGAGGTTGATACTGGGATGTTACTGACAGGCACTGTCTGCTCACCTTCATTTTATTCTGTGTTTACCAAAATGCTTAACAACCTCCTCAGCACAGCAGCTGTGACAAGGCTTAGGAAAATGAGCATCCCTTCCTGGCAATTTACAGATGAACAGTCTGCACACACCTCCTAAAGGCTGCTCTGTACTACAGGGTATTATTGAAAGCATCTGCTTTGCTTCATCCCTCAGAATTTGTGCTCTATTGGTAACATGTTGGGGCTTCAATTTGAAATACGGTTTTAGTAGAAAATTGTGAACCTACATCATGGGTATTCTGCTCCCAGACCTGCCAGCAATCCTGCTGTGGCTTCAGGCAAAGCATCCTCTCCATGTTATTAATGCATTAAAAACCTACACTTACATCCCAGGGGCAGGTTAGTCCTGTAGGGCTGAAAAAAGGCAGAGGGAGTGTGGGAAGGGAGGAAACCAGCAGGATCATTCAGTTTGTTTTCCTTTTACCTTGATAGAGAATGGCAGTCTATTTTCTTTGAAAGCATAAAAATTAAAAACAAGCTGCTGCCCTCCTTTAGTCAAAGGAGCCAGATTTCCATAGCAATCAACATAAATTGGTTTTCCTTCCAGAACCTATTGAAGCAAGAAACAAAAGTCAGTGAGAYCTCGTGTAATGGCAGATTTATGTACATAATTGTATTATGATTTACCTTGACATCATTCTTGAGTTTAATATGAATCCCCACTCAGATTGTGTTCAAAAACAAGTTGGAATATCCCTGTGAGTTATGGCAAGGTATCATGAGTGCAGGCAGTTTGGAAAATCATGAGCCACCTGACTGGCTGCTCTAGAGTAAAAGTGGTAGATTTATTCTGGAAACACTAAGCTGGTGACTTCACCACAAGCCAGTCCTACTCATGACCGTGTGTCTACAGGGCCAACGAGAAGGAATTCCAGCTCTGCACAGCCCAGCCAGGGCTAATGGAGAGCAGTGAGGGCAAACCCCTCTGGGGCATCCAGAGAACTCCTCATGCTCCTTCAGTCTTGCCCGATTTTGTCCTTTTTTTGAGATGTTTTATGACAGCTTGGCTGCGAACCTTTGTTCAACAGGGCTTACTGTGGCTTTTGGAAAGCACACTGCCCTGTGCAAGGAGGAAGATAGCTGCAAGAAATGTACCTCAATGTCTTTGCTTCTGGCCACTTCCTCAAAGTTCTCTTGTTGCTCCAAAGTTTTGTCCACTTTGTCGTCAGTCATGCAGAAGCAGCGTAAATTGGATTCCACGGGGTCATTCATTTTGGCAAATATCACGAATTTTGCCATGTAAGGAACACATATTAATTCTCTATAAAGCTGTGTTGCCAGCCCAACAGTCTCTAGTACTTGGTGGCAATCYGCGAGCCAAAATCTGAGTGGGAAAAAGTAAACCATTAAATCAGCTTTTCATTACGCTCTAAAATTACTTAAGCTTTTAAAGATCAACTATGTCCTSTATCCTTGGTCATTGTGCMTGTGTCCTGWYCTTGCAGAAYTGCCAGAGTTTACTTTTTCTTCTAYTCTCAGTACAGGTTTAATCACCCAGAWATGSGAATACCTGTCAATGAAATKCTSACATACTTATCTGAKCCTTTTCACACTGGTATCTCATCAAACTGTTTATTTGAAGGCTCATTTGAAACCAAAGTGGGAAATTTAATTTCTTGTGACCACACACAGTGTATACTGTAAAGTGCTGCTGCTTCACTATACATTTGATTTGCTAAAACAAATACCTTTGTAACACTCACGCAGCAAAATCACATCTCCCACTCACACTGAACCAAATAATATGCCCACGGTGAAGTTTCCCAGAGACAGGTGTTACATTGTCATTTTTCTCACTTTATGATTAGGAGTTTGAAGCAAAGTGTGGTACAAATTATAAATATTTTTAATTTCAGTCTTTCAGCYCGATCTATTTGGCTCTTTTAGCAATGCTCTCTCTATAAAGGTTTTATAGTTGCAAATGTTATTTACTGAATGATAAAMTGTCTACCTCCTATACCATGAATTTTCTCTACTAGCATGTGGGATTCCTACAGATCCTGTTCAATGCCTCCAATCAGCAGGTAAGTCCATGAAGTCCATCATGATTAATTTCAAATCAAAGTTTTTTTGGCAAATGACGTTTTAGGGAAAACAATTTCATATAATTCCCAACTGAAAAGCAGAAATTAAGTGCTTTCAAATTTTTAAACTAACACATTTTTATCAATCTCTCCATTTTTTTTTCTTAACAGAATGAACATTTTAAGCTTTCCCTTTCTGTCGCCATTTACAAAAGAACCAAGCCTCTGCTTCATCAGTGCCTCATCAGCCCTGCGAGGGGCTTCCAGAAAAACACAGCCCCACAGCCAAGCAGTGCTCCTGAAGGGAAGCCACTCTGGAGGAGTGTGGGCAGGGTCTGCTCCCATACCTGGCTGAAACGTTGGTGGTGAAGGAGACGCAGTCGTTGGAAAACGTCAGCGGAGTGGTGCCCGTGATATCYTCCCACTGCGCAGGCGAAGTGCCTCCTGTGCAAACACAAACAGGGCGTGTTTCCTTTCAAACACTGAGCACACACAGACTGCATGGAGAAYATCTCCATCTCCACATGTAAAAGGAGAGCCTAGACCTTAATGCTATCCAACTGCAGAGCTGTGTTACACATGGCATCACATGTCMCACAACAAAAAAACAACGATGTAGGCAAAGAACATGTCAACAGCAACTCCACCTTGATATCAGGGACAGAATTACTCCTGATAAACTACTTTTACTGACAAGCACGTTTAATAGCCAAGACTGAAATTTTTCATACTGGCTAAATATGGAAGTGTTTAATCAATGGTGAAAAAGAGAAAGCTCTTTTACCATGGCATGGGACCAGTGGGAGCCTTGGAAATCACCTGAACCCCCCTGGCCCAGCACACCAAGGTTCCCTTCCAGGGAAGGCAGGAGTTGTGAGAGTAAGCACAGAGCCTCTGCTGCCACAGACACCTTTGCAAAGAACAGGATTTTCTCTGACCTGTGATGCTACATAGGAGTCGAAGGCTGGGAGTGGTGTCTCCTTTGTACCCATTGGTTACTCCTTCTCCTGATGGAGGTGGCACAGGAATTGTCATGGTTATTGGCTTATGGAATTTTCTTCTTCTTGGCTCCACAGTGACAATGGGACTGAACGTTGCTTTGTTTCCGAGGATTTTTTTGACAATCTCTTCTGGGACTGGTTGAGCCTGTCAACACAGGGAACATACTTAAACTAGAGCTACAAACTGTTTATAGACATGCAGAATTATTTTCTAAATGATAATTCTATTTTCTTTATATTTTTATGCAGAATTTTTTTTAATTCATCTAGGAAGCCTTCTCCTACAACTCGGGTGATTATTAGTGCAATTCATTTTCAGTTTTTATTCAACAACCTACTTCTGATTTCCTAATAGCTAACTTGTAGAGCCAAACTATAAATCTCAGAATACTACTCCCTGTAGTATTTTCTGGGAGTTTTTCAGAGCATATTTGGGTTTGTTCTCAATTTACAGTGATGAGTGACATTATGTACAATTTCAAAATGCAAAAAGAGGCCTATTTTGCACTTGAGAAGTGAGGAGTAGACACTGTCTGCMAGGGGTGATGGACAATTCTTCCATCTCTGCCAAACATTAATTTATGCACTTGAAGAACACTGCACTCTGTGCTTCCTGTGATTATTAGGAAAAAAAAAATACTTGTTTGGGTCAAAATCATGAAGAACAGATGAAGTTACATCAGATTTTGAGGTAAATTTCACATTTTCTTCAGTCAAAAGTGACAGACATGGTCATGATGGGAGTTTGCATCCATTTGCCTTTTTAATTTTTTCAAGCTTTCAAGTCTGTTTCAGTCAGGCTGGCCTGTGACTGGCTATTATTCAAATTGCAGAGTGTGCTGATATGCAGGGAACACACAGTTACACTGCAGTGTCAGCATCATCAACATGGAGATGTGTTTCCTTCACACTCGAGAGCTCTGAGAAGGCAACTGCAACACCATAAGAGCAGAACTTCCATTTCCTCAAGACTAATCATCTTGAGATGTGAAATACCTTTTAACAGAACTGTTATAGCATGAATTTTGAGCACTGGAATTCAAACCAGCATCTCTTTTGCATGAACCCATCAAGCAAAATTTTATTATGGTAATTTTAAGTGATAACTAACTGAACTCAAAGATGCCCCCTATTCCTGTGGAATATCTCCCCACTTTCTGGGCAGCTGGTTTAAGCAGAGTTTAAGCTATTTGCTCTTCCCAGATTTCATCCTTTGCTAGAAACACAATGAATGTCCTAAGATACAACAGATGTACATGGGAGGTTTTTGACCCTGTAACAGCTGGCACACAGCTGCATGTAATCCCTACAAAACACATTCCTGTGGCAAAGGGCAGCCCAGTGACACGGCTCACAAGCTGCTGCTGCACCACAGGAGACTGGCACTGCACAGAGCTGTCACACAGCTCRGAGCTGCTGGGGCTGGGATGGCTCCAGGACTTTGCCTTCCTCTCTCCCCTCCTGGGGTGCTAAGCAGCATCATGGAGGGGATCCCAGGGGAGCTGGGCTTTTGGCACAGGGAGAAGGACAGTGCACCACCCGTGCCCAGGCAGACATGTGCCAACTCAGACCTCAGGTGTGAAAAAGCCCCACATCACAACCCCCTGCTCCACCAGGAGCRCAGGCTCTGCAGCTTCCAGCCTTGTGCACTGAGAAAGGCGCACTTTGAGATGCTGCAGGAACCAACAGGGACTCTTTACCTGGAGCCCCACGCGGATCCTCTTGGTCAGAGCCCCCTCAGGGAAGGAGGCCTGCACCCGTGGCACCGTGGTGCTGCTCAGCACCCCACCCTCGGGGCCGATCTGGTTGCTCTCCTGCTTGATGCGCGACACCACTGCGAAGTACTGGGGGAAGTCCTTGGTGACGATCCTGCAGATCCGCTTCTTCTCCAGCTCCTCCACGCTGTCCAGCTCTGGGGGCAYGAGACAGGAAAAACTGTCAGGAAAAACTTGCAGGCTCATCCCACACACATCTGTGAGTGTGGGGCTTTGAATAAGCCTCAAATGCCTAAGAAGGCTGGGGGGGTGTTATTATTATTTATTTACTACAGGAGAAAAAAACACAAAAGCCATTCAGTGCTATCTAGTATCAAGCTTTGTTTTTTCTGTGACCTTTTGCATAAACTTTGACAATGAGGGCCAACAGCAACAGAAAGAAGAAGCTGATAGGACACCTGAGTACTCGTATGTGACAGCTCAGTGGCCACAGAATGGCAGGGCTGTCACACAGCACAGCAGCCCCAGGAGGGCTGAAGGAGATGGTCAAGCTTTTTCCTTCTCTCYTTTCTATCTGAAAGCACTCAAGTGCACTGATCTTTCTCCACATACCTTCAAATTACTCCCAGCCTTGTCTTCCACATAGCTCTGACACATAGCAAAGCACAGGAAATCACAGTCAGTTCATGAATGAACACTSTTCACACCAGGTGTGCAATCCAGACTATTACTTTCCCAACTACATGTGTGTGCATGTGGACAAATATGCCCTGGTGAAACCCCAAATGCATTGGTGAAATCCCTGTGATATAAACACTATGCACAAATGGAGATAATTATGTAACTCTCATGCTGAACTCTCATACAAGCTCTCTTTGTAACTTCTTGCACTTTTTAACTCTTGCAATTTGGTTTCACTGCAGCACTCCGCAAATTTCAGCTCTTATTTTCCTCCTTAAAAAGGGAGCCTCTAAATAAAGTTTGTTCCTCAAAAGATGACATTATTTTTTCAGATCCAGCAAGAGAAAGCAGGAAGACCATAAATAATATTAAGACAGAAGTCACTTGTAAAATACCTTGTGACTGAGACATTTTCCCCCTTTACATGTGTAAGCTCAATTACATTTCCAAAATAATTAGAATGCAAATTTGGTAAAATGTCGGGTTTCCATTTTAAAGCATTCAGCAGGTAGTTTGGATTAATCACACATTGTTTCTGTGGATCATATGTACCTACTAGAAGTGGATAATTTCTTATCATAATGTCAGCTTCCATTTACTTTGACTCAGAGATTGATATCTGAAGCCCTCYAATGAATTAGGCATTGTGCCTGCAGCCTCTGGAAGCAATAGCTTGTGCAGGAGACAAACTGGATTCTTAAACTCCAGGCAGGTATAATCTTGACTGGTAAATCCTAATCATCTCCTGTTTGTTGCTAGAGACAAAACCCATCATAAAATGCTCACAGAGAGGAAGGGTAATTAAAATTCTCCTGAAGTAGAAAAATAATGGTTTATATAAGAACATTTCAAAGTCCTTTGAGCCTGGCAGGCTTTTCAGAGGAGGAAGAAGATGTGAAGATTAGAGTGGCAGAGCAACAGTCAGGCATGGAGAGGAGTTGGACTGCATATAGGGAGGTTATGTTTGGATAATACATATGTAAGCTTCTATATTAAGTTGCCCTCTAACAGAAAAAAAAATATGATGAGYAATCAAACCATCTCTTGTACTCCCTGAGAAATGCAGTGCTAGCATGACAGAATTAATGAAACAGGGAAAACAAGTCCTGTGAGAGGTCATGTTTTCCCAACACACCTCATGCGTTTTACAGAGGGAGATAGCATCACTACTATTTCCCTCAGCTGCTGACACTTCATTGCTGGGCAGAGTGTTTCAATGAAGAACCTTGAAGCATTTTTTTGGTTAGATTGGTTGGGTTTTGGAGGGAAGGGGGTTCTAGGCACAGAGAAGTGTGCTGTACACCCCCTCTCACAGACAGGGATAGCAGGGACAGGCAAAGCAGAAAGGCTGGTGGCAGAATAAGGTGACACTGAGCAAGAATCTTTAGACTGGAAATGGAGGAAGACAAGTCACAGAACACCTGGCTTTTTCATGCACTTCAAGGTGTCTTTGTGTGATCCAATACCTGATTTCCCTTGCCAGGACCTCTAAAGAATTTTGCTAGCACTGAAAAAGCAAATCTCAGCTGTACTTCCCAGGCTGAGCAGCTGTGTAAGCTGTGCAGCCCTCCCTCAGCCYTGGCTAGAGCAGAGCTGACCTTGTCACTGCACACAGAGCACAGGRTGGGCTGAGCACAGCATCTCAGTTTTCCCCACACTGGGATGTGCCCATTAAGGAAATGCTGCCCTAAAATCAGGGCACACATGAGGCAGCTTACACATGGAGGAGGGCACAGGAGGGGGATGGAGGCAGGGAGAGCATGGGGAAAGGAGAAGCTGAGGGCAGGAAGATGCTGGTAACCAGGGACACCCCACCAGCTTCAGAATTTCACACACAGAACCAGTCACTCTCAGTGCTACAGGGATRTGTCACCCTCAAGTAAAGCAACGTCCTTTATGGCTATTTTTGTGCAGTGCTTCATCTTGCCATTCACAGCGTAACAGTTTAACAGCAGTATGTTTAAAAACTTTTCTTGGAAATGTGGCAAAATCACTGCAGTGATTTATGGTGGTATTTTAAACTTCAAGTATAAACAAGGTCACACTCTGGTTTGATCTGTAGATTCAAAGAAGTAGTTATGTAAAAACTCCTGCTTCCCATCTGAAATCACACTGTGCAGCTGCAGCACACTGCAGCCACAAATATTTGCATTTCTTGGCTCATTCACTAGTTTGCAAATGACTGTTTAAAAGATTAGCTACCCCAGTGTGTACATTTGTGCCCACAATTTGTCTGYAGCTACCTCTAAAGGGTGCAGGAATGTCAAAAAGAAAACACGAGTTATATCTAAAAGGAGCCTGTCTGAAAACACAATGTATTTATCAATTACAAGAGAGTGCCTTTTCCTAAAAAAAAAAAAATACAATAAATTCAAAAAGTACATCTATTTTATTTGAGTCAATTATCAATAAATGTAATATGGTCAAAAGCTGTGAATTTCTACCCTTGTGTTTGTAGCCATGCTCCTCCTATAAAATACCAAGGTTATTTATTATACCAATACGCTTAAAAATACCAAGGATCCCTGTATTTGCCTAAATACATCACCATCCCTAAAATAAAACCTATTTAAGCAGAAGCCTGACTGCACCAAAGTAAAACAGGCTCTTCACAGTGTGGTTCACTGCTCTTTCACAACAATAAGCCCAAAGTTCTGCTGTTATTTAAGCCCTCATCAGCCGTGGAGCGGCGCCTCCCGCTCGGGATTATTTCGGTCCAGGATGAKGTTTCCCAGCAGATGGGGCTGCTCCAAGCGCGGCCAGCATGTCCTTGTCACATCCCTGGCAGCCAGGTGGGGGAGCAAAGCAGGAACAACCAGACAGGAGCAAACTGCTCCGTTCAAACGCGGTAAATTATTAAAGAGCTGGGAATAAAGGTCTGAGTGCCCTCCTTCAACGGATCTGCTGCTTTTGACAGGAATTGGGCGCTCCTGCAGCACCTTGTGACACTTGGAGATGATTAYGCAGATGAGTTTTCTTGCAAAGACACACTAAATTTCTCTAAATGACTATGTGGCTGCTTCTTATTTAAATTAAAGCTTGCTTCTGCCTCCGGAGTTCACACCTGGAATAAAACTTCTTCCAAAGTTACGGCTTCTGAGGTGTAAGATACTCCCCCAGAGCCAAGTCTAACTGTGGTATTTTGTAACAAATCAGTAAAAATTCAGATGAAGAAAATCCAACCCGCTCAATTCTACCAATTTGTAATTTTTTTKGTCATTGCCTGGAAGATCTTTTACACTGAAAAGGTGTCATTTAACTAGAACGGAATTTTATCAAAACCCTTGCACTATTCTAATGCAGGGTGGGGTATTTTTTTGTTTTGTTTTCCTAGCTAGAGAAGGATTAAGCTAAAATGAGCTGAACAAATAATCAACACAGTGGATGTGTCTGTAGTATTTTTTCTCCTTTTCCCCTCACAAATGATCGCCTGGATTTGTAAAAGCCATTCCTGAGGTTTGGCTTTTAAGGTGTCAAATATTTTCACTCTAACAGAATAATGTCCATCACATTTTCAGTGCATACTTGGCTGTACCCACTAACCTCAAACAGCAGCTCCCCAGAAGGAAAGAGCCACCTGAAACCCTTACTAGATCAGAAAGTTGTACTTTGGCTCCACCTTGGGAAGATTATTGTTTTAGGCTCTGAGGGCTTCATGACCACYCCTCTCAAAGTGTTTTTATTTATTGAGCTCTTCTCTGTAAGTGTCAATTTATCCATATGTGAACTCTGTAAGAGCTGCAAACTGCAGCACTTTTGAACAACATTTCTGTGCCCAGATTTCCTTCCTATCCCCAAATCCAACTAAGGTCACTTTGAAAAGCAGATGAAACAAATAAGCAAGCTGCTGGTCAGCGCTGACTACCTCAGCCTTSACAAGGCACCACTGCTTCACCCAAATACAGATCACTTCTGATCTCATGTCAGTGTGCAGAGAAGGAGGGGCAGCAGGGAGATTTTTCTTTTTAAAGGCTGCAAMTACTGCATTCAATCCTGCAGCAATTATAACTTCCCAAGCCATACTATCCTGGGCCATGCCCATTTTTGCCTGTTCTACAGCTTTTAGGTACCTGGTTGGGATAAGGTTGTTTGTTTTGTTTTTTTTTTTTTTCCCCAAGCCTACTGACAATGTATTTGCAGTGTTTCTGCCCTCTGTTTCATTGGATCTATTACATTTATTTTTAATAAATGGCTACAATAGATGTAACAAGCAGATCTTTGTTGTTCGCTGTGTTCGTGCAAGCTCAGGTGCAGTTCAAATACCTTGAAGTCAAAAAGCTAAATTTCAGATGCCCACAGAGACCCTCAGAACAGCTCCCCACATTTTGAAGGCACGCCTTTTGCTGGGGCTGCCCTCATCCAGCAAGACGAGGCAGAGCCCCAAGGCAGAGCTGTCATCCACAGCCTCCTTCCTGCAGCTTATACCCTGTCACACCACGACTTTTTGCAGAGGGTTATCCAGTGAAAACCCAGTGGCTAAACCCTTATAGAAAAACCAAAGTTCAAACCACACACTGCTTCAYTCACACTCAGGTGCAAAGAGCTCAAGCAACAGTTTATCAGCACAACACTGAAAAATGCCTGCTAGGAAAAGAAAGCAGTGGTGCCACAGAACTGCTGCAGCCCCACAGCCTGGCTTTGCCCAGCATTTGTATTCAGGAACCATCTRTGACAGCACCTCCCATGGATTTGTACAGCTGGGTCCCCTCATCTTGAGGGACTCTCACATGTACAGCAGTGTTCAAGCAAAACAAGGACACCAGACGTGCCAGACGGGCATCTGCAAGGCAGGGTGGGATTTGTGGGAGGCAACCTCTACCAACAGCACCTGAAGCCAGGGTGCTCTCTGGGCTGAGGTCTGCATTGGTGGGAAAGCACCACAGAGCTGCTGTTTACCCAAATTGCTGCTTTGGAATGCCCTTCTCGGGGCCCTGCCTGAGACACGTGGGTCTCCAGCTGCGTGTTCCTCTCCARTTCAGGYCGTGAAGCAACTGTGCAGCTCAGCYTAAACTKGGCAAGGCTTCACACTGAAACTCACCACTCATTTCAGGATGTCTCCAGGCCACTGCAGAACAATTTCTCTCCCCACTCTGCATCAGTTTAACATGGARCACACACTGTATTTCCCGAAGTCAGACACCCCCTGCTCTGTTTCACTTCACTTGGCTTTACTCAGCTCGTGCCAGCAAGCCTTCACAAAGGCAAGAATCACTGAGGCTTTGAGAGAACATTTACCTTCATCCATGCCATTGAGTATCTCAGTGAGGTCTTCATGTTTGYTGTCATACTGGTGCTCTTTCCATGTTTCACCGTTCTCACTCCGGAGTACGATCAGCTCTCTTTCCTTGCCTCGCATTGATCCAAAATGTGGGATTTCCACTATGACAGGGCTAGAGAAAAAAGAATTGTGTTATTTTTAACCCCGTATTTTCTCACTGCCCTTAATTTTCTATGGGTCCTTAAGAAAACTACAGTCATTTTAAATAGTTAACACCATTACGGTAAAAATGTTTTTTAAAATTGCCAAAGCTGCACAATCCTTTATAATTTAAACTATAATTAATGGATAAATTGAAAATACTAATATACAGCCTGGTTTTTAGTGTAAATATTTTGAAGTATCTGCCTCCATGAAAAAACCAGCAACAATATTTATGAAGGAGAGTTCTCCCTGTGCATTTATCCCAGGGCGTAGTTGATCCAACCTGCCTCCAGCACACGCAGCACTGCTGACTTTTAATTGGCATTAGCACAGTCAAAATTCGGATTTRGCTCAGAGAGTTTGAAGGGACAAAGTCAGTTCAGAAGCAGTCTGGCTATCCAAGTGCATGCAGCAGCCACTGACTGTAACAGGAACCATGCATTTATGTAGATTTTGAACTTCAAACTAAGTCCCAAAGTTTTCAAAGCTCTCCCTGGCTCTCTGYTGATGCAGCTCCTGTGAAATGAAAGAGACTGTTTTCTTTAGCTCCAGTTTCTGGTTCTCATGCCCAGCATCACAGCTGCAACCTCTGCATGGCAAACACCACCAGGTAATCGTTAGATCCTTTCAGAATGGATTTCTCTGGGTTGGACAACATCATGACCACATTCAGATTAGTTAGTGTCAAACATTTTTGGGGGGGAGGAAAGGGAATGAGAAGGTGGTTGATAACACACCTACGTCACCAGACAATGTACCTTCAACAGAGGACTGCAATTGCATTACTGAACAGTTTGTATGAACAACCAACAGAAACCACCATTCACTTCATGTGCCATTCCTCAACAAACAGACACTGCTGCCAAACACTTCACAGGCAGGGTATGCAGTTTAAAGTATGCTACGACAGACCGACTGAAATCACACAGTAAGTGAACATTTATGGATTATGCAGCTTTAAGACATTTAAATAGACAGTATCATTATTTTCCTACAGAGGTTGTAAAGGGTCTAAACTGCTTTGTAACAACTCGGTTAAAAGCAGYGTGGCATGATGGGAGAAGTGTGCAGCATTTCTGTGATACTGTACACCTGCCAGRTGTTGGGTGCAGTAACCAATCCACCACTCCAGCATGAAATCACAGCAGCCACCATGGGGGAAAAAAACTAGCTGGAAGCCCAGCTTTCACACTGAGCTCCCAGGGAGAAAAACTAGTTCTTTTTTTTTTTTTTTTTTCCCCAAAAAAAAAAAAAAAAAAAGAGTTTAATTAATAGATATTTTATATGCTTTTAGGAACACCCAGGTTATTTTTCTAGTCTCAAGTCTTTTAACAAAAAAATAGGAATGTAGCTGCTCTCTCCCATTGTGCACAGCAAGAAAATACCAAGAATTCAAAAACATTGCTCAGGATATTTACTCTCTAGTTGAAAAAGCTGAAAACTAGCGATGTAGTACAATCTTTGCAGGCTAATATTTCAGATACTGTCTCTGTAAATATTTAGAAACCACACAATTTTGTGCATGACATTTAACAAGAATACTCAGTGAGAAGGTATTGAACAGGTTTGGAACACCAAACACTCACCAATATTTTGAAAACCTAACGCAATAAATTTCACAGTATGGTTTGAAAACAACAGTTAAAAATATGGAAACATTCTTACATATTTAGACTACGCACTGCAGTTCCTTTGGGTAGCATACTTGGCTTTGTAAATTTATTTTAACAAGATGCCTCTTGCAGRTTGAAAAGATTAGTATTTCTCCAATCTCGCTGAATCAATTCATTAACTTGGTAACATTTTTTTTTCTAAATAATCTTTCAGAAATAACAGACTTTATGCGATCACATTTTACAAATGCTCTTCCCAAAACAGACTCACTTGAGGCCTGTAAATACCTTCTCTACCACAGGGTTGAACTTAAAGGACTGCCACCGTGTATTAAAATGTACTTAATGCAGTAGAAACACTTCAAATTTAAAAATTACAAAAGCACAGAAGTTATGAAAGCAGAATGCTGGCAGTGAATTTTACATGCCTATAAGCACAAGGTAGTAGCAGAGCTATATTAAATCAAGCCACTATGATCTTCTTTCAGTGACATAAATCAACTGAAAGTTTTAGGAAACTTAAAAAAAAATAATGGGAATAACAAAAAATTGGAAACAAAAGAAAAACTGTAGACATTCTTTATCTGTTCCGTACATATCCTACCCAATAAATTTTGTTCCTTGTGGACCAAGCTGCAGGATTCGGCTAACCATGCTCTCACCCTCATTTAGAGGGGGAGGACTTTTAGGAAGATGCAGTTTACTGAATAACATCCATGCAGCAGGAAGAGAAACGAGAAGGGGAAATTAGGAACAAGCTGTCATTCCCGACTGAACCAGCAGTTTACACCAGGGTGCCACTCACGGTAATGAACAAAATTTATAATTAGGAAAAAAAGTGCCACATCATAGTGGATTGTTTCCCCTATTTTAAGCTTTAAAAACAGTCAGTTCCTGCCACTACTCGTACCACCACTCTACAGTAGGTGCTCCAACATCTCTCCCAGTGGYTTTGTTCCACACGATGGAGAAAGGCAGCTCCCAGCAACTCCAGAGGGAGCTGTGCACATGCTGGGAACAGAGCTCAATATCTGGGTCCCTGTGGGTGTCTTTAGGACACTTYTTTGTGATAGTGCTGCTTCCTAAAAACCCTACAAACAAGAGGGTCAAAACCTGCTCTGGGTTTTCGGTGAGTGACTCCTCCTGACTTCCAAGGCAGGTTRCATGAGTAGATGGGGGTGGGATCTGGCCTTTCCATGGCTTTTCTTACCTTCATCTCCATCCTGCAGTCAGCAAAGAGGCAAAGCCCTCCTTAAAATGCAAGGGTTCTTTCCAAAAGGACTGGCAGGTTGGCGTTTTTGAATGTTTTAAGTTAAGTAGCCTGTGCTACATGCTCAGATAAGGCAGAGCCAATGTTTAACTACCCAGATCCACAGGATAAAGGGATGAAAGGTGCAAACATGAGCGTAAACAATTAACCTCACGGAACAACTCACCCTAAAAACTGTGCCCCTGCTGGCCCCATTTCTACAAGCCGACTTGCCAATCCTTCTCCTTCGACCATGGGCGGTGGGCTGGCCAGCTTGTGCCTCTTGACCAGGCGGCAGGTGATGCGCGTGGGCGCCGTGCACTTGCGCGGCGGGATGATGATCCTCATGCCATGGTGCCGACTGCCYCTCATCGAACCCCCGCGGGCATCAACCATAAAACTGACCAGGAAACTGCAGGCAAGAGGAAACACACCCATGGAAACGCTCCCAAAACAAGCAGACCAGCAAAAAGTCAACCGCCACAGACCCAGCTAAACTAAAAAGAACGTGAAGATCTGTTTAAAACTTATACTTACACRTTAACTAATGGTTATCGAAAGCAGGAATTGCTAAAGCTCTAGCAACATMATGGTGAAATGACCAGGTTCTACCACGCAATTTGAATTAAAAGAGTACATGAGCAGTGTATTAGTTTGTTAGAATTTTGAAACATCCCTTTGTTGCTGTTAGCTCTACTGTCCACAAATGAGAGTAATTAGCCTCACATGCACAAAGCAACCAGACAGAAGAAAAAGGACAATCAAAAATCCTTATTGTTTTCAGAACACTGGTCTTTAAAACCTCCTTTGCTGTGTCATCTGCAAGCACTCCTGATGGCTGGCAGAGCAAGGGCCAGCACCACGGTGACAGTCAGACCAGGCCACTGAGGGCTGCCCCTGATGGGGAAGATGATGCCAAGTACAAAACTGCCTTTAGGCTGCTGGCTCCCTGGAGGAAATCATGCCATTACTTCTCTTTGAAGATCACATTCATTAGCAAAAAAATGGACATAAAAAGAAAAATCGCGCTTGCTAGTGTCATTCCAATGCATAATTTTCCATTTTATAATAAAGGAGTAAGAAATTATATTTGTAAATGACGAGTGGTATGTATTTTTGAATAAAATCCTTTCTATTAGCTAGGGAATAATTAAAATTTACAATTAATATCAGAATAGCTCCAGGTAGAAGATGCAATAACAGGCTGGTATCAAGAGGGATACAAGTTACCAGCTCAGTCCTGAAGCCAGTGCAGTTTTTGTTTGCCCCTTCTGTATGATACGCAGACACTGACAGAGCTGACACATTTGTGTATGGCTTCACTGCTTTCAAGGCTGTTGCTAAAGCTTCCAGCTTTTAAGAACTAAACCTTCACGTGATTAACAGGCCAATCCATTGAGTTTCCTGGCTCCCAACAGTAAACTGAACTGAGGACTCCAGCCAATAGTCCAAGGGATTGTGGTAGTTCTTGAAAATAAGCCCCAAGTGCTCTGAGGTATGACTGGGAATTTGAGCAAGACCGCTCTGTTTGCTTTGAGACCGGCAGGGTATGAGCCACAGCAGCTGACCTGCACTGGCCAGGCCTGCAAACAAGCTTCATTCACAAGTCTGACCAATGTGGGTGGGAAAAACCTGCACAAAAGCAGCAGAGAAATCAAAATTTGGTGTTTAGTGGYCTGCAGGACAGAGGTGAATAGCGACATGAGCTGTAAATATAGGAAATAGGACAGAAATGCTGTCCAGCTCTATTACAGATCAAGAAATTGCTACATCGCCTTCCTCAAATTAAAATCTATCAGTAAAGATGGGGAGGTAAAACTGCTCTTGGGGATGATCCTCGCCCAATTTATAATTTCTGATGCCCCAGATACTCTACAATACTGAAGCATGATATTTCACTGTGGTTTTCATACAGAAAAACTGTATCCACATTCCATATTTCTCTCCTAGATAAWTGCACTGTACACTCCAACAAATCCAAGTATTGCCACTAGGGTACCCCAGTTCCTCACAAGAGGATTTGTTTCAGTGAGGCAGGATCTTGGCTAACCAAATGTCTTCCACAAAATTAGACCTGTGACAAAACGAGTACGCTCGATCTTTAAATTATATCCTCTACAAGTGATTATCATCGTAATAATTASAGATGCTTTGCTGGCCTTTTAAAATCGTGCAGGTTTCCGTCTGTAGAGAAGGTGGGGCTTTTTCCCAGTGGAAGGGATGCATGGTTGGAGCATTCCCAGGGAGGCACAGCTGCTCAGAGCACCATGGAGGAACCTCCTGGGCAGCTCAGCAAGGTCAGGCCTGAATGCTCAGTGCTACATTTTGGAGAGCTGCCTATCATGTGCATGGTTACTGGCTTGTTAAGCCACTGAAGAAATAATAATGAAAAGGAAGCTTTCATCTGAGGCAAAAAYGCAAAACTTCAATAAGATGCTGTCTTCTGTACCCAAAATATTTAAATGATGGAAAGTATATAACAGTGAATTGTCAAAAATCTCTAGGCACCTAAATCAACTGTTCTAAATTAATAATTAAAAAAATCCCAAAATAACAGAAGTTAAAACTCAGTACCTRTAAAAATCAGTCCCTAAGCACACTGCTCCCAGGGAAAGACAATCATTGCCAGCAGCATGTTAATGAATTATTTCTTTGTTAAATTCCTCATTAGTAACTTACCGTTTAAAACGGGAACAGCAATTCCAAACAGTATCTCATGCACTTTCTATCTAAAAACATTAGTAGCTGATGCTCACCTAAATTAATGTTGCACTAATAATGGAAACTACAATATGACCTCTAAAACACAAGGCTAAAGGCTAATGAGCATTTCTACTGGAATGCATGGAAGGGATGAGGATGTGGTTGGATGCACTACAAACATCTACACACACTCTGTGGGAAAAAACGTTAAAAAAAAGAAAATAAAATGAGGATTCACAGAAAGCASAGAGTTATCACCTTGAATCATACTGGGGGAGTGGAGAGGAATAGCTGCAAAATAATTTAGAAAGCAAATGGGAAAATTAATGTAAGATAATTAGAGGCAAGCAACAGAAAATTTCAATAATAAGTGCAAAGAAAAAGTAACAATCAGAAAAATAACAAAAGCAACAWGTTGAAGGCCAGCTTTAGAAATTATTTGGCTTTTGCTTCACATATGGCATATAAAATATGCTACACATGGAAAAAAAAATCTGAAAGGGAGGGTTCATTTAATTAGTCAGCACAACTCCATAATTTCTCTGGAAAATACATATGGAGAAAAGCATTTGCAGTTTACTTAGTCAGCAGAGAATTCACTGCAACACAACTTCTTCACTGAATTCCCAAAACAGGCTCCTTGGTGCCATGGAAAACCAGTTCTTGCACTTTTCTAAGCATTTTACTTTTCAAAGCATAGTGTTTAAACATAGGTATGGGAAGATGCTTGAAAGGAGTATTGGTCCATGCCACTCATTGCACTGCTGTCAAAAACGAGTGCAACAGCAGGTTGGAGTAAACTACAGTTTACATMATGTAAAATATAGTAAACTATAGTGAATCTGATTTATTCCACCCTGCAAGACTGGGTCTGGTATTTCTGAGTTTCTCAGTGTYAGAAAGCAGTGTGGCACACTCCTTTCTTTCCTTCAGCTAAGGGAACCAAGGAGTTAAAAAAGGCACCAGGAAGAGAGCACACCCACATTTTTCTTTGGGAAAGCTGCAGGAGTAAGCTCACATCTGACAGCTGAAGGTCATCTTGGGGAGGGTCTCTACCCTTCCAGAGGCCTCAAGATTCACGGTGCATTTCAATGTACTGCTTACAATGGACCCTGTTCAAAATATATGCTGGCAAAACAACTTATCTGAACTCAAGGAGAGAAACATAAAACATTATCTTGGCTTAAAAAAAGGAAAAACCAGAAGAGTTGAAATCATTGCCAACAATTTCTTCTTTCGTCCCCTTTCACTGATATATTGCTGGATCTCCACATGCTGCTCCCAACATTCCCCTTCTGCCTGGGTTAAGAAATGAGAAGAAACATTGATCCTCTCTTCTGAGAGTGGGCAAATGGGGGAAAGAGTGACCCGAGGGAGCAGTGGAGCTCCTGGCACAGCACATCAGGGAGCCCTGTGAGGCTGGAGATGGCAAAGAGCAGTGGGGTCAGAGCCTGCCCATAGGGCCACCACCCCATGAGGGCTGACAGCTTCTGCCCCTGGCCACAGACAGAGCTGGGAGCAAAGATGGGAATAAAGCACCCCAAACAAGCAGAAAAGGATTTTCTTTCCAGGAAAAGACTGGCAGAAGAGACATGAGAAGTTGTGATCCTCTGCATATCAGATGTGCTGAGGTACTGGGGGATGAGAGGGGAGCATCTGTTGATTGCCTCTAGGTGAAGGTAACTGGGAAAATCAAACAGGATCATATTCTAACATGGGGCCRCAACTGCAAAGTAAATAAACAATGAGTGAGGCCTCTGGCTTTTTCTCCTAAYAAAGGAACTGAATCCTCTGAGCAGAAAGTCCATCCAAAATGGACTTTCTACRTCCAATAAGAAATGTAATGGGTCAGGAAAGCCCTGTGTGTTTGGAGAATATTTTGGCTCGTGCCCATTTGGAGGGTTACACCTGATTAGACCATCTAGGTCCTTTCCCTGCCATGCAGCCCCAGTTTGCTCCCCTCTGAGCAGCTTAGATCCCCTCTGCATCAGAGAGGGCTCATGTACCAAGGCAGCAGGTCTGAAGGATTTATGTGAAAGCTCCCATGTCCACAGAATGTGTTTTCAGGGCTGGAACCACTGGTGAGCACGCTGAAGACCTAAGGGCAGGCAATTGTCCCAGAGGACTGGCTTTTCATCCCAGAAGATGAAAACATCAGACCTGTCTTCTATCAGGATGAAAAGAAACCAGAAARTTTTAGACCAATCATCCTGGTAACCTAAATTACAGGAAGTATTCAGGAATAAATTATTTACCAATCATTCTGTAAGGGCCTAAAGGATCAAGGCAATTAATCAAGATATTACATCTCGCCTCCCACACTCCTCAAAATAAAAACAAACCAAAATACACCAAATGGATTTGAATTGCTCCTTTGATGTGTGGAAGCACTGCCTGGGTACCTCAGCAAGCAATGGAGGTGCAGTACAGATAAGGTGAGTGCAGAATCACCTGAGAAATTACCTCAAAAGAGATACCATCAGTGCTTTACTGCTACACTGAGAGGSAACTTCCAGGGCACACTTCACCCTGCTGCCCTGGCTAATGTCTTCATGATTTCAACACAGAAAAAAAGGCCTGAAAAGTGTTTGAAACTCAGGATCAGAACTAAAAGCTATCTTGCTAAAAAATGGAAAAAGGGGCTGGAACCAACAAACTGAAATACCAAATGTAAACAGAAGGGAGAAACCAAACACTTACACACAACACCAGTAAAAAAYAACCAAACCAAAGGATTTCTGAAAAGAGCCAAAATATTCTACCAGATCACAAACATCCACCAACAGAAACTGAAATTACCAAAAGGATAATTGTCATTGTAGGATTGTTTAAATGTGCTATGTGTCAGGGCAAAGAGGTGGCAATCCTGGCCTACAAACAAGCTCTGTCAAAGAGGGGAGAGCTGGGCCAGAGAGGCAGGAAGGTGCTGAAATGGGGAAAGCACCACCTAGGACGGGCTGGGACATTTCAGTCCAAAATTAAGGATTACAGCTTTCTGACACGGGAAAGAATTCTTCACAGGCCAGTGAGGCATTGTTCTTCATGGCTGCTGTGGATATGGCAAGAAACAGGTTTCGTTTGCAGCAAAGAAATGTTAAGCTGRCTATCAGAGGAAGAAATACTATTACAAAAGATAGTGGGCTCCTGAAGCTGGGGGCTCCTGAAGAATCTCTTATTTCGAGCAATTATTAGGACATTAAATGTATTTCAAGAATTCTTTGACTACATTTTATCCAACAGTAATGAAAGAGATGAGCTACCAGCTCTCTGAGGTCCATTGCCAATGCCATGACAACCAACAGTCTTCAGATCTTCATACTGCAATTCTTGACATTTTAATGCTAGCACTGACCATGTGAAGTGTTTTGGGGATTGCTGAATATATCTGCTGAATATATTCATATTCAATATATAATCCACTGTTGAATATATCTGCTCAGCAGAAGCAGATGCTTGTATGTATTGTGGGACTATAGCTTTAGATTTGTGGGACTAGTTGTATTGGAAATGAATTATTTTGGTGTGTGCTGAACTCATTTTTATGATAAGAACGTAATTAGTCACAAAATGGGGAAGCAAATTAAAACGGATATGAGATTTTATGTCCTGATCTTGAAAACTAAACAACAAATATTTACACTAGACAATCTAATAATATGCAAAGATTACTTACACATTCATTTGCACATTTTTACAATATGCATTCAGACATCACTACTACTGCATTTAAATCAAGTCTGTRTGGCACTGTCAAGAAGCATCTAAATTACAGTGATGACTCATAAGTAAACAAATAGCACCACCAAAATCAAACTACAGATACTGGAGACYAGGCAGGAGCTTGAAGGCATAAATAAAATAAGAGATCAAATTAAAGCCCCCCATTTTTATCTCCATGAAAGAACAGAAMGCATAACATTCTGATTTCCTATTCCAAATAATTTAATACAATGCAAACAAAATCATCTTAGAGCAAAGCATAAGCAACAGAAAAAGCAAAACAGGACTCTTACAGAGAAGCCTGTGGGATTTAAGTGTTTTGGCATTCAGAAAATTCAGTGCAGAAGCAAGTTTTTGGTTTGATATGCAAGAATTTAGGCTGACTCCTGTTACGAAGCACCCTGTTTGAAGTCAGTGTGAATTCTGCCACTGGTTCCAAGTGGAGCAGGAACAGACATGTTATCACACATCACARCTCTGCAGTTAACAATGCACTTCCACATTGAAAGAGAAAGGAAAACTGCTCAGTGACCTACCCTGAATGGATGGGACTCGAAACAAGGTTAACATTGTCCAAGGTGTCGGCAGCCCAGCTGTAGTGCCTGAGAGAATCAGAATCAAACTCCCTTTGAAAGGTCAGGTGCTTAAAAAAAAAAAAAAAAAAAAAAAAAAAAAGATTAATTGAGATTTAAAACAAACATTAAAAATTCATGCCTTAAATACGAACTTGTTAACATAATTCTGTTAAATTCATATCTGGTCCTTTTCATATAACAGTGCTGATATCTTCAGTGTTAAATTACTGGAAATTCTGAAACAGAAACATGAAATACATACACTCTGGTCTCTTCAAATGTTCTTTTTSCCCACTTTTTGCACTTCCTTCAGATTCAAGTATGTCCCTCTCCAACCTTTACTTACTTTCATGTGCCAGGTTAAAAAGATTGAAAACAACTATTACCATTTGTAGTGCAGTCATACACCATACAGCCAGGCAGTGCAATATTGCCCCTCGGAAGATGCCATTGGATGRATCCTTACTCAAGCAGAACCCATGAGGAACTTCCCTGGGAGTTCCAGCGAGGCTGTGAATGCCCCAGCAGCTTCCCAGCAGGAGGGGGTTGGTTTGTATTTGTGCACACCCAACAGGAGCAGTGCTCTGTGAGTGCCACTGCCCCTGCTCATGGTGACAGAAATAGCTGTGACCCTGTGAGGCACTGCCACACCGGGRCTGTCATTAACCCCCGCCTCGGACCCACACTGGGGCAGAATTTGTTCCTCCTGCTGCCCACACACAGGGAACTCCGTGCATCCTGTGCCCCACAACATCCCTCTTACTGGGCAGCAAAGCCATTCTAGCAAAATACTCTTTTTTCCTTTGTCTCTCTTTTCTTAGGAAATTAAACCAACTCAACTTCAAATTTTCCCTATTTCCCCCTATTTCCAGGGGGATATGAAAGCTCCCCCCCAATTTAAGAAGCACCATCATAAGTTACCGCAATAAAAGTAAGCCAAGAAGCAACACACACAATCTTCACCCGAGATGGTGTTAAAGATGTCAGCATTTCCTCTAAGTAGGTTGTTTGCTGCTTAGAGGCAAATGCATSTAGACAGAGCAGCCTGTTTGGACTCAAACCTCATGGGCTGTTTTCAAATCAAATTCAGTGGGTTCAAGTCAAAGCAGAGCCAAGCACATGCTTCTACACAGGGAAATCTTATTATTTCCACCTGGGTTTTTTTTATATGCTGACACATACTGGTAGTGCAAACCAATTATTTTGAATAGAAATATCAGCATTAGAAGTAAATCTGTCAAATTCAGTCATAAGCACCCAAAAACACTTCTCTTGAGAAGCTTCCACAAGATAAGCAGGCAGATAGTTGCTGTGCTGCTGGCCAGAATGTGCAACACTCCCATCACCCTGGGGTTTCAGAAAAAAAAAATGCACTCTTTAGGCATTTCTTTTATTAGAAATGAGGATCCCAGGTTTCCTTCCAAAACCTAGTGACGCTGTAATTTCCTGCCAATCGACAGAACTCTGCAGAGTGCAGCTGTTGCTTTGTCACCCATCCARCCTCATGGATCCTCCTTTCCCTACCTCAACATTTCTATCAAGGATCATTTGTCAAACTTTGTGCTGTAGCAGGTACACCCGAGGCCTGATGGCTCAAACAGAGGCAGCAACAATAAAGGGCAAACTTGCATATGTTGAACAGCAAAATACACCATAAAAGGTAAAATTAATGCTGTCAAAACRATGACAATTAAGCAACCACAGTGGACTTAATTAGCGCCACTTGAGAAATGTATTGTAATTTAGTTTAACGAAGACAGGTTTCTTTCCAATAAGATACCTGGGGTTCTCCAACAATTCCTGGAGACCCTGTGGTTTAAGCAGGAAAGCCATTGCTGTGGATTTCTGCCATTCCAAGTGATTTGTAAGAGCTCACACTGAGCACGTTATTACTTTTGATACCAGTATATGACTCAGGTTGTCTCAGGCATTGTAAAAAATTTAGATACACAGCAATAAACTTCCTACTTTGCTCAGTGATAAAATTTATCATCAAAAATAGCACAAAGCAAAGAAATGGGCCAAAAGGAAGAGCCCAGTTTGGAGCCTATTGTTGAAATGCCTGCTAAGCTGTAACGGCGTCACCGCACTGAGGCCCAGGCCTACAGCAGGACACATCAACAAATAAATGTGGGGTCAGATTTCTGTAACAGAGGAAAAATGCTTATGTTCCCTTAGCAGTGGGATATAGACAACTAAACACAAGGCCATATAAATTCCAAGGAAATACCATCACTCCACGATAACCTGTGCTTGACATTGGTGCTCACTGCTGTGGGGCTCCTCGGCCCTGTCCCTTGTCCTGAGACACGGCCTGTACACCAGGTGACTTTGGCTTTTTTTTAAASCATTCCTCTCTGACCAAGAGCACTCAAACAGATCTTTTGGGCATATTTAGAGCAGGCAAAAGCCCAAAACCTGCAGTCAATAATCCTGGTGCAGCAGCGGAGTAGGAAAAGCTGATAGCCAGACACACTCATCTTACACACAGCACACATCTGTGGATCTCATTTTTTCAGGCTGTTGAGGCACTGGATTTTCCATGCAGGCAAAAAATAAAAAAAGTCTTCCTGTGTAAACTGCAACATAAGCAGTCCAGAAGATAGTATACTGTCAGTGACACTGAATCACAGGATCCATTCTGTGTTTGGTCAGRTCCCAGTGTTCCCTCCCTGGACAGAGGGAGATTAAAAATGCATTGCTRAAGGGTGTGGCAGCCTCAGATGCAAATATGTGTATAAAAATACCGAGGGTTCTGCTGGCAAGGATCCTGCTGGTTGTGTAACTCAATATCCAGGCTGTGTAATATCAGAGTTCAGCAAACAGAAGGGTTTATGCTTCCTCCCAGATGAATTTATCCAGACTGAAGTGATTCAGCAAGCTGCTATTTAATGGACAGCCCAAGTCATCCTGCCTTTGGCTGATTAAACTCAGAGGTTGATGTAAATTATTCCATAGAGAAGTCATTTGGATTTAGTCTGAGTTGCTGCATCCAAGGTAACACGCCAGGACACAGAAATTTTAACTTTGCTCCAGCCAGGTTATGAGGCACAGTGTGGCCTGGATTCAGACTTCCCTGTGAATGGGGTCAGCCATAAATCACCAAATGCAAACAATGGAGAATATTGTGACTTCTAAGGAATTAATAGAAATCTTCTCCAACACTCCAAGTATTACACTGGCAGTGAGGTTCAGTAAAGAATGGATTCAAATCTTCCTCATTTGACTCCTTCCAGACTCCCAGGCCCACCGGGGACCCCAGGCAGAAGTGGCCATGGGATCTTCTATCTTAACCTGACCAGGAGGTTTGCAAAAGCTCCTTACTCATTTATACAYTGATGTTTGTGATAAAATTAATTCCCAACAACAGACCTTGCTGTTGCCATGAGCTCCAGACAGGTCTGAGCTGCACTAAAGGAGAGGAAATGGCATCTACAGACAGGCAATAGATCACTCTGTTTCAAAGTAGTGTGGYTCCCAAAATAGCCTTAACTCCTCTCAGTTCCTACAGGGACTTTCAGAATATTCGTTTCACAGAGATCTTTGCTCCTGTGAATTCCATTGGTGGAACAGAAGTTGGTGTTTTTTTCCCCTGCTTCCTACTGCCATGGCAGAGATTATCTATGAGCCCATTAATATACAGAGGGATGAGAAAGAGGTGCATCCATCTCCCAAATGCAGTTCTCCTGCTTCAGCCAAAAGCTAGGGCTGGGCTGGGCAGAAAACCACAGGAATTCCAGAGGATGGATATATTTTTGCCAGGACACGGAGCTTTTCAGAAGCCATGACACAAAGTTTTAGCTGCTCTCCCTTTCTCGTGAAACATGTTGCTCTCATGTTTGTTTTCCACAGAATCACCATTTTACCAAGACAGGACTGGCATTTTTTGCCTCTACCACATTCTTTGAGAGTTGTTAAGCACAGAGCTGGTTTTAAGTCTTGCTATGTGATAAGATGCACCCTAGGTGCTAAATCCATGCCGTCTGTTTTAATGGGAATCACAAAAACGGCCAGAATCGTAGAACAATGCAATATATTCTCAGACTGAAGAGATTATACCTCTCCTTTGAAATTTCCATTATATCAAGAACACTTAATGAATTAAGTTCTTAGTATTAGGAGGCATCAAAGCAGCTTTAGGCTCTCAGCTCTGACACAGAGTTTCTTGTCCCCAGTGCCAGTAGTTGCARATTTTGTTTTATAACTTCAAACCARACAAAACCACAAAATCACTGCTATGCAAGCTTTGGAAACTCKCCCTAGATGGCTGTTGCAAATTAAGGTTATTGGAGGTTTACAGCRTTTAACTTAAAAGTAGCCATCTAATAATAAACATTCTGTTGCTAAACAGAACCCAATTTCTGCCATTCTAATAATGCTACCCAAACTGTGTAAAAGCTGCAGTAAAACTGGATAGCTTATACCACACTGGAATTTACAGACTAGTACAATTGACTAGTACAATCAAGGTTTAAAATGTGCAAGTCCTGCTCTGTGGACCTTTTTCCCCATGAAAACATCCTCTGAGATCAATAACCCCCCATACAGGAATGCTCTGTGAAAACAGCAGCAGAAAAAACTGTGTTTCATTACAATTACATTATGCTCTTCCAGGATATAAACAACAATTCCATTCCACAGTCCTTTCCAAGTAAAGACTTTTATGTGAATTTTTATTCAGCTTCCTAGCAGATCTTTGACTTCTGTGTATCAAGAAAGCCTTGAGTAACTCAGTTAGATTTGGAAATCTGAAGCAAGTCTACCAAGGAAAATGCTGAGGAACTCACAAACAAAGCATAGTTACTCCATCATCCCCAGCTTTTGGAAAGACTTTCCCACGCTAYAATCAGGTCAAAAGATGCTGCTTTTGTTGCATTAGTCATTGCACAAGTGTTTGGAAGATATATAAACTGAAAAGTGTACAATAGCTTAGTCTTTACGAGGCCAAATTCTTCCCAAGAGCGGAAGAGCAAGGACAGCAGTTGGAGTCCCATCCATGTGGGCAGAACAGGCCAAAGTAATTCCCAGTCTAGAGAGGACAAAGGTTGCTYGGTGTCAAACTCGTCGCTCCCAGCTTATCAAAGCACTCCAGAGAGACAGGGAACACGAGGCTGACAGGAGCACCCGCTGACCTCAGCCAGAACCAGCCCCACACTCAAAACCACAGCTGACCCCTAAAGGAGTGTTTGGGGCCCCACCCTGTGCCCCTTGCAAGATCAGACCCACAAAGTGGCAACCCCACAGTTTGAGAGCTCCTTGCACCAGCTAAGAGAGCAACCACAGCCTCTGGAAGTGCAGCTGAGGGCTCCACTCTGCAATCCCCTGCAAATCTGAAGCACAGCTACCTGGTGGCACAGACCCAGCACATACCTGGTCCTTTGTTGGCACCAGCAGCTCTTCAATCATCATGCTGTCTCGGGCATAGGAGCTCCTGTTGAGCGTGTAGGACCTATCCGAACTGAAGGAGCGGAGGCTGTTGTATTTTACCATTTATCATAGAAAGTGCGGGTGACAATGAGATGAACAGAAAATAAAAATAAAAAAAATTAATACATGCAACTTCCAGGGATAGCATAAGATGGCAAAATATACATCATCTGTGAAATAAGTACAAGGAGGAAAATGGAATAAAAAGTATTTGACTATAGTTAAATATTCCCTTCCCTACAATATGCATAAGCAAAATCTCAACAGACGCTTTACTGCTTTGGCAGTAATGTTGTGGTTTTAGAATAAATCTGGAAAAGTATTCAGGTATTTAGATGAACTTTGATAAATATCTCCATGCCCTAATCCTGAAGGCGACCCAGGAGGGCAGGTCCCGGGGGAGCTGTGGGTAGGTCACAGTGCCTGCCCACACGGCTCAGGTTGCTGAAGCAGGTTTAACTAAGAGCAAGCTTTATGTGCTGTCATTCTCTCGGTGGCTGAGCCACTTCTGACATTGTTACAAACACTGTAGTTATCCCTACGGTTAGAAAGGAAAGGATAATAAGTTTGAAATGAAAGGAGAAATAAATCAGCTTATTGAGAACTAAGTGCAGATTGTGATGTTTGGGGAGTTTTTTAGTGCACGTTAAGCTATTTAAAAATAACGAGGATCACTCTTAACGTGTTGCAATTAAACCAACGTAGGAGTGTTTTACATTTAGCCCTGGAAGGTACATTATGGTATGTGCTAAAAACATGCTGCAGGCCTAGACATGCTTGCTACGTGACACAAAATAAAGTAGTAAAAAACGTGAATTAATACAAAGCAACATCGAACAACATATTACACTTTGGAACTAGCGACACTTTTCAAACTCAAAACTCTACAACGTGTTTCATGCATTTAGCAGTTGCTAATTGAGTTTCCCTAATCCCTTAGCACACGTTCCTTCTTGTGCTGGAAGCAGAACTGGGATCTTAATTACACACTATAGGCATGTGTTAAGCAGACTTTTACATGATAAAGGGCATAAAGAAATTAAGTTATATTTGTTATAACAAAGGGATATTCTCTAGGGCTGAATCCACCCCCACCCGCTCCCCAAAATGAAAGCATGTCACTTTCTAATGCTGAGTAAGATGAAGCTAAGCAATGGCAGCAGCAGAAAGATGAGRGAGATGTGACACGATGCCATGCCTTCTTACCTGACTTTTGGACTAAAGCAATTTACAGTGGAAAAGAAACAGGAGAAATAGAAAGCAAAGAATCAGACAGGAAAAGCAAGATGTCATGGCTGGATGGCTTATATATTAAATGTGTTCATTTCTTAATGTTACACTCAGAATCAGCGTAAGATACATCCACAGAATACTTTTTTTTGGCTAAATAAAATACTTCACAAGAAAAAAACACTGTATTTGTCTCCTCTGAGCATAACATGTGCAACGCAAAACATGAGCTACGCAGCAACAAATAGTAATGGCACTGCTAAAACCAGAAGCATGGGAATATTAGACTTCTCTCAAAGAAAAGATAACATGGGATTGATGCCTCAGATCTCCCTGCCTGAGGAATTCTGCTCTCCCACYGCACAGGAGCACTCAGACCCATGCAGGACAGAGCTAAGAGGAGTGAGAGGTGTCAGGTAAATCAGTGCTGGGCTGTGCACACAGAGCAGCTCCCTCTGCACCAGCACTGCCCTGCTCCAGTGCTGACCACAGCCACAGGGCTGTGTGATCACCCTGCTCACACCACGTCAGCTTGGTTAATTCAGTTTACAGTGACAYCAGATTCTCCCTTCAGATCTTATTTTCTAGCTAATTAACTATTTAAAAGCATTTTGGCGTTTCTCATGAATGTATTATCTCATAAATACTTACTAACTTCCCTAAAAATTGTAAATCAAGCTCAACGTGGCYGGGGACTACCAAAGAGCAAATTTCCACTGCATGCTTGCATTTCTAATGCAGCCATAACAAACAAGACTGAAGGGTAGACATCTGAGCTTTACCTTCTGGGAGTTGCCATTTGCTGCTAGACAATGAACTCACTTTTTAAAACAGATCTTTAAACTACAGCATAGGAAAAAGCCCTCAGGGCTGCAGCTTATGAGGTTTAATTATTAGCTCCAGTACCATTCAACTGTCAGTAACTACACTGCAAATCCACGACTATGGAAGTAATCTCTGCTCACACAGCTTTAACTGTTTTGAGCAACATACACTGCAGCCTTTAGCAACACTCAAAAGTGAAATCTGAAATGCTGATCTAGAAACAACTGAGTCAAAATCAGCTTTAGTCAGACTTCATATTAATTTTACTTTTATCAGGTTCACAGAAACTTTGGCCTGTTTTTTGTATRTAATACGTAACCCATTCTCTATCAAACTAAACCCTGCAACAAATTTAGGGTAAACTTGCCTTTTTTTGGTTGGGGGGAGGGAGTATTTATTTTAATATTATCTTTCTCAGTTGGATTACTCAATAGCATCTTTAAAGAAATAAAAGCACCAAATAGCAAAATGATTGTCATTCAGTTTTTCTGGTCTTTACATTCTTCAGCAAAACACACCCACTAAGGAACCCTCTAGTGTGAGCACCAATCTGACCAGCAGTAGTCAAAAGAAACCTGGCTTTGCTGGCTGCTCTTGATCAGTTTTTAGACCAGCAGCAGACCGCTAGCAAAGAGGTACCTTGGAGATGCTTGTTCAGAGCACAGAGACCAGAAAAAGTGAATAGCTAAAGTTTTCTGTATCATTGCCATAAAAAGCCAACATGAATAARGAATATGAAATAAAACTGCAATGAGCATATGCTTCAAAAGAAGTAAACCCCTTCTACTTCASTTCAAAACAGACTCCAGTGCTGCGTGGAAGAGCACACCTGGTTTTTAAAAACTTATACCTGTGGTGACAGCCAAACGTGAGAAACAGCAAATACAATACCTGGCGGAGCGAGCYCCCAGGCTGAAGCCCATGTATCCTTCGGCAGGCAGAGAATCATCTCCCAGCTCCTTCAGATCCTGGGGTCCCAGGTATTTGTCCGTGTCGCCTGTCATTGCATCCTCACCTGCCGGCACAAAAGCCAGGCTGAAATCAGAGCTACACGTACGGCAGATGTTTGTGTGCTTAGTAAGTCATAACGCCCTTCCCTGCTCGCCAATAAGGAATCAATCCAGTCACCCCCACTTTCCCTAAGGCTCTTTCCACGTAGTATGTTAATTATCCACCCTCTGAATGTGCCTGAGAAAATAATTTTATTGGGGGGCAAGGGAAAGAAGCAGAACTCCACCTTGACGTAAACCCCATAAAGTTATACGAGGGATGACTTTTGCCCAATCGTTTCAGCAAGTTTAAGAGTTCTCCTGTACTTTGCATCAATGCAATCGCTTTTGCTTTCCTTAAGGAAAAAAAAAAAAAAAAAAAAAAAAAAAGCCCGAGCTCACAAAGTTGGATCGTGCCGCGTGAGGGAAAAAAAAAAACCAAAACAAACCAAGCAACAAAACCAACCCAACCCCTGGCTGTGAGAGCCAGCCTGTTTGCCCACCAGTCCTGGAAAGTGCAGCGAGCGTCAATGGAGGCTGAGGGAGGGAAGAGGCCCGCCTTCCACCTCGAGTATTTCTCAATACCTTTTGGAAGTTTAACTGTAAGACGGGATTTTTTTATATTTTCCTTTTTTTTTTTTTTTTTTTTTTTTTTTTTTTTTTAGCGAACTGCTCCCCACTGCCAGGCTGATGTCCGAAGGTAAGCGCTTCCCCAAGGCTGCTGTTCCCATGGGGCGGTGCAGCCCCATCCCATCCCTGCGGCGCGGAACAAAGCCGGGCCCGGGCACAGCGAACCCCGGAGCGGGGCGGGACCCCGGGCACCGCCGGGACACGTGGGACACGGCCATCCACACACAAAGCCATCCCGGGTTGTTTTATCACCAAAAAAAACCCGGCAGGAAGGAAAGTTAAATATTGGGAGAGGCGGGCAGGCGCCACAAAGGGTTAACGGAGCAGCTGCCCGGCGGGGAGCATTTGCATGCCATTACATCATGCAAACCTACATTCCTTCATTGACAGAGCAAGTCCAAAATATGCCTTTTGCGGTTGTTGGATTTTTCCCCCCCTCTTCCCTCACCAGCACAGAGTAGAGAGCGCTCCCTGTAAGCTCACGGCTCGCCGACACTCACTCCTCCTTTGTTGTGAACGCSTTTTAGGTGCGCTGAGTTTAAACTGCACAGCAGAGAAGTTTAACAACAGCGCTTTCCCGAAGGTGAGTGACTCCCAAGCCCGGGCTCCCGCTTCCCGCTTTCATTCAAGGARTTTAGACTAGTTTCCATTCACTAAACTCAGGAAACCACAGGCGAGCTCKGGCTTTAAACTAACAATCACGTCTAAAAATACCCCTTCAGCTACTGCTTTGCAAACAGCGAACAAACACACCAACTTTCTCCTCCAGCCCAGCGCCAACCAGTACTTTAAGCGGCAGTTAAAAAATTAAAATGTTCACAATACACCAAAAAGCATTCAAAAACCCGAAACAGAAACATCATACATCAAGTGAAACTTTAAAAAGTCTTACTGTTTTGGAAAGCCATTTTCACCAGCCTGGTCTATAAGTTTTTTTTTGGTTTTTTTTTTCCCTGGTGTTTCCAAGAATTCCTATTAGTCCTATTAGTCCTTAAGCAGTGATTTAGACTTAATCTCCAAACCAGCACAAGCAAACGAATCCCTGGGGGTCATATTCGCTTTCCACACAACAACTGAGATCTTCTTAACATCTTGATCTCTTCGTATGTATTTTAAGACACGTGCATCTTTGTCCTCTCAACTCAGATTAAAGTTCTTTGCAAATATGAAACGAAACGAAAAAATAAAAAGTTTTCTAAAAAAAAAWAAAAATCCCCTTTTAATCACTCTGCAGACATCCCTTTAAAGCTTCTGCTGATTGGATTACAGCCTCCCTTGGCAAGCCTCTCGAATGGTGACATAAATGCAGGCACTCCAGTTATTTGTATGTAAATAGGGGTGCTGCGAGGGTGTAGTTTTTCTGTAACTTGACGCCGGGGCTGAGCAGGGAGCTCGGGGCTGCGGGGAAGGCGCTGCCTCCGCCCGCCCTCCCCGGCCGGGGCCTCTCCCCGTGCCCACCCCCGGGCAATGGGGGAGCCCACCCTCAGCCCTCCCTCCGGTGACCCGGGAGAAAASCGGACCGATACCTGCGAGGCGAGGRACGGCCCAGGGAGGGCCAGAGATCCTTAAAAGTACGAACTGGGCCACTAAATTTGGGAACTTCTGCCTTTACAATACCTGAAGGCAAGCGCTACGCTATTGCAATTAACAGAGGAGGCATTTTCCTTAGGARCATCGTTTGTTAAAGGCGAGGAGAATGATTAAATAAAAAACAAAATCAGTTGAACTGTAAAATACATCAGATGTTATCCTGCTCTGCAGCTAATCCAGCCAGGGCAGGATTACTCTGATGAAATGCTCTCATCAAAGGAAAAGCTGCATCTAGGAGTGGTAATTTCAAAGAATTCCAGACATTGTTTTGTGATCGTGGGAGGCTGGAGCAAAATGGGTGGTGCACGTTTCAGCAATCCCACTCTGTTTAATTAGGTGCTGCAGCCTAATCCTCGGCGCTTCAGGTAACAGCGAGCACTGTGTTTGCTCASGGCACATGGAATTCCTGCACAGAGGGTCCCACAGAAGAGTGAAGGCAAAACTCATCTCCTGACACAAATAGAGAAATGCCCAAAAAACGAGGCACAGATAAAAAAAAAAAACAAAAACAAAACACTGCACTGCTTTGCTGCCTTTGCAATCCCTTCCCTTGGAGAAGCGTGATGTCCCTGCTCACAGTAAACGCGGCTCTCACAARTGTAGGAAACAGCTCAAAGTCCAGGAGAAAACACTGGCAGTAGGTCAAAGCAAGGGCCCATCGGTTCTCCTGTACCCTGTCTCTGAGAGCAGCCACGCTTCACAGAGGATGGGAACATGGACCAGTAGAAGCTCTCCAGGACATTTCCTAGCGGGCACTGATTTGAGCACATCTTTTCTAAACCTGAAAGAGGTTTGAATWGTCATGAACTGGGTTTTTCTTTTCYGTTTTAAATCCTTCCAGTTACACGTTGAACTTGTGCAAATTTTTCATGCTCCCTGCACCCAGGACCTGTGTGAGAAGTCATAAAAGTAAATTGCCTGTTGCAGGAGGGGCAGCCCTTTTAAGCTGGATCCAGCTATTGCTGGTTTCACTCATGCCCCCTATTTTTAGACTTCTGGAGAGGCAGMAAGCACTTTTCCACCCATTTCTTGCCTATCCCTCATGTGTTTGTTTGTTTTTATTTTTCTGGGATAGAAGGTTCTACTGTTTTTACTCTTTTTTTCCCCAAGAAGCTTTTCCTTACCTCTTATCACCTTTCTAATCCCAAGTTTTCCCCATTTTTCTGATCCCCCAGCATGTTCTGCTACAGCTGGGAATTTCAGGAGCACAGAGTAGGTGTTCTTTTTAGAGGCCAGTGAGAAATTCAGGCTCTCTGGCAGCGGGAGAGAAGGCATCGTGTGGCTTGGGAGAAGTCCCAGACAAAATTTAATCATAGGCTGGGATCCAGATGAGGATTTGTCATTTGGCTTTGCTAAAGATACCTGAAAATTATGCCACTCCTTCAACACGGCCTGTCCAGAGCTGTCTTGATGACAGAAGAGGTGGAGTCACAGGGAAAAGGAGGATGCTTCAAGTTGTAGCCAAGGTTTTGGTTTCACAAAAGTATGGAGAAAAGCCAATACCAAACCACTGAAATGTTTATGAACCTGTGAAATTTTACAGAGCCCAAGAAACTCTGAAAACTGAGCCTAAAAATGTAAGAAATCAACCCCTCCCAAAATGACCAATAACAGATTTTCATGCCTCGTGATGTGCTGACCTGTCTCAAATGCACTTAAACTGCTGCATCCCAGCACCAACTCAGGGATCAGGCAGTGTGCATTCATGCTCTGTTAGGACATCTGGCTAATCTCCCAGGGATTGATTAGCATGATACTTATTCCTATTGAGACAGGAATCTCCATTAAATGGGTTTAAAACAGGTGTCCTGGTTTACACCCAGAAGTTTGTTACCTACTGAAGGCCAAATTTAAAAAAAAAATTAAAAGCTCAAGAATAAATGGTTTTTGATAATGACTGTCTAAACTCTCCACACCTGATGGGGTTTATGGATTGGATTCTTTTTGCCCTTCTACAAACTCTCTGCTATGTATGAAGGTGAGCCTTCATTTTTTTCCCCCACAAAATCATGTCCACATCTTTCAAAAAACACTGTTTCTTGTTTTGTGGTGCAGCAGTTTCCCAGCACTTAACCTCATTTGGGCAGATTTGCCAGAGTAGTCTAGGAAAAAGAAAAAGAAATCTCTCCTCTCAATCAGTTTGACTCCAAACCAAACTGTCCTCAGCAGGGAAGAGAAATTACACAATTCCCATGTAAATACTTATTTAGTGGGCACAGCAAGACATAAAACACAAGGAAATGGTTTCCTGACATTTGTCTCTGGGCTCTGTGTCTCTGCTTTCCAAGTCTTCAATTTCTCTTGTGAGAGAAACCTCGAGGGTTGTGGATCATTGAGAAGCCATTCAGCGAGTTTGTCTCACTGAAGAGTTTTGGCTGATGACACGAACACCAGCCAAGTGAGGGAGAGATTGGATTTGTTTGCTAAATTTGTGCTTTTCTCCCACTTGGAAATCAGCTCCCTGGCTCTGAGATTTGTCAGAATGCCTTACCATCTTGAACACATTTGTTTCAACTGGTGTCAGTGGCTGCACTGTGTATAGACACCCTGCTGACACCGAGGAGCTGTRGGGACACTGAGCTGTCTTCACAGATATGCAAGTGAGGGAAGAGAGACAGGCCAGTGGTTATCACCAAAGCCTGTAATTCATCACAGGCCATACCTGCTGGAATGCTCCAGCACAGATGAATAAAATGCCTGTTATGGGATCTGTGAGCACCCCTTTCAGTGTGGGGTTTGAGAACGGCCAGCCTTGGAAGGGACCTTAAAGACCATCCTGTTCCAACTCCACTGCCATGGGCAAGGATTCCTTCCACAGACCAGGCTGCTCAGAGGCACATTCAACCTGCCCTTGGACACTTTCAGGGATGGAGCATCCACAGCTCTGCTGGGAAACCTGTTCCTGTTCCTCACCACCCTCCCTAACATTGACYCTAAACCTTCCCTCTCTCAGCTCAAAGCCATTCTCCCTGTCCTGTCACTACATGCCCACACAAAAAGTCTGTCTCAGGCTTTTYTTAGGTCCAATTTAGGTACTGAAAGGTGCTCCAAGCTCCCTCTGGAACCTTTCCTTGCTCCAATAGCTCCCTGGCCGTCTCAGGCTGGGAGCCCAGAGCTCAGTGCAGGGCTCCTGGTGGGGTCCCTTGAGAGCAGAGGGGCAGAATTTCCCTCCCCATGACCTGCTGCCCACATACATTAGAAAACCCAGTTTACCCTTCTAGTCCCAGCACTCAGGTTCCCCACGGGGTGTTTCTCATCTGCAATGGGACACAGCAAGTTCCCGCCCTATTAACTCACACTATTATGCATCAGTGTTCCTGTCAGCTGAAAGAATGCAGCATTTTGAGCAGGACAATGGCCTAGGAGAACTCTCTGGAAAACACCCATGTATGGTAAGAACATGATCCATTTGGAACAGAACACAATGGCAGATGGGAAACAAACCAAAAGCCTCAATTGCATGAATTAAACAAGAGCTGCACACAAAGGATGGAAATATCTTTTACACCTTGCTGCTTCAGTGCTATGAAAATTAAAAGTAAATACACCAGTAGGGATGAAGTAAGAGAGACTGACTAAAGAAAACAAAGAAAATTKAACATGGTCACTTGCTTAAAAAACACCCAAGAATTTCATCCTTTCTGCCATTTACTTCCACTATCAGCCATTTCTTCCAAAGTGTTTTGATATTTTAGCCTTTTATCCAGTATTGAATTTTTCAGTTAAAACAATAAAACAGCTTTATAGAAGCAGCAGCAAAATKATTATTTCAGAAAAGTGAAGGTAATTCAATTAAAAAATCGTAAGGAATTCAGAAGAAGAGTTAGAGGATTATCAGCAATAGCTTAAAGATTTTTTGAAAGCGTTCTTAATTGTAGAGCAGAAGTTATTGTTAGTGGGATAATAAGAAAATTATCTGAAAGGATTAATTTTCAGACAGATGAAATTAAAGGAAGAGGCTTAAGTTAAAAATCAGTGCAATACAAAAATGCACAAATACCTTCTTCAACATCTGACAAATATTCAGCATCGCTGAGTATTTCAGGGGCATTGGCTTTACGAACTGCATGATTTAAATAAACAAAATAATTAAGAAAAGCATACACTATCGATGTGTCAACAAAATCAATGTAAAACAATAACAAATGTGCAATGACCGTATCCAACTAATAATGTGTGTTAGTTTTGTTTTTTTTAAACAGACGTTTCTTATGACAACTAAGAGTGAAAAAGATTTTTTTTTTTTAATTCTTCATACCTTCATCATCAGACATATCAAGAACTTCATTCATGGTTTCAGGTACATTCATTTTGTGCTTTTCTGTAACAGTCTGTAATAGRAAAAAAAGTGACTTCAGAGCACAGGCATGATTTATATTAAAATTCTACTTATTTTAAAAACAAAATGCAAGAAAATTATCTGCTGTTAGAAAAACAAGACTTAATTTTTTAGCTTCTTATTCACTTTCAATTTTAAAGACACACTGAACTATACATTAAGAAGACTGCAGAAATAGGCCATATCGTATTTGGTTTTTAAATCACGTTCACATTGTCATAGCAGAAAAAGCATGAGCTGAAAGCCAAGATGAGGATACTAAAAGAACAATCAAATATACTGAAATGAGCTTCACGTTTAATAAGAATTTTAAGTTGTCATCTAAAGCAAGGAATATGTCATCTCCAGTAAAACCAAACTTTCTGAGAGAAGTATTGCTCCTTTGACATCAGAAGAATTCTGCAATTTGGGAGCAGGCTGAACTTATACGATTTTTTTTCAGAGTTGCCTCAGCATGAACTGTGTGTTTTTCCCACAAATAGGAACAATTGTAGCCACATGCAGGCAAAGTGATACCCCTGAAGGGATTTATGCATGAAAGACACTCAGAAGTGTTTGGATGATTTTCATCCCAATGTTTATATTGATTTAGACTCAAAGTCCAATATAAAAAAAAAAAAAAAAAATAAAAAAAAAAAAAAAAAANGTTATGAGTGCCTGAAATCTGTTCCTAGAATACCTTTATCCCATGAATGCCATGCATATAAATATTTTACTTTCCAGCACAACAACCACTGGTAAAGGTTTGGGTCAGACAAGAGACTGCAGAGTTACTATTCAAGGGGTACAGTGAAAAAAACCAAACCAACCAAAACAAAATCCAAACAAAACCCCACCCTACACCAAAACCCACTCCAATCTTTATAGGGATTTTATATTGTATTTTTTTAAATGACCATTACTTTTCATGCTTCATACACAATTAAGAAATCATTAACAAGCTTAGGAGAGCAAAACACCCCTTCCATTTTCATTTCTTTTTAAAGAYTTCCGTTTATTTTCTGTCCTTATGAATACTCACTTGGCATTTCATGATTCTTGGGTTACTGCCATCACTTGATACAGGCAGAAGAGCTCCTGCATGCTCAAACACTACAAAACTTATAAAAAGCCTCATGCAATTCATTTTGTGGGAATCACTTGCAAAGATTTTTAACACACTGTTAAACTAGTAAAATCACAGGACTCTTTTTGTCAGGTACTATGGGAATTTTTTTTTATTGGTGTTTGAGTATAAATCACAGTAAAATTAGCTATGTTCATCCCTGATTTCTTTAAATTTAGCTTTGGGAGTTGTTCAGCCACAAGCCTCAAAATACAAGTCTCAGCCGTCAAACCGAATTTTTAAGACCCTCAGTTGTAAATCAGATTTCACATCTAGACTTCCAAAGTCTCAAAATTACACACTGATAAGTAGCATATTCTGATTTTAATGGAAATTATTTCTAGGCTTCTCTTGAGAGTAGGTATTTGGAGTTGCATATGTCTTTCAGTATCTTACACTTCCTCCAGCACAATTCACAGCCTGACCCACCATCTCTCTGATCTTCATCTACAGAACATAAATATCAGCCACTTTAWGCATCACAAAAACCCCCCATCTTCTCAATTCTAAAAGCTAAGAACAACCTTGTGATATTGGGAGTTCTTAGCATAAAGGTGTTGCTTTCCTGCAGTTACCCAATTGTACACTAGGCAATCATTCAAGTTTTGCTGTATAACATTCACCATCAAATTTTTCAGGTTGGGGAAAACCATTTTGGAATCTTTCTAAAGAGAAATTCGTTCCTGAGAAAGCATAGAGAGAATGTGTAAGSGGAAAAAAAGACCAGCATTATTTTCTAGTATGTTCCTTTATATTTTATTTTACTAAATTTGCCTTTCATGTGATGGATTTTCTGTAAACTACTGAATTATAGACCACAGCCAGGAAATTCATAGGAAGTAAAGGTGCATGCAGTAACAGAATTAAAATCTGCCTGCCATCCAAAAAAGCTCATCATATTGCAACCACCTGCYTGCACAGACAGACCACACAAAGGGGTGATGACAAAACATGGAACACACACAGTAACTGTGTTTCCACCCCAATACATCTAAAACCACATACACCGCATTTTATCTTTTTAATCAGAAGMATAAAAACAGTTGGTGAAAGGAAAAAGCAATTTGGAGCAAATATTCTGAATTTCTGATCTTCCAGACACAGTCTGGGCTTTATTAGTATGGTTGTGCATGGAGGTGCYTCACCTCACAGAACTGTTCTCTTCAGAGAGCAGTTTGGCAAAACATTAGTGAACAAAAGATCCTTCTGAGAAATATTTTGGGTTCTATGAATTTTTCTGACAGCAGGTAATGTTTGACCATTGCTARTCCCATCAGTGTCTCCTGGCTCGTGCTTTCTGAGAGGCACAGCAGACAAGCTGGAGTTCACATCCCTGTCAGGGATGGATATTTGGGGTTGCAGGGGCTGGCTGTCGCTGGCTGCAGAAGTCACAGCCTTCACCATCCTATGGAAGGTACCAGAAACCACACAGTGACGTCCTTTTTAGTAAATTCCTACCTTTTTTTTTTCTATATTGGAATAGATTCCCTTAGGTCAAATTAACCATCAGACCCTTGGGAAATGCTCCCTAAGGACAGCAGCAGCTTCTGCTTACACAAGCCTTGAACATCTTTCAGCTGCAAACTTGTTCCCTAAACAAGGAGATGAGTGGATAAACACTGTGGGGGAAACACTACAGTTCTGACCAGCCCTTCATACTGGCCATTTTATCCTCAGTTGGTGCTCCTTCTGGGTACATCCTCATACTTCCTACTATCATAAAAACATCTCATATTTAACTTAATACCGGCTTTATACTGCTGAAAGGAAATAGGTGACTGGAATTGCAGTAGTCACGTATCTAAACAAAGTTTAGTTATAGTTACACTCTGGCTTTGGAAAAATTCTTCCATTCCCCACRGAGCTAAGCTGTACTTACAATTGTAGTCATGGTCTCCTCTGTCACCACCTTCAATGTGTCAACAACTGAAATGTAGCCAAGTCGCTTAGCAATGGCGAGGGCAGTGTTTCCATTCTAGCAATTGAAACATTCGTAACAGAAGTGGAACGTTACCAAAGAGAACTGTAGGAACTGCTAGTTAACTAGACAAGAACGCACGATGAAAGAAAAAAAAAAGTTTACGTTTTCTGATTGACATGAAATACATTTTTGGGTAGCAGGATAGATGAGTGGGATGAAATGGGATGAGAATGAGGAGGTTTTCGGATGTTTCCTCCTCTCATTCTGGAAGAGACGATGGTGCAGAGGATGTGGGGGTGATGAGAACAGGCTTCCTGTGCTCTTTTCCAGTCCCAGCAGGCACATTTTGCAGGCCCAGCACTTACCACAGTGAGCTCGTTGGGCGCGGCGCCGTGCTGGAGCAGGACGTTGATGATGTGAGTGTGTCCCTGCTGTGCTGCCTGGTGCAGCGGCGTGTACCCGTTCTGTGAGGAACAAGGAAAAGGCAAGGAAAGGCAAGGATGAGGTGGGCAGAGCACTCACAGCGAGCACAGCCTCAGCACAACCAGCCAGGGCACTCACCTTCGTTTTGGCGTTCACTTTCGCAGAATGTTGCAGAAGGAAGTTCACGACTTTAATGTTTCCGTAGTGGCAGCCAACGTGCAAAGGAGTGTATCCCATCTAGAGTGAACATCAGCAGTTAGTAAATCAGAGTATCACGTGCATGCCCCGACCAAAAAAAAAAAGTTAAAAAAAAAATCAGAAAAATGAAACAGGCATGAAACAGGAAAAATCCCATCAAGCTTTATTCCTTTGGCCTATGTGGAAAATCCTCCAGCCTTGGAAAAAACGACACTTCTCATGAAAGTCAATTAAAGTGCTCAGTGAATGCTTCCAGGAGTTCCTTTAGTGCCCTCGGTGGGATCCCATCTGAGCCCACAGGCGGGTGTGTGTGTGTCCAGGTGGTGCAGTCGGTCACTGACCATTTCCCCGTGGATTATGGAGGCTTCATTCTGCTCCTCATCCCTCTCTCCCAGCTCAGGGGTCTGGGTACCTGGAGAACAACCGGTCTTACTGTTACAGACTGAGGCAAAGAAGATCACTGAGTGCATCAGCCTTTTCCTCCTTTTTCGCCAGTGTTTCCCCAACATCCAATAAAGGAGGGAGATTCTCCTTAGCCCTCCTTTTGTTGCTACTGTATTCATGAAAACATTTTTTGTTGTCTTTTCCAGCTGCAGTCAGATTAAGCTCTATTTGGACATCATTCCTTCTAATTTTCACCCTGCATAACCTCACAACATCCTTGTAGTTCTCCCAAGTGGCCTGTCCCTTCTTTCAAAGGTCAGAAACCCTTTTTTGTTGGCTTTTTTTTTTTTTTTTCCCTGAGTTCCAGCCAAAAATCTCTGTTCAGACAGGCCACTCTTCTTCCCTGCCAGCTCATCTTTTGGCACACATGGGTGTCCTGCTTCCACGCCTTTGAGATTTCCTTCCTGAGGCACTTCCATCCTTCCTGGATTCTTTACCCCTTCAGGATTGGCTCCCCAGGGACTCTCAATGAGTCTCCTGCACTGGTCCAAATCTGCCCTTTGGAAGATGGCAGCTCTTTCTGCTGATCCCCCTTCTTCTCCAAGAACCAAAACCGATCATTTTGTGATCACTGTGCCCAAGACAGCCTGCCCATCACATCACCCAGTCCTGCTCTGTTCCAAGCACAGATCCAGCAGGAGCCTTTCCTAATTGTGTCACTCACTGGCTGGATCAGGAAGTTCTGTTCCTCACACTCCGGGAACCTCCTAAACTGTTCCCTCTGCTATGTTGCACTTCCAGCAGACATCTGCTAACTTGAGGCCCCCCACAAGAACAAGACACAAGGATTGTGAGATTTCTCCCAGCTGCTCAGAGAATGTTCCAGGTGGCTCCTCATCCTGGGAGGGTGGTCTGTAACAGACTCCGACCATGGTATCTGCCCATGAACAATAAGTAGATTCAAGAGCCAACTTTCTGGTTAGAAACACTGAAAGATGAGCTGGTCTTGTATTGACCAGGTACTTGCTGCTCTTATCAGTGTTTGAAGGTGAAACAAATGCCTTTGCTCCCCTGCTCTGAAAATAAAAACCTGGCGCCACCCTTCATTTTAACATCTGTGTCAGTGAGGTGTGTTCAGCTCAGACAACTTGGTCAAAAGCACCGAGGATTCAAGTCCAAGGTCAGCCTGGGGCTCAGGAGCCAGCACTACGTGTGTTCAAACCATGAAGTCAAAGCTGCTCAGGAGAAAGGAAAAGAAAGCCTCAGATGTGAGCTATTTCCCCTAGAGGGAAGTCTCAAGTGTCCATGGGTTTAGACACACCATTTTTTTTCCGTTTCACTTCACCTTTGATGCAACTTTACACAATGTTACCTCATTTCAGTTGTATTAACACATGCTAGGAGACAGCGACAGTTACTTTAAATTAGGGTGTGTCATTATTTTCCAGTTAATTACACACCCTCTGCCATCTAAAGAAACTAGCAACCTTGACAACTAGGATGAGTTAATCAGTGCCAGAAACAGCACTGAATCAAAATTCCATTGGCATCAGCAGAATGAAACTTTCTGCTGACTTGTGTGAGCATTGGATCCGATGCCAAATGACTCCTTGAAACTTTTCCGGCACAGAACAGTTGTATACAGAGGTAGAAGCCTGAGCACTGGCTTAAATGTAATMATGARCTGAACACWGGGACCTCATCTTACAGATATTGTWAGTTTAGGGTTGGTGAAATAACTTCCTGTTCCTAGGAGTGCCCRGAGTCTGAATCTGAAGGGCTCCCTGAGCTGTCCAGAGTCTTGACTCTTCAGCAGGATGCTGACTCTCAGCCATGTCCTTCAAACACAGCTTCCTGCCTCTACATGGGCCAAACGCAGATTAAAGGATGGCCAAGCTATCAAAACAGTTMAAAAACAGTTAAAAAAAATAAGGCTGGGAGACCTCCTCCTAAAAGATCCTAATTCCCTTCCCCTGCTTCAAAATACAGGCCTCTTAATGGGACCAGCAAGGTCAAAAAAAAAAAAATCAGCATAAAACCAAGTGGAGAGATGAAATCCAAAGTCAAAGACCACCTGCTAAGAACCCCCTGCTAATAACCCTAAAACATTAAAATCTGGAGCATATCAGAGAGCCAAGACCAGCTGATTGCAGCTTTCCCTTTGAAGCGATCTGCAAAGGCTCCTCTCCAGCCTGTAACAATGAATACTGAGGGAGCTRTGAAACCCCCAATGTTTACAGGTTTCCTCCTGCACGTGGTATATCTAGAGAGGTACACCTGGTACCTTCAGAAATGGCTGCAGGAGCAATTATTCATGCTCTTTGTCACTCCTGACCAGCCTGCTGTTCACATCAGTGACCAAATGAAAGCTTTTTCTCTTTCCCCTCCCAACCAAGGGTGGAAATCAGGCCACTTCCAGGGTCACAACCCAGCTGAGGGTGAAGCAGGAGCTCTGAAGCTCCTCTGCTGCTGTCCTGGTGGCAGCTGGAGGGGTGTGCACTGAAAGGAGCTCCAGCTGCAGGGACCGTATGTGTCCCCAGCAGCCATGTGGGCACCTGCTTGCCCTGGTGGCCCAACAGCAGTCCCCTCCCTCCCTGAGGCCCTTGGAGGCTCCTGAGAGCTCTCTTTTCCATTAGCCATGGCCTGTGGTCATCTCCTGTCAGCTCCTGGCAGCAGAGTGACAGAGATGTGACAAGGCTCTCTGGGCACGCTGGCCATCAGCGGGCACCACAGGACATCCCCGCGTTCCCAGCCACAACAAAACCAGGGAGCAAAATGCCCTTCAGTGCCTGAAACTGGGGAAGGCTTTCCTCAACTTCTCAGCTACAGCACAAATTCCTGCGTTCAACTCCTTCCAGCWCAGCGAGGTGTAATAATGTCACCCCAAGATACCCACAGAAATCAGGTTCTCTGTTAACAATTCCACAATCACACAATTAAATTAACAATAAAAGTAGTAATTCTCAAGGCTACTTGAGTTTGCGACTTTCATTCTACATAGAAAGGTGCCCGGGAGGCTAAAATATTTCGCTTCAAAAGATATTAATAATTCAACCCACACACACACAAACAAAACCCCAAAACAACAAAAACCCCATTAAAAAAAGAACAAAAAAAAACCCCAACAAAACAACAACAAAACCCAGCCCCACAATTATCTAAATTTCTGCACAGCAGTTCAGGCTTAGTTCTAATTACTGGCAAAAGCACTAAGGGATTTAGAAGGTAGCCTAATATTGAAAAAGTTACTTCCAAGAAAATCAGRGCTTTTGTTTAGCACAGCTCTGCCACACATCACCTTCTGGCTGTTTTGAGGAACGAGCAGCAACATGGGAGTCAGCAGCTGGGAAGGGCTTACCAAMAGCCACAAGAATAGGTGCCAACAAAAAATAAAATCAGAAATACTCAACTTACCAGTTCTAATGGAGCACAAAAACAAAGCATCCCTTATTCTCCTGCCCTTCAATTTTTTTGAGGGGAATTATCACAAGTCTTGTATATCATGTCAGTGAATTACTTTAATATCCTCCACTGGCAATAACCATAAATCTTAACAGCTTGAATTACTGTCTCTTTCTAGTCATGCTGACTCTCAAGCTGCTCTGTTTTTGTTTTTCTGCTGTAAATGTCAGACAATGAAGCTACAGCATTATTGTTTATAGGGCTAGAAATTGCTTTAGATCCAAAGATCACAAAACCCTGGCTGAATGAAACAGGCAAACCTACGTGTACACACACACACTTCCCTGCTTTGCTGAATCAGGGCCTAACACRTTGCAGTACCTTGCAAAGGTTCATTATTGCACATTATTAGGCTGGAAATTTCCACAGAAATGCCTTGATAACAACTGAGCATGTACAAAGAGCCAAGGAGAGACAGATAATGCACCATGAAGATAAACTGAAGATACCTGTCTGTATTTGAGTGTTTGTTCTGTATGAAGATTTTTCTCTACAGCACTCCCCTCCCTCCCTTCCTCCCTGCCTCCTTCTTATCTCTTCCTGCATCTGAAAATTAGATATTCCAATGGAAAAGCTGGGTTGCTGAATTCAGGCTGCTATGGGGCTCCTGTCAGAACAAAGCAGGCAGACCTGAATAAWTCTGAAATACAAATCCCAGCTCAACCTGCAAAACAACATAGTGACCTCTCAGCCACCATTACCTTCCACCAAAACTACAGCTTTAGAAACAAAAGACAGTTTAATTCTGGCTCTGTTTTCCAGACAGTCATCAGCCAGGRCCTGTGAGAGCATCGATTCCCCCATGGGAGGCCCAACACCAAGAGCAGTGCAGTGACTTTGACTAAACAAACCTGAGCTGAAATCAAAGCTCCAAACTCTGCTTTTCATCCTTGATGGAAACAGCACCTTTCTCTGATCARTCCTTCACAGCACTGCTGTATCCTACAACTATCCCATGGGATAAACAGTGGGAAAATGACATGTGGAGACCTGCTGAGCCATGAAATAATATTTACTAGTGCCAACCACCAGCACAAAAGCCCTGAAAACAAAAGCAACATCACATGGACCAGGACAGCTTTTTGCACTCAGCATGAGTGCCAGAGAAGGAATATCTGCTTGCAGCCATGGCTTCAGASTGGTTTTTAACTCCCAATATGATTGTGCAGGGATGAGCAAGCCTTGTGTTAAATATGACACTGCATAGCACATTTTCAGCATCAAAAACTCTCAGCTTATCTAAATTCAGGCACACAAATGTAATGTCAGAATCGACAAGAGCTGCTGCCTTTGCTGCAGGACCCTAATAGGCCTTCTGTCAACACTAAATTCAATTTTAAAGCCCTCTAAACGTGAAAGGTTTTGAAGCAGCTCTGAARCTTTACCACCTGAAGTGCATTTTCWAACGTGGCAGAGTTTAAACCACATAACAAAAGCTCATTTTCAAGAGGCAGGAGCAGCCTTCTGGCCTCTCAGGCTCCAGCTCTGGCCTGCCACACCAGTGTTGTTTACCCTTCAGCATTGATTTAGACTCCTGCAGCTCTGGGATTAGAGGCTGTTTAGTTAATTGATGCAGCACAACCAGAAGGATCCCACAACACTATTAATAAATGGACTTCAAACCCAGCAGCTGCTCTTCCTTTCATGCCTTTTTCTACAACAAAGGTCAGGAAATAAATTTCTTGGGAGGGAAACTACCCCAAGAGAGAACCACAGATGCAATTGTTCATGTCTGAGGACAATTTTGAAAATGCTCATAAGCTTTATAGCCAGAACTKATCCTAATCACACAGATTAATCCCCTGTAAAAGTGATTTTCTGCAATACTGGATTTTTTTCTTCCCTGCTACAGCTTCAAGATGCAAAATGTGTTTCTGCCCCATCTTCTCCTTTAACCACCTGAAAATYCCCCAAGGGTGGGCAGCCCTCAGAGTGTGAGCAGGGTCAGAACTGCAGACTCTGGATGTTTCCACAGGGAGGGTAAGTTATATATAAATGATGACTCAGGAACATGTASCAGAGGAGGAAGATGATAGTTCTTTGGTCCCTACTCAGGAGTTCAATGACCTGCTGATATGAAGTTAAATGATAAGAAGTGTTCTCCCCCTGCTGACAGGTACTGTGCTGGAGTGATGTAACCTGTGCTCGCTTATCCTGGGAAAATGAGAAATATGATAAGGAGAGAAATCAAATAAATAAAACACACAAAAAAAGCGCTACTGAATATTCATCTACATAAAAACTGAGGTAAGGAAAGCACATGGATGTGAAATGGAGGGAAGAAAACAGAAGGTTAGTGGTGCCACTGCTGATGGCAGAGATCCCCAGTGCAMTGTCACTGTGAGCTGTGCTGCTTCACTGCCTCTCAAGGCACGGCTGCCACATCTCTGCTGCTGCACGTCCAAAGGAATGAGTGTGAACTGGACATGCTGGACAGGACCGTGCAAACATGCAAGCATAGCAACAGTGCCTCCAAAGCCAACTCAGCTGTTGCTTATCTCGTCCCCCAGCGCCTCTGGTTTTAGAGGCAGCATGCACAGACCTTTTATTCCCATAGAACAGTTAATCCATCTAAATGGGAGAGCTTGTGACTGCAGAGCCACTCATCAAACCTTCACCTGTAGGGACCATGGGGTCAAAGTATGGCTGTTCTTACAGCCTAACACTTCTCCTTCATGGCAGCAGCTCAGGGCTTTYCAGCTTTTTCCTTAAGAACTCAAAGTGATCATCAGTTTATCCAGAAGCTGTTCCCTGCTAAAACACCCAGCACCACATTGGCACTTGTCTCACTCAGAGGCAGCAGCGAGCGCATCTCTGGCACACAATCTCTGTGTGGCTGGCTCTGCAGAGCCTGGAGGGCTCTCTGCTGCACAAATCCAGCAGATGGGACCCTGCAGAAGCCACTGGAAAAGCACCAAGCTCATRCCAGGGCATAAGCATCGAGCTCATTCCACTCTTAGAMTCCTACAAGGCACATGGGCACTCCRTTCCCAAGGAGCAGACAGTGCCCTGCAGCAGGGAGGACTGACAGTGGGGTGGATGGGAGGATGAGCTGCTGCAGGTGCCCTTCCCCTACAGGATGGAAAACGCCCCCACACAGGTGACTTCTACCCCAGAGTGGTCCTGCCTAAATACAGCATGACTTCACCTGACTTACAAGGCCCTGCCCCATTTCCTAACAATCACAGAGCAGTTCCAAGGGAGCAAGTGTGTACAGGGAAACAATTCTTTATTCACACTACCAACAGACAGGACTGAGGAACGAGGGTGACTTCTCTAACATTACATGACTATGACTGACAGACAGGATTCATGCTGCACACAGTCAAATATGACTGCATTTCCCCCCCGTTCTTCCTAATGACTCAGTCAATTTTCAGAGATGCAATTAAGAAATTCAGCTCCACACAGAGGAGGACTCAGAATGATAAAGTGAAGATCCTTTTCCATGTGTCTCTACAGAGTCGCCTGCCTGCCCCACCAGGCTGAAGTTGAGCACAGAGCTCCTGCAGCGGTGCCAGGCTGGCCCTGACAGCCAGCAGACATGCCCTGCCTGCCATCCCCACCACCCTAACGGGCTAAAAATCCACTGCAGCCCAGAATGGGATCCTATCTGGGCACTGGAGAGCAGGCAGAGCAAACACGTGGGTCTGCCTGCACCTGTTGGTATAAATGTGTCCTCAGACTATTTGTGGGACAGGCAAGAGCACTGCACAGAGGGGAACAGCAAACACTCAGAGAGTCCTGTGGCCTGGGAGGTGATTCAGCTCCAGCCAAATTAAAAGAACAGGTTCTGCAATGTCTTGCTACTGAAACCAAAACCAGGTAGAAACTATATCTAGGAAGGCAACCACATTCATCTGAGGAAATTGRGCAAAGAATGAAGCAGGGCAGACCTCATGTGCTACTGGGTGATCTGGCAGATGAACACCCTGAGTGATTCATCTTTAAAATACAGGCTGAGGGTATTTAACCRAAGTATAAACCTGGGGAAGCTCCTGGGATTTTAGCACGACTGTTGCAGGTTTATGTCAGGATTATGCTATTGCAATCAGTAGGTGGTACAGTTGGAATTACATGGTAGAAAAATCAGATAGCAAWGACTTTTCCCTCTGCCACAGACCATAATCAGCTGAGCTGCAGCCAGACRTGATGATGGACTTGGCCCTTTCTGAGCTGCCAGTGTAACATGATAATACTGCTGGGCAGTCTGACACACCTGGGCATYCCTGGAGTGCAAGCACAGCACTGAACTCAGGGCAAACACAGCAGAGAGCTGTGAAACGCACTACCCTGCAAATGGGAGCAGGTCAGGGTGGGAGACACGGTTCATTTGGCTGATTTGATCTGCCACGGTCAAAGCATTTGATCTCAACTGATTTCCTGCCCAGCTAAAGGAACGCCTCCAAGATCCGGACAATGCATGAGGAATGTAAGAGTAATCAACTCAACAAGTTGTAATCTCTCAACACTGAGATCGTTACCATCCAACTCTGAGCACTGGACACCAGCAGGGAGCATAAAACCACTTCTGCAAAAGGTTTCTTCAGGACACTGATCTTCAAAAGCAATACTGTGAAGTGGGTGGTGTCATCGCTGGGGATCTCAAAAGCCATCCCCAAGCACCTTGGAAATCCAGGTCTGGCATTTAGGAGTCCAAATATTTGCTTTAGGTAAAACTATTTTTAGGCAAGTAAATCTTTAATGGACCACCACTGCASATTATATTTCATATTAGATAATAGTGACAAAGAATTTCAGATTTATCCTCAAGAGATAAATGTTTAATCTCAATATTATTTTGGAAGGTAGAACAATATTTACTGACAATCTAATAGATAAATATTTACTACCAGAAGAACAATGGTTTAATCTTGACTTGGGACAACAGAAAAAGTCAGTTCCCTAGAATGTACCCTATGATGAAATAGTTCCATCAGGGCTATGCTTTGCAAAAAAAAAATGTGTCTTAGAAACTCAGAGGCACCCTGTCATGGAGGTTGAGCCAAGATGTAGGAAAAGGGGAGAAATCTGTGACAAAAATGGCTTTACTTGCATGCCTATGGATGGATATTTAGCACCAGCTCAGGGGAAGCTATTTTCACAAAATTTTTAGAAGTTTTTAAAAGTTTCATAAAGTCTCTTACATCACAGGAAAAAGTATTTTACCCTTAATAGCCTGGAACATCTAAATTGCATTGGCACTGTTTCTTTTGCCGTAAACACAGATACTTTCAGTAACAGTTCTCCTGTGCTTCGTTTTTACTGTCAGCCAAATGGAAAGTAACATGCAACATGTGGAAAATACCAAAAGCAGATGAGATTATGCCTAGAGCAAAAGATTATATGACTCTCTAGAGAGAGAGCTCAAGATTTTGTCGAAGTTTCCTTACTCAAAAAGCAGATCAATCCCACTTACCTTCAGTGAAGCACAGCAACAGGATACAATCTAAATCTATATTGATCTAAACATTTGGCAAGAAAGAAGCTTACTGCTCAAAGGCTGAGCTTGACATTAAACACCAAATTTACGGGCCTTCAGTTTTCAGAATACATTCTACAATAATTTATTACAAGGAATGCTCCTCTGCTCCGATTTCAGTTTCACCCTGCCATCAATTACTAGTGCTGTCTAGAGGCTCATGAGTGCCTGACAGGGAATATTTCACGCTGACAGTGGTGTCTGTACCTTTGTCTGGGCATCAACAGCAGCTCCTTGGTTAACAAGAACCTCTGCTACATTGACCCTGTCCTCTTGAGCAGCCAGGTGGAGGGGCGTCAGTCCACTCTGCAAATCRGAAAAAACAAGTCAGAGGCTTCAGAGGAGGCACATGGATACTAAAAGGTGAATTCAGGTATYAGTGAGACTCTAAACATCTGACTGAATTCACACATTCCACTTTCACTGTGTAAGGTGCTCYCTAATCACATTGTTGATCTAATAGAAGGTACAGTTAAAATCCAGGAAGATGATAATTCTTTTRGACAAGGAAGATTTCTCCATGCAGTGTCACGTGTGGGATGCCAAAACAGAGCAGTTTAAGTCACATAAGTATTTTTTATCTCCTAATTCACTTCCTTAGAAAGAGTAAGACTTTCAAAGCAATATTTGCTTTGAAATAATTGTTTACACTTCCGCAAGTTATCGTAAGTTACATTCACCCAGTTTTATCCTGACCTTTTAGTCCTCTACTGGGGCATTTTTAGTCACAAAAAAGAATAAAACTGCATTTCTCTGAGATCAGGCCCATTTCTCTCTGCTCAGGGGGTATACACACTTCATAAATGACATGCTCTGATACAATTTTTTCTTATTTAAAACCTGAGATCTGAATGTTCTCAAAATCCCAGAAAACTATGCAATTTTCTGCCACATAAAAGGAGTAGAATTTAGAAGGGGTAGAAGAGAGAATCTGCTGAGGAGATGTTGTTTGGAATGAGAAAGAATATCCTTTACTTGCAAATTACAGTTCATTTTCTCTCCTCTTCCTATTTAGAGAGTGYCCCACTGTACTTCAGTCCAAGGTGCAATCCTGATGATAACACAGCTCAGGTGGGTCACCTTACACAAATATAAGTGACCAAYGATAAATTACCTAACAGAGCCTGGATATCAAGGACCAAACCTTCTAAAAAAATTTAGTCAGTGCTCAGTGCCCATACTGCAGCTCTGACCATGCAGCTCCCAGCCATTCTGTGGATCCTGAAGAAATAAATGCTCTTTTTATTCCCTTGGCAAAATTCRAAAGTCAGTGTGCTTTAAACATCTGGCTTCAGAGCAGAGGTACTCTGCTCTGAGGAAATGTACATCCCTGAGAGAGGATGGGGGGAATTACTCCCAAAAGTGGTGTTATCAGCACAGTGAGAAACTGGAGATTATAACTGAACAGTAACAGATTGATGGATGCTGCAGGTAATTAACCTCTGGTGACACTGAATCAATGTGCCAAGTTCTTCAATCATGTTCCCTGCATCAGCCTCAGCAGCAAAATGGGATATTCAATGGATGCAGAACGCACATGGCAAATTTCCCTGTGGGGATACAAACTCCATCCTGCACTGTGCAAGCCCACACATCGTGGGGAAAAAAAATCCACATCTGCAAGAACCCCAAAATAATCACACTGTGAAGCCAGAAGCAGGAAAACACAGCAGCCCTGTGTGGCAACACCCACGGCCTCAGAGGACACTGAATCTCCCTACCTGAGATGATGAGAATAAGAAGTATTTTCCATGAAAAAAAATTCTATTGCCTCGCTTCTCTAGCCACTCAAATCCAAACTGAAACTGCACTTGACAGTATCAAGTACTGATGTCTAGTGGGGCATTTAAAGAATAAAGGCTGCACATTTGCTAGAAACATTAGTATAGAGGAGACTTAATAGCCTATGAATTCATACATAAACCAAAATCCATCAACTTTCCTTTCTCACCACTGGAGAAATGACACCAAAAGTCACTGTGGTCTGAGGAACACACCCTGGAGAGGAAGCATCACTTCTTAAAGGAAAAAAATCTCAGACAAAGTTGCTGTTATTATCCCATTTAAAAAGCCAGCATCCCTGAACAAGTCAGCTGTTACCATTAGGGGGTAATATTTGTTACCACTTGCTGGTATAGGTTACATTTTTTTGTTATAAAATATTATAATGCTAAAAATGTTAAAAAAAAAAAAAAAAAAAAAAAGAAAACAAAAAAATGTAACAAATGTTACAATTACACATGCAACAATTGAAAAATGCTACCATTAAATGGGCAGGCATAGAGGCATTTGTCATCCTAGAGGCTGATAAATGACAGGTGCCAGCCCCAGTGGCGGGGAAGAAATTTTCTCTCTGGGCACGTTTTGGCAGATTGGCATAAATTAACACCATATTAATAAATTCCACTGCAGCATGTGTTATCCCCAAAGCTCGGGCACTACAAAGCACAGCTCATTCAGTGTGATGAGTGCTGCTCTTTGCTGCGAGAGGAGCTGATGATGTGTGTTCAGTGGCTCTCTGTGCAAGATCACAGTGGGTGAAATTTCTGCAGGTTCCCCTCCTTTTCACCACCACGCTGGCAGCAGGAGGAGTGAACACTCACCTTGTTGCTGAGGTTGACGTTGGCATTTCTGGAGAGRAGCAGTGACACCATGTCCACGTGGCCGTCCTGCGAGGCGAGGTGCAGCGGGGCGATGCCCTGCCTGGTGACGGCGTTGGCGTCGGCGCCGTACTCCAGCAGGGTGGTGGCAATGTCCATCTGGTTCTTCTTGGCAGCGATGTGCAGYGGGGTGTACCCGTTCTGCCAACAGAAAGAGCCTCAGTGCAAGCTGCTCGCTGATTTATCACTTTCCTGTACCTACCCAACTCTGGGAATAATTATGCCATTAGTTCTAAAAATCCTGTCAAACGCAGTCAAATGCAATGTTAACAAGATGTACCAACCAATGGATCTGACCTTTAAGCAATCTTCTTTTTTTTTTTTTTTAAAGTACTGCTACAAAGAGGAGGATTCTGAGAAAACTTTCAAATTTGGGGAAAAAATACCTGTTCAGAAAAGGACAACTTATAGCAATAGGAGTGTGAGTTTTGTTTCATAGACATTTGCTACTTTTCCTCAAATGTACACAAAACCTTTAACAAACAGAAGAGCGGGATGAGTGCTCACAACTCAGAACAGCTGTTATTGTTAGGGATTTTTTTCCCATTTCCCAGKGTGAGTGAAAGCATTATGTACATGAAATATGGCTTTTCTTGCAGTATTTACCCTAAACCTTACTGACAGGCTGGTTTTTCAGATCAAGTGAACATCTAAGCATACAAATTTAGAGTYATGCATTCCTTATYKCTTTATTCCTTCCAATATGTCTACYCACCCAGGCAACCCACTACTGAAAATAAAAATACAGTTATCTATTGCATGATACAGTTTTGTAACTCTAAAAAAAGATAAGATAGGCAGAAAACAGATAAATGGATATAAAGAGTAACTGATGGGCACACAAACACCAAAACTCTGATAGAGGAAAGACCAGCTTTTGGTACAGATTGCAATGACTGTTCAATCAAGAACTTCCTATCTCTCAGAAATGTATTAGCCCTCATTTTCAAGCCAATGACAAACACTGACGTATTTGCATGTGACCAAGAGAGCAGGTCAGGAGGGATGAGACCCAAGCTGCACGAACCGTTCTATATTTTTTCTATATTTTTTTTATTTTCTATGGTGTCATAAGGACTATTTGCAGCTCAGATTACCCAGCCCAATAAAATCTACTGAAAGGCACAAAGCATTCATTCACCTGGTTAGGCTCCTCCCTGCACCCCAGGGCAGCAGGGCTGGATTAAACAGGAAGGGACCTCACCAGAGATGCAGAGCAATGCAAGGATGAGCAAGGAATAAAGGCATGGGGGCTCACAAACTATCACAAGAGAGCTTTAATAGGAACCCGGCAGCAAGAGATACACAGCACTGGTTTCATACAGAAGAGGTTCTGTAACTTTCAAAATTCAATTCAGATTCAGTTCAGACCTTGGGATACTCAGATACCTGAAAATGACACTCAGGAAACAAAGTGCCACAATCAATAACTCAAGCACACGGGCACTAAATTTTCACTTTGAAGAAAAGGTGCTTCAGGAAAAACAAAYACAATCCTCTCCCTTAGACTTCCTGCATGATACCATCATGTAAAACAACTATTSCCACATGACCACCTAATAAATCCTAAATACTACATGCTAGATCCTGTATATCTACATAAAATGTGTCCTTTAAATGGACATCGTATTACGTCATGTAAAATAACAAATGCAGTTTACAAGCCTCCTTCTCAGAAATGGGCATATATAGATTTAAGTGGAGTGGACAACACCAGGTTGCCAAAGAAGGCAAAAAGAGAGCTGAAAAATAAAAAATGAAGTTCAGTTCAGGCCCAGTCTGCATCTTCTCCTCATAAGGGCAGCACTCTGTCACTGTGCATAGATGGAGAGAGCGACAGAGAAGTTCAGAGGGAAGGGTAYTGAGTTATTCTGGCTGTCAGGGAAAAGAGGGGGAAAAAAAGGGAAAATGGTTAAAGATGAAGGGAAAGAGGAAAACTAAGGCTTTGGGGATGGGATGGCAAGGAAGAAAGGCACTGTAAAGTGGATGCCAAATTCAARTTAGGGATGAGCCTCATGTGAAATTAGGCACAAGGCTAACTTTTGCCTATAAAAGAGTAGAATGGTTCATCAGAATAACTGTTATCACAGCACTGTGCTTTGCCATGCCTATTTCCCATACCCTGTCACTTACCACTCTTCAAGACAAGTTTTGTTGGGCCTGGCTAATGAGCCACTCTTAAGATCAGTGTTACAGACACAGTGTCATAGGAAAGGCAACTGCTGATCAAACTAACTGCTGAGCCAGGGATGAGATATGACATAACACATTCATTTACCAGACCACATTTACAAAAGAAATGGGAAATCATCTGCTGTTACCAACATCATCTTCTGGATGAGTGCACAGTGGGTGCCCGAAGCCACAAACATGTTTGGGTTAATTTTATTTAGTATTGACGCTCCGCTYGGTGCTGCCATGGCTTCCTGACTGCAGAGCACTAACAAATGCTTTCTTTTAGGCACACTTACAGCTGGCACTTGGAGGCCTGAGGTGGCAGCTGCAGAGCTGCTCTGTTACAGATGGGGAAGCTAAGGTGACCTGACACATGAGTTTGGGCAATGCTGCACCACAGCCTGTAGGGCTTCCACCTTGGTTTGGGCTTGGCAGAGGCTGCTGCAATCCCTGCCCCTCCAGGATGCACAGCTCCCACTGGCAGCTCCTTCCAGTGAAAACTGGGTCAGTGCCTCCCCATCCTCCTCAGAAGGCCCTTTCTTCCCCCCAGTGGCATTCGAGAGTGCTGTGCTGCAGCAGTGAAAGATCAGAGATCACTGCAGTCCCCCCGGGCACTGCTCTGGCAGATTGCCGCTATCGACACTATTGATTTTACACTGTGCYGTGTCTGCTGGCAGCCCGTGTTTATTTAACTCCCCTCTCCTTGCACCACAGGCTCTGGGACACACCCATCCTCTCCTTCAGCCATGCAGAAAGCCTCCAGTGCYGTGGCTGCACTCAGGGGCAATCAAGGAGCACTCTCCATCTACCTRCAATAATACTGCCTTTCCCACTAGCTCTCCTTTCTCCACAAGTTGGTTTTTTTTTTCCAGTGACTTAAGAAAATTATCTGGGTTGTTTCAGATGAGGCATTTCCACTGCAGTTAACCTGCTTTAACTAACATATGTTCCCATCCTGCTTTACCTACTGTTGCTGTTCAAATATCGGTTATACTTTGATTATAGCATTTATCCACCCCATACTTAAAACTGGGATCCACAAAGGGAATAGTCAATTTAAGCTTCTCTAAATTATCTTTCTTCTGGGAACTAGTAGAATAAATTTATGTATTTATTCTTTCACATCATCCGAAACCTTACACTAGGTATTGTCTTGCCTACAGTAAATTACAATCAAAGCAGGACTAGTTTTGTTTCTTGCCAGTCCATTCATGCTGGAGTAGGAGTATTGTGAAGCACGTGAATAATTACATAYATTGTGCTGAGAAACTTATCTCACCTCAGCTGTCACCCTGTGGCACAATACAGGAGTGTTACCCCTTTCTAGCTGGGCTTTAACCCCAAGATTGCCCTGCACAGAAATTAAGATGTGATGTTGGCTGGCTTGGAGAAGTTACTGAAGAGGCTGGACAAATGAAAGCAAGRATCAATATTTTCTGAGAGTGAAACTGGTGATTTAAAGTGTTTTTGCATCTTAATTTGCTTTTTTTACTATTTCATTCACCTGCTGAATTACTCTAACAGCTTTATGTGGATGTGAGACATTAACAAACAAGGTCACTGAGCCTCCTCTAACTGCAGACACATCCAGCCTGGAAAGAACAGAGGCAGACAGGGAATAAAGCGACACAAAGAGCCTGGTGCTGCTCCCCCAGAGCAGCCAGTACTTGTACCTTGGCAGAGGCGTGAGGTGAAGCTCCCTGGTCCAACAGGAGGAGGGCCACTTTTTGATTATCGTAGTGTGCAGCTACATGCAGTGGTGTTAAACCGCTCTAAAAACACATGCAGAACAAACAAGTGCTGTTACACACCCTCTCCAGGGGAAACACAGGAGTTTGGGAAATTCCAGTAGATAAGGTGGAAAAAACACATTTGTTACTCAATTCATGTATCCAGAGTCTTTGAGAACTTTTAGAATCAAAGAATAAAACAGAAAATTTGGGAATCCTTCCTGAGCTGTGGAAGCCCCGCTCACTTTTCCCAGGGAAGATGAACAGAGAAGCACACATTTGTGCTGCCCCCAGGGTAAGGAGGTCACACCTTTGGCAATGTTTTTCTTTTACTGCAGTGGATAAGTAAACTGCCCCTTGGATCTGTAAAAATCCAAGCTGGGATGGTTTAAAAAGCCTGAGGTCCTATTGGCCTTTGCCCCCCAGTCATGAGACCTGGGGAAGCTGAGCCAGCTGCCCAAATACTCTGATAAGGACTGTAAATAGTCTGGGCAGGAACACAGGAGGATGGTTTGTCTCCATTCCCCTGCATGTGAACACAGAGCACATCATTTTGTTGTCAATTAATGACAATAAAAGTCACTTCTGTCGAGAGTTTGCTGGCTCTTGGCCAGCAGGGACTGGAATACCACATTCCAGCTAAATACCAATTCCAATTCTAGCTAAACCCAGGCTGTGGATACCAGTGTGATGGTTAGGTTGCTAAGAGGACRTTGTTAAAATACTATCTGGTTTTAGATATTTGCTGTGTGAGTGGCAGTGTCTTCTTCTGTCCTACCTTTCCAGCAGCATCAGGAGATGCATTCTTCTGAAGCAGGAGGTTGGCCACCTCGATTTTGCCATACTTTGCAGCCACATGAAGTGGAGTAAATCCTTTCTGTAAGAGAAAGCAGTGACATGGCAGCTCTGGGCACTCTTTCTAAGGGTAAGGTTTGTCTCTGATCTACGAGGATACAGCTGCTTCCATCCTGCATTCCCTCACACAGCCCTGAGTACAGGCAGCAAATCTGCAGATTCCCAACTGCCCTGTGGGGCAGATTCCCAGCTTTCCTTGCAGGGCAAAGCACAGTCTACATTAAGTAAGGGAGGAGTTGGTTCCTTTCTTCACACTATGAAGACCCAAGGGCAAGCTTTATCAACACCCGCCAGGAATTTCTGCCCTGCATTCCTCCCATTCCAAGAAAATGCATGTCTGGTCACTGGGATGTGTTATACATCAGGTCCTGAGGTAAAAGCATGGAACTTTGCACCCTCTTCATAAAATGTGGCTCACTCTTACACTGTTTGTACGAGTCTATGACTCTTGCAGCATTGAATTCACAAGCAGCCCTTGCCACAGGAGTATTCACGATTTGAGCCGTCACTCCTGCAGCTTGCTCACCTTGGTGATGATCGACAGAGATGCACCATGATCCAAAAGAACAGCAGCTACATCTTCGTGCCCTTCCCGAGCAGAAAGATGCAGGGGGGTGTATCCCGACGTGGTGGCTGCRTTGGGAGATGCTCCCTGCTGCAGCAGCTGCTGCACGATGTCCGCTTTGCCCAGGCGAGCAGAAATGTGCAGAGGTGTTTGGTCATCCTGAAACACGGAGGGGACAAAGCAGTGAGACTGAGAAAAGCACGCCTCACAACTGGACTGAAAATATTTGCCTGCGTTCTGTCACTTCTCAAAATTGCAGATGAGYGTTAATTCTACTCAGATYTTACCCAGTGAATACTGCACACTGSYTTTYTCTTTGWMATATAATAAAKATACCTTRTGCTTTGTAGGTGCATCACAAAATATTACAGACAGGGAAATAATCCATAAAAATTAACACATTTATCAATTTTCCTCATAATCTGGATTTAGCTCACTTTGGTTTGCAGACCTTTCTTAAAACACAGCCAGCGCATGGTTCTGTTCCTCACATCCTGATCTCTTTTATGTTTCACAGCAACATTTAATAGCTCAATCAATTATTGCCTGGAAACTTGCATAAAGTATCATAATTTTTTGTGCTTTTTTAACTGGTGAATGATTTTTTTGTATTTTGCAGATAACTTTTCCATAGATATAACTGAAGATAGAGCCTGGTGTGGAAATTCACTGTCACTTTCTCACCTCTCGTTCAGAAGACAACAATCTGAATAATTTTAAGTATAGGGGTTTCCCTGATATGAATCTCATGGTTTATTTCTTCTCTTTCACTGAAAATATTATGCTGTGAATTTACTCAGAAAATATTTGCCTGACTGTGCTTCTGAGCATGAGCTGCTCACTTTCAAGGCTGGGTTTGAAGATTTACAAACCACATGAATCAGTTCTATTGTCAGACTCCTTGCAGATATGAAGTGTATCAGCTATAAATATTTAGTCAGAGTTCCTTATAAGTGGATAATCTTAACAGCAAACTTATTTGTGACCCAATTCGCAAATAATTTCACAATAAAAGATAGAAGTTCGTTATTTTTAAAAATTATATCCATTTTATCACCATTTGGGGGAAAAAAAATATTTCCTGAGTTTACCCATTAAAACTGCTATTTATTGCACCCATTAATCTCCTTGCCTTGCCTGTTTYCTGGAACTCTTTGATTTCCATGACTTTGTATGTTCCTTCATGTCTCTTGACCATTTCTTTTTCCTCCACCCTCACCTTGCCCAATTGCAATTGTTTTTATAGGATCTGTTCCTTCTTTCCAGCCCCTCTGTTACGTCCCCTCACCTTCCTTTAGGAGGTGCTCTTTAAAAATTTAACTATTTTTGAAAGCACACGGGCTGTTGCTTTAGGAACATGACAGAAGACACCAGGAGCCTCAGGTTTCCAGTTCTTCTGAAATAGAAGCAGATTTGGGCAATTCCTCTCCCTCCTTAACTCCCACTTCAAAACAAAACTCTTCAAACACACGACAATTCATATTAAAAACTGGAATAGCATCAACCTGGCATCATCTGCCTTCTCTCAGACAGATCACTTGTGGCTACAGTAAGAGGGTACATAAAATATCACTCTGCACCACACAAAGGACCTTGACTTCACCTCTCCCTCTTCCCAAATGACACACATAAGATGAATGGGAGTCCTTSCTTTGTCCAACACAGACCATGCAGSTTTATTCCACTGGGCCATCTCCTCACCTTGGCTTTTGCCTCCACCTGGGCTCCGTTTTGTACCAGGTACCGGACGACCTCTGTCTGGCCAGCTCTGGCTGCCATGTGCAGYGCTGTCTCTCCTCTCTGCACACAGCAGCAAAACCAAAACAGAATTAAAAACACACCGCAGGAAGAACAAACACCAGCGTGTTTCATAAACACAGAAACACCGGTGACCCAGTTCAGAGTGATCACCACTAGAAAACTTGTTGTAGTTTGTCTGTAAGATTAAATCAATATTTGACCTGACACTGTGTCCTGCAAAGCAATTTATTGCAGGGCCAATTTCCCAACATAACAGTGCCTTTGTCACTATCTTTTGCTGAAAAGAGACAGTGCAATTTTTATATTACTAGCATTTTACTAACAATGTTTAAAATAATGTCCATTTAAACATAGTTGAATTCAGTAAAAAATGTATTTTACATGTTGCATATTCAGGCACACACATATTTGTCTTTCCTTCTGTAATGCCTTATGCTCCTACTATCATTTGTTATCTGACAAGCACCRAGGTGATTGAACAAGAAGGGTAAAAAAAATCATTACTGAGTACATTAATCTAAAGCTTCAAGGACTTAATGAAAGACAAATCCAAGGAAACCAGAATAAATTCAGGTGGGAAAGTTGTTTCTATGTTTTTGGATAGCAATACATGATAAGGTGCACACACCTGTTAATTAACAAATGGTGCTGCATTTTTTCCATAATCTACTAGAATTAGTAGGTGAAGACCTTTACAAACTATTGTCTTCCAGCAGCAGCGGGAGGGGGATTTTAAGGCCAAGCTGTTAAAGAGGATCAACAAGCTTCTGCTTTCCTTCCACTCCCCAACTTTCAAATACCCATCCAACACTGAGTTCAGTGTTTGCACATGCCCTGGGAGCCTTGGGGCACACRGCACACAGGCAGCAGAAGAGCGTGCTCGGACGGCCGGATGGACACAGGCAATATGTCCCCACAATCTGCTGCAATCTGTTGAATTGTCCTTAAATGGTAGAGCCCCAGGGTCTTGGGAAAACAGTGCTCAACAGTCAGGCACGGATCTCAAAAATTACATATGAGGAGCTACAGTATGTTCTCATTCTTTATTTCAGAAATTAAACAGAAAATATAGAGCCGACTCAGGGTTAGCCCCTTGGGAAATTTCCTCAACCTGCCAAGCACCTTGCAGGTAGGAGTCAGCAGGCTGCACCTTGCCATGACTCCATGAGCCACAGGTGCTGTGGAAAGGGGTGGTGGACACCAGAATGGGGCACTTCATCCCAGTACTGCTCCCAGACATTATCCCAGTTCCCAGCCCAGCCTTGCTGGAAGGAAACCCGTGACTCACCACGTTGGTCGTGTTGGGGGATGCGCCATGATGCATGAGCTGTGATACGATATTTACATGTCCCATGAAGGCAGCAACATGGATTGGAGTCAGGCCCGACTGAAAAACAAACCAAAGCCCAATGTAAATACCTACTTCCTTTAATAGAACGCCATGAGGGAAACATAAATTATTCTAAAGCGAATAAACAGAGGTGCTTGCTCTTCTGAGAGGGTTTTATCTTCTCAAAACCTKAAATGAAAGTGCACACAGAATTGGAAACACCTAGGAGTGTGATTCATGAGCAAATATATAAATGTTCCACGAATTCAGTTTTTCATCAACAATCAGCCACAGCTAAGCAAGATTAAGATCAAGCATTTGCCAAATATAATTTTGGAAGAAAAAAAATAAAAGGTAAAAACAATCCTGGAACTCCTGAAACATTGAGCTAGTGCAAAAAGATCCCCATCATGAACCTGCACCGCTGCCTTTACACAGGATGTGAAAACCCAACTGGAGACAAAGAGAGGAGGGAAGAGAGGGGGAAAAGGGCATGACCTCAAGGATTTTGCTTTTAAAATCCAATCAGTAGTTAATATTTCCCTACACAGAATTACCCTATAGTCACCCCACAGCTGCTTCTGCACAGCTGTACCAACAGCCAGCCAGAGACTGCAGGAGGGCGTTTTGCTACCAAGAGAAGGAGAAAACTCAGTGAATCTCTGGAAACCCCATGATTTGGGCAGCTTCCCCACAGATATACACAAGTCCCAGAGGGCAGAAGTGGGGGAMTACTTGGAGTGAGGAACACTATATGGGATCTTTCTCCCTCTCCTAGCTTAGTACAACAGAAACACACGTAGATAAAAATTCCCATAGGTACTTTATGAATCTCTGCATTGTGCCATGAACTGGGTGCAGGCTGTCTCATGCTGGCTGAAGTGACAGCATATTCATTTCTGTCTAGCTGACTTGTGACATCCCATGATGGTAGGTGAATGTAACTTCTCTATGCAAAGCCCAAACAAGGTCTGAATTAAACCACCTCCAAAAAGAGAACTTGAGTGAAGCACAGTTTTCACCTTGATGTMTGTAACAGAACAAATTTCAYCCTCATCGCCTTAAATTACACAAAAAAAGATTGGCAGGAATGGAAGGTTTAGAAAAATTCTTCTGTTACATTTCACTTGTTATTCTCACTGTAATCCCAACATTTATTAGTTGTTTGTGATTCATTAGGGCAACTGACTTTATTGTTCAGTTATATTATTTCACAATACCTAGCTGAAAATTATTGTTGACTTGATTGGTCCATGCTCTTTCAGAAATGTTCAAATATTAATCAAGACAGTTACAATGAAATTTGGGGGAAAAGCACATACAAGCATGGAAAGACCATTTCTCACCTCAGTTACAGCTTGAATTGATGCACCGTGCTTTAGAAGAAGTTCCATTACTTTTATTCTGTTTTTCTTGCAGGCAATGTGAAGAGGTGTGAAACCATTCTGGAAATGAGAAAGAACATATTTTTTGATATCYCATGTGTCATTAAAAAAATAGGATTGGAATTCACATAAAAGATTTTTCAATTTTAACAAAATACCTCCCAAAATTTGTTTTGGCTTTACAAAATTTTTCGTGTAAAAGCAAGAAAAAATTTCTAAAAATATGAAGATCTATTTCACATACGTTGTCTTAACTATGCAATGTATTGCCCACTCCAGGAATTAATATATTTAAAAAATTCTCAATTCATGCAAAACTACCAAACCCCTCCTTTTTGCTTACCATATTCACTTTTAACAGGGTRGGGTTTTCTGCTGGAGTTTTTGGGCAATTTGGGGTAGGGTTTTTTTTGGTTGGTTTTCTTTCAACCTTTTAGAACTGCTGGTAAAAAGAGCACTTTTTATGAGTTCTGGAATTTACATCTTCTAAACTACTTTTAGTAGTTTGGTTTTTTTTTTTTTTTTTCATTCATTACCTGTCAGCTTACGGCAACCACAAGTATTTCACCCGTGCAATAGAGTGACCATTAGAATTACCATCTTATTTAGGGTGAGATGATGCCACAGAAAACAAGTAAATCAGGAAAATAAACTGTCCAGAGCATCCACGACTGGTACAGTAACATCAGAGCACTAAATACTGATGCTGCTATGTACAAAAAAGCCTTTGCAGAACATTCTGAAAACAASTGGCAGAGCTGGCTCTTCAGATTTGAGCAAAATTCCTCCTACTCAACCACTCTGAGTGAGGACCAGGGCAGAATAAAAGGAAATATTGCAACATTTAGGGCAGAAGGGCATTTGTGGCTGAGTTACCAGACCAAGAGAGGCCACTGCCAGCAACTCTAACAAGCTAAATCTGATGACAATTTGATTATWTCAGCAAGTAAAAATAAATCTTACAGGCCTACAAGCCTCCCMACTCACTGTTTATCAGGAACAAAGCTCCTAAGTCGTAATAGCTTGACCAAAGACACCTGAAGACAGGTTGATCTGACACAAAAAACAGAGGGGCTGAGAGAAAGAAATCTGTACAACCTGTGCTGTTTGCAAGAGAGCCAATCCCATTTTGCCTGTGAGGGTTTCAGGAGCTCATGGAACATTTCAGGAGTTGAAGGAGTTAGCATCAGGCCATGAAACCAGTCAACCCAGGTCATGTCTGAATGTAAATTTGTTTGGAATGGTTATTGAAGAACAAATCAAAGAGACATTTTGAATAGMATGGATTGTGATTGCAATTTGAACAAAAGGCATTAATGTGTTCTGTTTGTGTGCAGTTTAACAGCAATGATGTATTTTGCTGAAGTTGTTTTTAAAGCAGAAAGGTGTATGACTCCATTGATATAAAATACCACAAATACTCATTATCTAACTCATTCCTACTTTTTACTGTTCCACATCACTGAAAACTTATAAAAATGGCCTCAGTTTCAAAGGTTGCTATTAATTTTCTCTGTACAAACACTTGGAAAATGAGGATTCTCTCCATACCAAAACCACAGCAGTTACATCTGCAGCTGTTTCACCTATTCATAATCATTAAAAGCCACCACGAGGCAAAAACACTCCAGTTACACTAGAAATTCATAAATCACTGCTGACTGTCTGCAAGCAAAGGCCTTCTCTGATTGCAAAAGACATTATTAAGCACGAGACATTATCGAGTGCTCATTCTTGGCCACAGCAATGACAGCACATCCTCACTCTCAGCCATCACAGGCACAAAATAACTCCCCAGCAAGGCTCAGCACAACTCTGCAGGGAGTTTGGCTGGGAGCAGCCACCTGCTGTGTACTCACCAGTGCTTTGGCATTGGGATTGGCTTTTTTGTCCAAGAGAACCTTGGCCACCTTGTAGTGGCCGCAGTGGGCAGCGACGTGCAGCGCCGTCAGGTAGTCATTGGTGACATCGTCCACAGGCACGTTGTGCTGGATCAGGAGCTGAACACAGTTGAGATGATCCCCTTGTGTTGCCATGTGCAGYGGAGACAAACCATTCTGCCAACAGAAAGACCCAGCACGGGTGGGTTTAGAGGTTGCTCAAAGAAGGGAAACTCCTCCGCGCTGTGCTGGGAGCTGAGATTTATTTGTTGTATGAAGAATTTCATGAGCCCAGAGAGCGCCCAAAATAAACATAACGTGCTCAGTGTAGTGATGGGGGTTCCTACTCCAGAATGTGGACCTTGTTTGGTTGGAGTTTGTAGGCAGCCCCACACTGAAAAGCCGTCATAACATGCCAGCAAGGCTCTAAATGTAGCTGCTTTCAGTCAGTGTGGCTCAGAAAAGCCGCTCAATTTACACGAGCTGTGTGAGGAACAGCAYTTTGTGACTTTCAACACCTCAGCCAGGGAATTTTCTGGTTTTTAAAGCTGCATTAAACTCACCACTCTAACGTKGCYTGTRTATACYAGGCAYGACARCATAGATCAGAGCATCACTCAGCAATCATTGCAGCCTTCCCTCATCCCTCCACTCGTGTTTTCCTCAATTTGTGGTGTTCACAAGCTCACACCACATTACACAGCTCTGGAGACCACTCTCCCCAGTCCACATTGGTGAAACATCAAGAGTTTCAACTAAAAATCTCTGAATAAACCTCCATGCTGTGACCTACCAAGCTGTTCCACCAGGGATACCCCTGAGATAGATTCAGGTGCCAATGAACTGTTTCTTGCAGTGTTTAAAATAGTGAACAAGCTGCCAAAATATATTATATTTCCAGAGTAAAAGCATAGGAGAAAATTCTCAGAAACAGAGAGGATGGACACTATTTCATGATGAAAGATTAAAAATYATGCCAGAATGGAAGAGGCATTGATAGCAGTGGTACATAGCAACTTCTTCCAGTTGCACTTTTTTTACGACTCGATTCTTCTAATGCTAAAATTAGTTTCAAGTGCAGAAGCTATTCCTGTGGCAGCACACAATAGTTTATAACCTGCAGGTGACTGCCAGTACACTGTGTCTGCATGGGGAGACACAAATCTTCACTCACAGACTTCGCAGTGCCCTCGTGTGCCCGCAGCCAGCAAAGGCAGAGCAGGGATGAACCAGCCGAGATCTCAGGCACAGACTCTTCCCTCACCCTTCCCGGAGTAACAACCATTCAAAACAAAGGTGGAAATATGCAGTGAAATAATTTTTAAAATCCAGATGGGATGAGGATGGTGAGAGCAAACAGGCACATCCTGTCAGAACTGGAGAGCAGTCTACAGGCAGTGCTCAGACACGGATATTCTTGGACACTGCAGTATCTTTCAAGTGAGATTATCTCATGGGCATCTCACTCRTGATTTATGTTGGCTTGGATAAGCCTCCCTCCCATTCCCAAAGGCTACTACAGCAATTATCTGCATGGAAGCTTAATACCAGCAAGGCATTTTAAATGTTTTCACTGTCTTCTAGCGTAGTTAACTGTAGGACAAAAAAAAAAAAAGATAAATTTCCCTTGGTCACCAAGCCCTCCTGGTAGCAGCTTATAACTGATGATGCTTTTTAGGTGAGAGTAAAAAAATCATGAAACATTAAACACCTTTCAGCTCCATTTTTATAAGAAAGATCCTTCGGGTGTAAAGTGTCATTCTTCACAATAACAGCCAATAACCCAGGCTTATTAATGGAGTAAGAGATTGAGAAGTTGATATGGGACTCCCTCATAGGAGAGACCTGTACCAAAACACTGACATTGATGAAGAATGGAAGAAACAGGGCAGCTAGATGCCAATCTGAAAAATCAGAAAAAAACTTGACAAAATCTGTCATGGGCAAGAGAAGTGCAGCAGCTAGCCAGACTTCACACAGCAGCAAGAGACAAGAATAGATGCTAAAAAAGTTGATGAAGACAAAAAAAAAACCTGAAAATTGTCTTTTTTTATACCCTGAACCAGGCTTAATTCTGTTGCAGTAGAAGATACTCCATAATCTTCACAAGTCAGTTAATATTTCAATGCCCCATTCAAAATAAAAAAATATTACAGGTAAGTGTGTTCTCCAGTCTGACATCCTTCTTGTGAAAGACAACCCAATAATGACCTTTAGAAGTGATCTGGTACTTTAGGATGGAGCCACTTTATAAATACTCTTGCGTTACTGTTTTTTTTTTTTCAAAGATTGCCAAGAAAATATTAAAAGGGAAAGTAATTGAAGATTAATCAAMGATATTGACAGTCACATCATACCTTAAAACAACCAAACAAAAGAAACCCCAAACACAACAGGACCATGGAGATGACAATTATGGAGTTTCCTTTGTACCTTTGTATTGTGTCAAAGAGCTTTAATCCAGAGAAAGAAGAAAAAAAAAAATAAAGAGTGCCAAAGAAGTCTGAAAAACCATTAATTAAAAAAAAAAGATGGACATTTATTGTCAGGGATGTAATTTCTTACACAGAAAATCATTGGCATAATCAGGACTAGAACTCCCTTTTTATTTTGCCTGCAGAAAGCCCCATACAATCCATTAAGACACTGCCTTCCCTGAAAATAAATCTAAGGTTATTCCAGTGCAAAAAGGGGTCAGCACTACACTAAACCAACTATAGTAGGAAATAGCTATCAAGCTGCAGCCTGGTTATTATTCTGAAAGAGTTTTATATAACATGAGAAAACTTWGTAAAGTTCAAATTCTTTCAACAATGTGTCCTATTTCCAATAATATATGACTTGATTTGAAGAGAATGGAGCCACTTATTYTTGCAGAGGACAGTGCTGCAGTTTAGTGCCAAATCAATGAATTCATTTATGCCATTCAGAGGTGCAGCTACTTCCTCGCTCACCTTCTGAAAATGATGGAATTAACACATCAGAAGGAAATGCAGGAAGCTYTGTACTTCCTTCTGTTTGCTTTTTAACACATAACAGCTTTCCCTCWTCCAGAGGAGGCTCCTGTTTTGCAGAAGTTGTTTATATAAGCCTCCGCAGATCAACATCCAGTCTGTCTTTCTGCCTGAGGCAATTTCAAACCCACTATCCCATGTAATCTGCCTGATTTTGTCTAGTGAACTCTGAGCCAGGCTGGGAGAGTCTGCTCAGCAAGAGCAACAAATCCAAAACCTACAGCCCTTGAACAGCAGCCTAAGTTCAGGGCTAACACCTGAAAATAGTGTCAATGCAACAAAGAAATGTAGTTCCTAAGGAAAGGTTTTAATTTATGATGGTGGAAATGAAAGAAAGAGTTTATGTTTATGTAGGTGTTGTTTGGTTTGGTTTGTTGTTGTGGGGTTTGTCGTTTGGTTAGGGTTTTTGTGGTTTTGTTTCGGTGGTGGTTTGGGGTTTTTTTTTTTCCCCTTTCAGTAATAAAAAAAAGCGATCTGAGAGGGTAGAAGAGCCTTTCTCCCTGGAGTATGAGCTCTAGGCTCCAAGAGTGGCAGATGTGGCCCAGGGGTTCCCAGCCAGCCCCCTGTTGTTCTCCCGTGCTCATGGAGTTTGCAAGCCGGGGCTGTGGGAATCCATGGAAATTCCACAGGCAGGGGATGGGTGCAAAGTGTCTGTCAGATTATCCATGACAGCTCCTGCCAGTGACGCACTGAGCACAGCAAAGCTGGAGCCAACCTCCCCAAACAAATGCTAAATATACTCCAGTAAGGGAAAAAAAATCAGGGAGGAGAAAAGCAGAATATAGAAGGGTGCTGAGACAGAACAGGATGACAGAGAGAGAAAAGAAATAACAAGGGAACAGAAATGTTGCTGAAATACACAGGTTACAGACTGAGGGAAAAAAAATGTAATGGAAGGTTATCTTTAGAAAGGACCTCAACAAACTGCAGAGCCCAAATGTCATCCCGGATTGGGAAAGTCACGGATTGCGGTGGTGCAAAGCAGGCTGCTGCTCTGAGATTTGAAATCAGCAGTAAGAGCACAGCACAGACCACTGCCAGGAGGGTTCTGGCTTCCTTTAACAGCAGCCCSTGGGTCTAAAGCAATCTGTGCACCCCGGCACAGGTGATCTGAAACTCCCAGGAAGGATTTTGCGTGATAAACTGTCGAGAGATACAAAGTGGAGAGATACAAACTGGTAATCAGGCTAAGTCCTTAGGAAATACGAGCTGTCTCTGCAAGGGGACATTGCTCTATTTTTATCTCTTGTCTCTTCTCTAGCCTTAGGGTAAATTGGTACAAGCTGAAGATTTATTGTAATCACCGCGTATTTATGCCAGGATAGGCACAGAGATCTTCAGCTACTGGAATTCTGAGGGATAAGGCTACCACACAAGCCTTTTTGGTTGGCACAGAAATCTTTTCTTGTGTATCTCGATTTAACACATTTTACATATGCAGACGTGCGCTACATACGGCATTCACTTTGGAGAGCTCCCACACAGTTACTTTAAATAACTAAGAAATAGGAAAGTTATTGTCAAACCCTTAAACATATGAGACATACAGAATTACATTAGGAAAAAATCAAAAAAAGTGCAAGGATTATCCCAGCAGAAAAAAGTACCAATTACCTTGGTTTTGGAAAGAATAGGGGCACCACGATCCAGCAGCATTTCTACAACTTGTTCATGGCCACTTCTTGCTCCRCAGTGGAGGGGAGTCAACCCATCCTGTGGGTACAGAGGTAAAACTTATTAGTGTCAGACATGATAAAACYTTGCACATTTTTGTAAACACCTGTGATGACCTAAGATGCTCATGAATTCCTACAGGATGCTGCTCTTCTGAAAATGAACAGCTGAACCTGTTTGTTCAAGCCAGCAGAGMACATTCTGGCTCTGATTTTCTGAACATGTAAATAGTCACATCACACTGGTGCTCATGCAATGGTCTTCTTCCAGGCCCTCATTGCACATGCAAGAAAAAGATGAGATTGCACTTCAGGTACTTTTTCCTTGCATGCCTTTGAGCAAACTGGGTCTCTCATGTGTCAGCATGYGTCAAAGTCAGTGGACAGTCAGTTAGTCTGGGAGGAAAAAGAAAATTCCTACTCAGACTTTTTTATTACATTGATTTTTGACCAGTGTACAGCAGATGAGAAAACCATGGAARTATGTTGGATTCACTGCTGTCTCTTGTTGTGCAGACTGTACTTGTGTGACCTCCAGCTGAATGACTGGGCTGGAGTCAAGGCATACTGTCCATACCTCTTTTAGAATAGTAATGGTCAACATCCTATTGCTCGCTGCAAATAATGGTGTCACAGTTTTCAGAAACTTCAGGTTTTCACTTACAAGTCATAAAGGAAGGGTTTTTTTCACAGTGTGTTCCAGTACTCTTAAAAAAGAAATGTTGTATTGTCTAAAATATGAATCTCACATTGTTTGCATGTCAGGRATTATCTAAAATTCCTTCTCACGCATCCTATTTTCACTCCATGCACATGCCCTCCCTCTCCTAACAGCAAATATTATTAAGGTACCTCCTTAGTCACATTTTTCATGTGCAATTAAAATATTCCCTTGTGATAATTCCTAAACCACACTTCACTGGAGTAAGAGCTCAAATCCTACAAAGAGTGGAGGGCAGCCAGGGAGAGGGAGGCAGTGGTGCAGGGAGCCTTACACTCTCCTGCTTCTACTCTTTTACCTGCTCCTAATAAACCCAGGAAAGAGAGCAGATAGAAATGGTTATGATAAACCTTTTCTGCTGCTCTCATTTAAAACCTGCATGGTTTTCATTGTGCATGTTCCTGCATTTAAACGGCATATATTTTTGGCATAGATGAAGAAAATATTTTGGTTCAGACTTAACCCAGGGACTCATTTGTTCCCACAAGATGAATGCAGCTTGGCCCACAATGTTCTTACGGACACCTCTAAAGTAAATTCTATCATAATTTCTGCTTTTTCCTGTTATTTCAGCCCATAAAGTACYGGGAAGAGCATCTTGTTAAAATGATGTATACAAATACAAATTCAGGATGTATTGTGCAAAACATTCAAGTAAAGACAAAGAGAAAAGATACCAAAACCCACAAATGAMGTATTTTTCAGCTGAGTTGCAAATGTTTGGCCACAGCTTCACAAGTATTTTTTTCATATTTCTTATACCAGCAGTTTCCACAGGTAAGGGCATATAAAGTATTGAGCAGACACAAACAATTGAAATGAAAAATCACCTACACACAGAATAAACCAAACTTGTATGTGAAGGAAAATGCAGCCCAGCAAGGATAGGTAACTACAGACCTGGAGGCAGAGCTAAAGATCAGGGTGTGCATTAGATTGCTTATTGTTCTTAATTCCTTTAATTACCACTTCTTTTAATTCTGCAGGTACATCAAAATAGATCCTCAAGGAGATCAGGCACAGATTTTCCAGATTCAATGCCTCCCCAACTCATTTCACCAGCGAACCAAGGTTAGTACGTACCACGCTCACAGAGAATCAGACACATTTGATCATCTTCCAGTCCCTTCTCGACCCTTGCAGTGCTCCCAGAGCACAGTGTCCCGACCCTCTGTGGCAATCCCTGGCTGACAAGGTTTCTGTGGCTCAGGAGGAGTGGGCAGTCATGCTTGGCCAGCTGGAGCTCRCTCTGGGCCCCAGAGCAGTCACTACCATGGCATGTGACACAACATCMCAGTGCATGTGGGTGCCTGTTGGGACAGCTGATCTATGGCTGTTGTTAGCAGGATGTCAGCTCCCCCACTGCAAAGAGCAAATACACTCCAAGACAGGTAATTTAGCTGCACAGATTTTTTTTTTTTTAAAGTTTCAAAAGACACTGTCTATTCACTGGTTTAGTTAATTGCTACATGACACTTAGAGCAGGTAAAGAAATGTGCAGAGGCAATCTGAAATGCAGATCACAAAGCGTTCTTTTTTAAAAAGATAGATTCTGAGATAAAAACAGACTGCTCTGAGCTCAGCAAAGATTTCACTGACTTTGTCAGATTTTCTAGTTGCTTATTTACTGCTCACATAGACTATACGATGTGAAGCATGAAATATATTACATGTATTAGGAAGCAAACTTGCCTTAATATGAGAGTCTGYAATGGCTCAGAAAAACCATTACAAACGATTATTACAATAATCTGCAGATTAAGGACTCTGTAAGTATGCACTGACATGATAAATCATATCATCTGCATTATCTATCCCYCCAGAGAGCCTGAGAGCAGCTCCAGCAAAGCCAAGAGGACAATAGGAGGAGTTCTGATTAGGTACAAGCTTCCCATTAGCACTGCACACCCATCACTGGGGCTGCTGCCTGCTTTAGCTTTTATTCCAAACACATACACAAACACAAATAAATGAGACCTAAACTTCGTTTCTGGTCCCTGTTGAGACTCAGGCACCTGTGCAGCTCCCTGATCTTGTTTCAGTGGGGTCAAAACTGTGCTGAGACTGAGCCTCCCTGCTGCAGTGTTTCCTCACCAGCACGCATGGCTGTAAGGGACTCTTTACAGCCTGGGGTCAGCACAGAGCAGCCTCCCTGCAATCCCTGTCAATCCTCAGGGAGTGGCACAGTGGCATCCTCTGGGCTGTCTCCCAAAGCCTCAGCAACCACAGCTCTCCTATCAGCTTCTCAGCCAGTCCAAGAGCGATGAAACCAAGCACAATACTCAGTAAAAGCCCAAAGGTGCTGCAGATATTCAGCAGGAGCTTGTCAGAGGTGCAGCCAACTGCTGGAGATTGTCAAGGGCCCTGGCAGAAGCAGCAGGGATGCTGTCCCCTGGGCCAGAGGCTGACAGCACACACTCCCAGGGGAGCACTTACTGCTACCTGGCACAGCTCTGCATCCCACAGCCCTTCTGTGCTCCCAGACTCCTCAATCCTTCACTGCATTGGGCCATTCTGCCCCTTCTGGGCAATGGGGCAACAAACAGGGTTTGTGCTCCCAGAACGCCAAGGCAGCGCCAGTGTGGTTATTTCATAACTTAATACATGTGGTTTTTCTGGAGCAGCTTATGCATGAGCTGATGCATCTTCAAAGAGCATATCCCACATGTTTTCATGCAGATATGAGTGCTGGGCCTGTTATTTAGCTACAGAATCAGTAGAATGAAGATTACAAACACTTATTGTTAATCCAGGCTAAAACTTGCTTGCTGCCTGCTTCAGACACAAATTCACTTTGGCATGTACAGTATTATACAGCCAAAGCAAATCAAGCTAATTTAATCAACCTCTCTAATAAATTTTACTTTTTAAAGTCTTTTCTGGAAGACAGAAGAAACATAATTAGGGCAAAATTCAGTAAACATCTTACATGAGGCATTAAGAGACCTTTGGCCAGAATGTTAGCTGAAAACCAGAATGATTAAAGCTGCCCTGGCAGCATATAGTTCTTCAGGGTTACCCTTAAGGATTCAGGGTCCAGGCCCAAGAACTGGTTGCTAGACATCTCCCACACACAAAAAAAAAGTAAGAGATGGAAGACAAACAGCTGGTTAAAATAAACAATGTAACATAAATGTGAACTAAAACGGAAAAAAAGATTGCATGTCTGAGTCTCAAAATACTTGTAACATCATTTTTGGGATGTGTCTCACACGTTCTGTCAACTCCCAGCTATGGTGTACTGGTGTGTGAGAAGAGAATGGTGCTCATCAAATCCCAGTCCTAATGAATCCAGAGAAAGTGGGAGCTCCTGGATTCCTTCTACAATAATTTAAACAGGATGAGGATTTAGYCCTTCACGTTAACCTTTTGTGCAGTACTTCAGCACTACAGCTTCCTGGACCATCTGTCAGCAGCAAATGCAAATGCTCATGGAAATGACTAAGGAAAAGAAATCATTACCTCAACTTATTTATTGCTCAGGAAAGGCTTTATGTGAATTTCTCTATAAAATGATTATGTTTGTGAACAATAAGCACAGGCATTATGTGGAGAGTATTCCAGTAGSCCATACAGAGAATGGATTGCAGGAACAGACCACAAAATGCCAGCTGAATAGCTAAATCTATCCCATCTAGGAGTCAGAGCAGCAAATCCCAGCTCTGTTAGTGCTTGGTCAACAACACAAACCAGTATGTTCTGCATTCTCATTTAAAGCTGAAATACAGACCTGAAACAGGAGGAAAAAAGGCCTAAGAATTTCTGCCCCAGAGCAACAGAAACCAGCAATTTCAAAGGGTTTTTTTGTCCTTTCAGGTGAGTACAGAACCTTTGCCATTTACCTTTAAGAAGGCATTTTGTCTTCTGTAATCAACCTTTGCATTAAAGAATATAATAATATCCAAGAAAAAAAAACTATTTTAACAACAGCAACAACAAAAATCTGCTTATAGCTTACATATGATAGTTACATATGAAAGTTCTGTTCATCTCTTGAAAAAAGATAGGAATAAAGAGRGAGGTCTCACATTTATAAATGTGGTACTGGGAGCCTCACTTATTTTCACATGCAAATCCCACCTGTTATCAAGCTGTGTGTGCTTTCTGCACAGAACATACAAGGCTGGGCTCTGCCTGGGCATCCTGCTCATARGCAGGACTTGACACAAGTATCAGAAAAGACAGCTGCTCTTTGCCTTTCAATACATTCAGCAGTGGTGATGCTGCTGAAAAGGATGTAAAGGAGMAGAGCTTTTGTTATCCTGTATTTTTGTAGGGCCATTCTATATCTAGGACACTGAAAAGAACAGTGCTTAGAAAAAAAAAATGAAATATCTACAAAGTTGATACATCTTAATTGTTCAGCTGTGGAAAACACCACTGGGTCAGGTCAGAACAACAGGAGATATTTAGCAGGAACATGTGTTGTACCAGCTCACAGCAATTAATCTTTGCTATTGAATATGAAAACAGGCAGGCACTCCTGAAAAAACGCCCTTTTTTCACCCAGCACCACATCACTCTCAGCCTTCTATCGCTTTTCCTGCTGATCTGTGAATCTCCTGGTGCTGCTCCCTTTCCATCACGGAGCTGTCTGAGGCTCCGGGAGCCTCCTCGGCACAACCCAAACCCCAAATCCCAAACCCCAAACCCCMCCAGGATGAGTCAGTGCTGCCGGGAGCACAACCTCCACCCACTGGGTGCCAGCCAGCAATGCCTCCGGCACTGCCAGAGAGCCAGCAAGGACTGCCACACGAGCGAGAGGGGTTATGCAAATCCCTCCTGACTTCTGGAGAGGATGGCTGTTTGGGGAAACAGGCGGTCTCTGGGGGAAGCCAGAAAAAACAACCCACAGTCATCACTGCCTTCTGCCTCACTGGGAAGCTGTGCCAGACTCAGGAGCTGTTAATGCTCTGCCCTCTTCCTAGATCCTGTTTCCGTCCCAGCCTGTATTTTTAGTTACATAAATTATCCCAGCATCTGACCYCGGAGCTTGTGATACAGGAAATGAAGCACATCACGAATTTTCCTAACTAGAGGAACTAACTTGACTCCGACTATTTAAAGTACTGGTCCCTAATGTTTTGGACTGCAGTGGGCCATGCAAATACTTGCAGAAGGAAGCAACTMATCCCTCACCAAGTCCCTTTCTCCCTGCTCTGACCAAATGCACATCTGTCCCACCACAAGGCCCTCACACCCCCTCAGCCCAGTAGCTCTATGAAGCATGCAGGAGGCTGGTATTTTTGTCCAGAAATTATACCCACTGTCCACACTACCCACAAAAAGTCATCTTCCATGCACCCCCAATCAGAAAAAAACAGTAATATTTTAGAAATAAATCATCAGTGACTAAAGGTAGAAGAGCTGAAGAAAAACATGTGGAGAAAACAAAGAGATGACAAAATAAACTGACCCAGTTTCTGAATTTGCCAGAGGAAAAAAATATGTATGTGCCTAACRAGCATTGCAGGAAATCTCAGAGACTGCAGCAACACTGGAAAACTAAACAGAAACCTGTGAATACAGTAATAACTGTAGGAAAACTATTCTTAGGTGATAAATTTCTTTTGTTTAGAATGATTCTGGGGTAAATTACACAGACTAACTAAAAATAGAAAATAGAGAGGTGATAAATTAATATTTAATKAAAATTACAATTGTCAAAAAGTTACTGGGACAGCTCTTGAGGGTTACCTCGCATATACAGGAGCGTGCTGCAAAGACTGCCCTGACAGCCCACAGCACCACTGCTTCCAGGTTTACTTCCAAACATTTCAACTATTTCCTAATTAAATACTGGAAAAAAGAACATGGAAAGTGGTTGGCTCTGAGCTTTGCCATCCTTGGTGCTTCACGTACTGCTAGAAGAGATATAAAATGTTAGTACCCTACTGCAATAATTTCACRAAAAATAAATGCAGTGCAGCTGGAGTAGCCTGGCTGGAAGATGAATGATTTRAGCTCTACAGCAACACACAGGTCAGAGGCAATAACTCCACACAGTCACTTCCAGCACTCAAGCTTGAGCTTACCCTTGTTTTGGCATCAATTTTAGCTCCTCGATCAAGTAGGAGTTTGACCATATTTGCGTTTCCCCTTTTCGATGCAACATGCAACGGCGTGATATCATTCTGTGGAAGAAAAAAAACCATGAAAATAAATATGCATGTCTGTCTTTCAGGAGTTCCATTTTTGGTTTGCCCACAGAATGGATTATGCCCAATTTGCTAAAGCATAACAGTTTGTTTCCCTGGGAGTAGGAAAGCAAAAGGAGGCTGTGTTCAGTCACACATGTGAATTGCTTGGTCTGATACCCCAACATACACACAGTGAAGACAAAAATCAAGTTGTGGTTACAGTTGTAAGATGACATGATTATGCCTCAGCTCACAACTYCTGCTTAAGGGTTAAACTTWTGCAATTTTAMWAAATCCTAGCAATTTAACCCAGCCRTGGTTGTTTCTGAATGTGTRGCACTAAGGATTCACACMTCACAACTTCACTGGACTTGTAAGAGCCATAGAAAATAAATAAAACCATTACATCTGTAGACCTAATTAAAAAATTATGAGATGCCAAGACTGCTTATTTCCGAACATTATCAGCAGGCTCTGAAAGCCTGACAAGCACCTTGATTTCAGTCCCACTGTTAATTCTGCCTACCCAATGTGCTCTAATGGGTGGGATAGTGTGCTGGAAGGCAGGCTGTGGAGCAGTGTGTGTGCTTCCCTGGCTGGTGCCCGGCAGAGACACTGCACATCGAGGACAGTTACACAACCAACGCCTGCGCACGCCGAGCGCTGCTGGAACACGGCGCTGCCAGGACGTCTCTTCATGCTCTGATGAATCCTTTATCTCGTGGCCAATGAAGGGCTGCATATATCTGATGGTATGGAGCCAAGGGAATATAAAAGGGGCTAAATAGAGCTCCGGTGTGCAGGCAAACAGGACGGTAAAGGACGCGCTCCCGTGCGCTCGGGGGCAGTGCAAACAGCTGGCTGTGCTGAGCCTGGGAGCCGGCAGGAGATGCAGGAGTGGGTGTCCCCCCCAAAAAAAACACCCTGAGCAGCTGGGGAGGGGTAMAGGGTGTCTAACAGAGGTGTCTGGGCTGGCTAACAGAGCCTCTGCAGAACTGCAGGTGAGTGCAGTGACACAGGAGCAGCACCGAGGAAAGATCCCCTCGGAGATGTGACACGGTGACTCACAGATTATCATAACACCAAGCACCTCACGCAGTCGCTGCATTCTCATTTACACAGAATTTCACTATGAAGCTAACTCAGAGCTACTAAAGAAGACTAATTAATATTATCACAGAGRTAAAATACATGTTAGCAAGGTTAAATGACAGAGATTCTTTCTACAATATGCATGATCATTAGAGTATCAAAGTGATGACTGTGTCAGGGTAGCTTCTCATTCCTTTAAAAAACAAAGGAAAGCAAGAAGATGCTCAGCACATTTAACAAAAAGTGCAGCGTGCCTAGTCCTTTCAGGACTGTGTGATCACTTAAATATTTTGTGAGCTGGTTTTGAAAAAAAGGAATTAATTCTGTTTGACTGGGAGTTGACACYGGATATAATATGGGGTCACTACATTACTGTATCAGTCACAAAGAGGACAGAAAGAGAGAGAAGAAAAACAATTATGTGGAGATACTTTCTGCTTTTTCTCCCTTCCCAGTAGGAAAGATGTTACTGAGGTCAGAGGGAGAGCAAGATGAATTCTACCTTCCTGAGGAAAAAAAATGGTAAAGGAAATAACTTTGTGTCTTCAAATAAAGAGTACTGCAGGTAATTTAGGTTAAAGGAACACATTTTCCCACTTGCTGATGTTGATGGGCAAAGAGGTTAACTCAGCCTAACAGACCCTACTGCTTTCTTAATACATCAAAATAATTTAGTACTAATAATTTACTGCTCCATACTCAGACAAGAAGAAAAGCCTTTTCCAAGTATCAAGGAAGCAATGGAGGAGGAAGGGACAGCATTACAAAAGGCAGGAGWAATACYTGTTAGAAGTCTGGTTCTCATTCATCTCAACACTAATCTAAATTTACTGCAGCACAGGGGAGGGTATAACCACATAAGAATGTGCACTTTGGATCTGATTGTTTGCCAGTCAAAGCTCCTGTTGCCATAAATGAAGGAGAGCTGATTCTGGAATAGATGGATGAGTGCTGGCAAACACACACCTCAAAACCAAAAGAGATGACTACCAGTTGGCAGTTAAGGGTTTAGGTCATGCTGTATGTTTGCAGGAGAAAGGGAAAAAAATTAAAATATCCTCTTTCATGTTCAAAACCAAATCCTGTTCAAACWGCATTCATATTTCTGAGTTGCTACCTAAACTATTAGGACAGCACAATTTTCTCCCAGCTTCTGACAGGGGCAATTACCCCCAYTGGAAATGTGGGGAAATTCACYCCYAACATCTCAGGAAAACACTGTGAGGAAATGAAAAGAGAAAAAGAGAGCAGGCAAGTCTCTATTCAGAATTTAATTTTGTCATTTACCTATTTAAGCTTTTACTGGTGGCAAAGAATATGGAGCAATAATTCTGCTGGCTGAGAGCTCTGACTCCAAGCAGATGAAGAGGTGCATTCTGTGAATGCCTAAATAATGGCACAGTGATGTTCAGGCCAAGCAACTCCTCTTTGGTCAACACTGTCTCGTGCCAAGTTTTAAAGAATCACAGCTAGAGGTTTCATACCTATGGTTTTTCCCATCTCTCCTTTCACAATTAAGAACATGAACTGAGAAGTGAAAAAATCTTAGATTTCATCATTAATTTTTCTGATGACAAATCATAAAACAAGRAACTCAAAATTGAGTTATTTGTACTTGTCACAAGAAACTAGAGATAAAAAAAGCTTCATAATGTGTGCAACTTTGGTGTTGTTTATTAACAACAACTAAAACTGTAGTATCAGCAAACAAAATAGCCACCAAATGTAAGGTTCTGAATTCTTCAGTGTATCAACAGCATCTGCTGTCTTTTCAGTCTATTTTTATCTGTTTGATCTTCTAAAAATTTCTYCCTTTGTTCTTAAGATAGAATAGTAAATCAGGAAATTTTTGAAGATGTTTTCCTGCAGTCATAAAGCTGAAATGCCTTCCAAAAGTTGCCATTAAAAGGTGTGGTTCAGCTCCAGAATTCCTGCTGGAGCGCTGCYTGCCCTTGCTGTTGAAAAATCAGGTGCTGGGTAAGGTCTCAGGTAGAGCCCTCCACACTGAGATCCAATTTGTGARTTAACAAATTCTACAGGGAATATGAAGCGTTGCTTGTGAGAACAGCAAGCTAAACCCATGCAATAAATGCTCAAAGGATTATCAACTAGAACACAGCCTTTCCTCTCCTTCTTGGCAGATTTCCTGGGGCACATGACTTGAAGTGCTCTGAAACCGTACAGAGCTCAAAATGCAATGGATTAGGGGCACACAACTTTTTGTACATTTGTCAGCATTGTGGATGGTGGTTTTCCCATTGTCTCCATCCACTGCCTGCTGCAGCCCACATCCCCTCTCACAGGGCTCGTGCCTTCCTTCAGAGCCCCACAAAATCCCCAAATAGGTGGGTAAGGAGTGACTTGCTTTTACAGTCAGTGGCCTTTGCTTGTGCCTGATCAGAGGGAACACGAAGCCTTTCCAGCTGCAGCTCTCTATCTACAGCTTTGCAAGAGAACTCAAAAACCTGTGAGTTATCTTGTGTTGAGAAATGAGGCACCTAACATTTCCCATCTGAAATGAGATCAGCTGCCCTCTGGCACATGGCATGATCCATCACAGTTCACTGCAGCAGCCAGAATGAATCCTTTCTACCACAAATTAGCAACATGGTTGGAAGTCAAGACAYGGTTAAGAAGTCGAGAAAAAATTGGAAGTCAGGTTAAAATTGTCAGTGTGCAAAGTAAATCTTACATAGTTATATTTGAACGCATTTAGAAAAGCAGGAACTCCCCCTGGTTTCTGGTGTGCTTTGCTGCCCGATGGGATTGCCTCTTTCTCCCAGCACAGTTGGACTGTAGAAGCATAAGGATGCTAATAATAACTGAGAAAAGCAAATGCTTGCACTCACAGCTTCACATTGGGCTCAGAAGTACACCTTTAAAGGAAGGCACAAAACAAAGGGAAAACCTGTGCCTGTCATGTGCTGCATCGATTTAAATGCTGACTGAGCAGCTTATCACTGTGAAGACTCATTGCCAGCCACACTTGGTATTTCTCCTTGCTGCCAATGACAGAACTTACCTCCACCTCAGCTCTCCTCCCAGCCCCTCGGTGGAATGCAGTTTTAATCAGAAAAATTACACTCATCTGATTTCAAATTTCACTTCCTTGATTTAAAACAAACCACTACAGTTTCTTACCAAAATGCTTGGATCAACTTGGAATTTTAGTAAGATGGTTTTTCTCAATCCTCAACTGAGAGCAGACTCTAGGAAGAGCTTAATATTGACACAGAATGTGTGAACAAGACAGAAGCTGAAAACAGCCAGACTGCTACAGCAGAATTTTCTTTTACAGTCTGGAAAATCCCTCCAATCCAATTAAGCGTTTTTAAGGAAAGAGCACAATGGTGGTTGTTGCATACTGGAATTTTCAGCAGCACCACTGAAGTGACATTGCCACTATTATCAGATCCTGGAGGTATGGGAAGATTGTGGTGTACATTTAAAGATTGTCATATGCAACTATGCAGCTACACCAACACATTGGATATGGAAACACTCAATATTCTCCCCTGCCTTTTTCTGCAATTCAGAACTGAGGCTACAACACAACAGAATCCCTGCAGAGAAAAGTCTTATATTCTAGTRGCATTTACTGAGATCACTGAGGCTTGTATAGATGTTTCAGAAATTAAAGATGAAAATACATAATCAGATGCTKTCTAGGAAACCCTACAACAGTGCAAAAKTTTTCAGATTTTTTCCTCCTCTTCTTAATGGCAGGAAGTCTTACATTGTGCGATTTTAGTTCTTGTGTGCTTATARACTTCACTTTCTTTAGGGCTGAGATGTATAAAATGAATCCTGGAAGAAAAGAAGAAAGACTACAGCAAGGAGCTCCGATGGCAAACTACCACTGGGGAAATAAAGATGTTTTTCTCTTATGCCACTGTCACTTAGATATTGCCTGCTCTTTTTGATGGGCTAATGGTGTTCTGCTCCTCAGCCTCAGGGTCATCATTAATGCATGTTGTCCTCACACCACCCTCAAAATCACCAAATCCTCTCTCAACCTTCCAGCAAGCAAACTTTCTGCAGGCAAAGCCCAGCCCCAGTGGAAGTGAGATGTCCCCTAGGATCAGGAGTGCTGTGTGTCACCAAGGCTGTTCCCAGGGCTGGATGCAGTGTTGTGGCACAGTGATGAGCTCCTGCTTGCTGTGGCAASGAAGATACAGGGAGAGGTCATCTTCACACAGAGGGTTCCCTGGCTGCCTCAGCCTTCTGACTTGCTCCAGTACACAGTGGGTATGGGGGTAGTGTATGTGGGTATAGTGGGTATGGGTATTCTTTTAGCTGTTGCTCTGGAAGCTGAAGAGAATTTCATCCTCCCTTCCTTTCTAACCACTGTGMYCCTCAGAGACARGTGGGRCTTSAAAGGCATTTCCTCACCTGGGCTAARCAGAKCTTTCCACTGGAAGATCCTCTCARACAGAAGAAAGCKATCTGAAGACTCTGTGAACCCCCAAAAGATAACTTTTTCCTAATTATAATTCCCAGTTTATTCAAAACGCCTTCAAAATCATTAAAGCTCCAGGTAAGACATCAAATAAAGTTTGATTTAAAGGCAGAAGTGGTGGAGAAACAATAGTTTTGAAAGGACAGGGATTCATTTTACCAGTTGAAAAATGGATTAAACAGGTTCACTTCAAGGTGTCTGGCTGCCTTTCAGTTTGTAACCAGGATTCCTCCACAGTTCTCCAACATCAAGTGGCATTATCAGCAAAGAGAATGGTGCCTTGCAATCCTTCAAAGCCCAGGTGGTGACTGCATTTAAGTGTTAATGTGGCCAAGAAAGGAGGCTGACTTCACCCTTTATTCTCCTCCACTTCTTTAGTCTCTGGGACCGTCTCCCAATTAAGTAAGAGGGAAATATGGTGAGGCAATGAAGGGATTTCTGAAACTTTGAGGTGGTTTTGGAGAAGCACAGTCGGACACACAATAATGTACGACAGAAAAAGGATGATGAGTAGACATGAAATGCCTGTTACTCTGCAGTGTACACCCTGCCASTAATTGTGACAGGTTTTCTGTCGAGTTTGAGCCCAAGGAGACAAGCAGTTTGGAATGACTGTTTTTCCTTTGCTCCAAAATGGCAAACATCCAGCTGAATAAGGAGATCTTGTTTCACTGGAATGAGGTTAGGATGGTTCCCAGAGCTGCCTCCTTGTTCATAGGTGGAATAAAGGGCATCACAAGGCTGATTCACTGAAATGATTTCCATCCACCCCTACAGGGAGTTTGCAGCGCCACCTTCCCTGCACTCGCAGCAAGGCAAGAGAAGAAAGCAGAGATGCAGAAGTGCTAAAGAGCTCAAGGGAAGAGCTGACACGACATCAGTCACTTGGCTGCCAGAGTGCAAACCTGTGAAAGGAGGTGTGTTTCCAACCCCTAGCCCCTACAGTCAGCAGGCACACAGGCTGGCAGGCACGGTGACACCTGTAAGGCTCCTGGAGCTGTGCCTGGTGGTGGAGAACAGGGGACWGAGGCAGGCTGTGCCAGCTGAGAGCAGGCAGGTGTGCACCAGTGGGGCTGAGGGAGCAGCTGCTGCTCAAAATCACTGGGGACATCATTTCCTTACAGCACAGCACCACTGCTCGCCTCCTGCACACACAGTGAGAGGCAGCAGCAAGCTCATCTCTGTCCTTGCCTTCACTGCTGGAACCTCTTTCTTCCCTCAGGCCTCTCRGAAACACATTGCAAACAGCAGCTGAGGAGATTTCCTTTGCCACAGGCCTGCCCTCCTTTTCCCTACATCCTTTCAGCTCTCCTTCTCACCACACTTGCCCTTGGCCTTAAGGCTCAGAGCTCTGCCTTCATCCCACACATCCATTCACAATTTCTCCACCTTTCCCCACCCTGACTACACTGACAGTGGGAGCTGGCTATTTGTCCTGCCCTCACACATTTCATATTGCCCCCTCACACAAGTTTCTTCTGTTACCATACTCCTCCAAATCTCTGCCCCAAATCTGCACTTTCCTCAAGAGTTTGAACATAATTTGAGAGCTAGACAAGTTGTGTTGATTTGTATCTATTAAAGTATCTACAAGTGCATTTGACACTCCAACTTAAAGTTTGCTCTTTGCACTTCTGAAAGCTACACTGCGCACAGTAGTATTTTTTGGGTTACAAGCCTTCCATATCTTTGCTCTGTTGCTGATCTCACATTGTCAGCAACTCGAATAAGGGCCTTTCCTCCAGAGTGGATGGTGTTTACAGAAACTAAAACAAGTGGCATTGAGGTGGCAGTGAGCAGGCTGYAGCTGAGGGTCATTTTTAGTACCTGTTTTGCAGTGTGGGCAATCAAGGATCAAGCAAGAGCTTCTTGGTGCTGATAACTGCACCTTTCACACAGCTTCCACTGGCACTYTGCCTACAAACTCACTGCTCCACCAGAACCTAACCCACCTTTCCGTGCAGCAGTCTGATGAGCACTAAAGAACAAAATTCAACTCCATATTACAGTTATTTATGCTACAGTTCTTTCTGTCACAACAGCTTTATCCAGGTTTGCAGCTGCCATGSAGCGGGACGAGCTCTCTCCCTCTCTGGATCCCCCGCCCTGTATCACAAGCACAAACAAGMTTTCAGCACTCCCTGAGTCACAGCCTCAGCCCACTGCTCCTTCAGGCTGATGTCACTGCAGCCACACTTCCCCAGATATCCCACAACTCTGTCTTGCTCAACTAATGGAGGCAGAATTTAGAATGTTCAGATCTTGAAGAGGAGGCAAGAACGGTCTTATTACGCTGGATGGGCTCTCCACAAGTGTCCTTAATCCAAAACAGAGCTGCTAAAGACTAAGACTTATTATTTTATTAAAATAAGCACAGGCAGATGGTATTTAGTGCACTGTACTAAATGCTGCTAATTGCTAATGCAGTAGCATTGCTAATCCCTAATCTTGTTTCTGAGTGGGAAAGAGYTGACCCAAGACCCCATTTGTCTTCCTTGCTTCTGTGATTAGGGCTTATCAAATGCTCAGTGCCAAAGCTTAGGATGGTATGAAATGCCTTAATGCTCTAATCGGGTCACTTAAAGGACTTGGAAATCAGGGGTCAGTGCTATCAGCGAAAGCAAAGCAAGGGTTTGCAAGGCTCATCAGAAAAACTTTCCCGCATGTAAATGTGTCCCTCAATTCCAAAAGCACTGAAGCTTTTAGCTATACAAACTATCTAAAGTAAAATAGTGCAAACTCACATTTTTTTTTCATGCAAATGCTCTAAGTAGTATTATAGCATTTTTCCCCTTGCAAAAGAAATACACTTAACACATGATCAGAATCTCGGAAGAGGAGCTGCTGGATTAGCCATGTGACATAATTCCCCTCATAAATATATTTTGGAATTTACTGGGTGTTTTTTTTTTTTTAATTTTTTCTAATTTAATTGAAAGATTGCTTCAGAAAATCATTAGTTATGTTTAATGTTCCTTATTAAGCAATTATTAGTAATGTTATTTACTAAGATTTAATAGGAAGTATCTAAATTTCTAGACAACATTTATTCATGGTCAATCTATTTACTCTTGCATCAGCATTTGCCTGCACTTTGAATGCCTCACGTTCCCTTTGATTTTATGTCCCTATTGCCCTGGATCACTACCACATCTCTTCCCTGGCTTTGTTTGGTAAGGTTTGGTGAGCCAAAGCCTTGTACAGCCTCAGTTTGTTTTGCAGTTTATTTATTTAGTCTCATGCCTGGCAGTAGTAGAATTTACTGGGATCACTGATCTCTTGTAGATGTTTCAGAAATTGAAGATAAAAATACATAATCAGATGCTAGATGCTTTCTAGGAAACCCTACAACATAATTTTCCCACTTTTTTCCTCCTCTCCTTAATGGCAGGAAGTCTTATGTTGTGCAATTTTAGTGCTTGTGTGGTTATTTACTTCATTTTCTTCAAGGTTGAGATGTATAAAATGAATCCTGGAAGAAAAGAAAGACTACAGCAAGGAGCTCCTATGGCAAACTACCASTGGGGAAATAAAGATGTTTTTCTCTTATGCCACTGTCACTTAGATATTGCCTGCTCTTTTTGATGGGCTAATGGTGTCCATGCCTGGCACAATGATATTTCCTTGCCCTTCATACTGTACCCCTATCCTTCATGCTGTATCCCTACCCACATAAGTTTGGGTTTTTCCCCTGTTCTCCCAGCTCTAACTTCCCTCTATTGTTTCCTGTCTTTCTCCTGCTTACATTATGGACTCCACTCCTACATCTCCTTTCCCATCCTACTTGTCCAGTTTCTCAGATTTCCTTGAGGAATCACCTGCCTCTCACACGTGCAGAGGAGGCACAGATGCTTTATCCACCACCACACCTGYGTTTGCCATTCTCTGGGAGCAGCTGCACGGCAAGGAGGATCCAGCAGGGACACAACACTCCTGCCATCTGCTACAGCTACAGGTGGCAGCACTCGTGTCACTGGATGCCACCCCACCTTCTGCAAGGCTGGAACCATGAAAACAGCAGTTCCTTTTGATGAACACAAGTTTTTGGAGTTGAGAACTCRGCTCAGGTTCGGTTCAGCAGCCTGGGGAAAGCCCTTTAGGCCAGCTGGTGACAGAACAGCCCAGTCAGGTGACGCYCCGTGGCTGGTGAGAGCCTTCACACCTCAGTGCCAAGGTGCTGCCAGCTGGTGACTGGGCAAACTGAGCACAATTCAGATTCCACACTTACTCTGGCAGTGAAATCCACGGCAGCTCCCCGGTTCAACAGCAACGTGGCTACGTTGATGTTCCCATAGTGAGCAGCTATGTGGAGGGGAGTGAACCCGCTCTGGAAAAAAACAAAACAAAACACAACCAATAGATACTTTTTGTTAAATATCACACTAGTACTCCAAAATTCGCAGCACATCACTGACAAAAGCTAGTAACAGGAGTCTGCTGCAAGTCACCACTCCAATTCTGTACTAGTTTTCACTCACTGATGTTTATTTATAGTATCACAGAGAACCTAAATAAAATCATATTGCTATGCAGGAGGGGAAAAAAATTAACATAATTATTCTAGAAGATAAGAAGTTGARTAAAACTTTCAGTTATTCCAGAAAAACAGCAGCAAAACATTAGAGTGTTAAAGCAATGATCTGACTTTTATAAGAAATTAGCTTCTAAATAGAAATATATAGTTACTGGTATTATGTCAATCTCGCAAGTTAAATCTTTTAGAGACTTTTTGCAGTAGTTCAAATACAAGTCATTTAATGATATTTGCTAACTGATTTTTATAAATTCAAAGTAGATGCAAATGAAAATAACATCAAAGACTATTTTAAATTATTAATATGGGGTGTTTTTTTCCAAGGGTTAGCGCCATAAAGATCAGTCTCCCACTGTGGGCAATCACACTAGGTTATGTTCAGACACCACGAGTTACCACCCTAATTAAAAGAYGTCTTACTGATAAAATTACTTCACAGCTGATTTTCATATTTAAGTAGTTTTACTTCCTTTTAAAATAATGCTAAAACATGCAGCAATTCCATCAGTCCTGCAAAGTATGAAACCTTATGGGAACTAGATGCATTTCTAAATCATTAGCAAGCCATGCCAGCTGCCACTGCCTTGCTTCGGGAGTTTTGCAGCTCTGAAACCACTCTCAGATCATTCTATTTGCTGACACCATCAAGGTGAGTGTCATGCAGAAGCCTAGAATCAGACCTGGATGCACAACATGACAGGGTTGTCTGCAGCTCTCGAGACATCTGATAAACGTATGTTCCACGAGAATCCCTGAAAACTCCGTCTCGCACAATAAGGCCCTTTTGTGATGGCACTTAGTTCCCAAGAATGCTTCACTCTCACTTTTAAACCCTATTTTCAGCTGCAGAAAGCCCTGGTCTCTAAACTACAGTCTTCTCTAGCACATGCTACTTCATTTCATCTAAAGCAGGTGTCTATCCTATAATAGGCGATGCAGACAGAAGGGAGAAATGATGCAGCAGCACTAAGTCATGGAGGAGTGATGATGCATATATATATTTATATATACCTCTGTTGTTCTATTCACCATCATCTAGGTTAACACATTGGGAAGCAAAGAGGGGGGAAAAAATGAACGGTTAGTCCACCACTGGTGACATGGATGCGGAAAGCTTCGTGATGGCTGCGTGGCATGGCAGCTCGGATGGCAGCAYGCCTGGCACACACGGGAAGCTCCACGGCACGGAAGCCCAACCAGCGAGTATTTTGAGTGCTAATTGTTACATGTTTACCAAAGTTCTCCAGGTAGCAATGGCACAGACAGCTGATCAAATGACTGAACTGGACAGTACCTACAGCTCACCACTGCTTTCAGGAGTGCYTTTCATTTCCGACAGAATAATTCAAATAATGTTTGGTTTATTATTTTCCATTTGCAAGGTTTCTACAACASAAATTAACCCTGATTTAAACAGAAAGGGAATGGGGGAGAAAGAGGCAAAAAGGAGGCAAATCAAACGTTACTCTTAAACCCCATGTTAGAGGAGAGAGTTAGGCATAACTGCAGCAAAATAATTCAGCCTGAGGGAGATCTCCAGTGGATGTGGTCAGCCTSATGGCAGCAAGCCTTCCTGCTGCTCCCAACTGACCTTGGACTCCACGTCGGCGTTGTGGTCGTTCTGCAGGAGCAGAGCCGCCGCCTTGGTGTCGTCCTTGCGAGCCGCGATGTGAAGAGCAGGCAGCCGGACTTTTCCCTTCGTGTCGTTTTCCAGCAGCAGGGAAACCACCTGGTCATGGCCTTGCTGCAAAGCCACTGCCAAAGGGGTGAAACCATCCTGCAACACACAACGGGCACCGTCAGCCTGTGCTCCGAGCCTTCCACAGGGCAGGAAGGGACAGAACGGATCTCAGCGCTACAACAGAGCAGGCTCAAATTCAATCACCAAGCACCACACAGTGCACACTGAAAGGACTCTGCAATGACCCCGAAATTGGAATAAAATGTTGGTGAACGTGGTTCCAAATATTCAGAACACCCTTCTGGCACTCCAGACACAACATAAAATCGTAAGACACAAATGGCTGAGACTCGAGGAAAAAAAAAAAAAGTATGAAATTACTCACAAATTTGCAGTTAATTATACAGATACTTATTTATTTAAGTGCTTAATTATATAAAATGGTATAAAAAGCTGGAATATTAAAATTACAATTGCTAATCGTATCTCAACAGTAAATTATAATCCATCCCTTACAGATTATAATCTACATTTTTTGCTTRTTTAAAAACACCCAGACAACTAAACAAACCAAAACAAACAAACCACTTGAGCTCTATCCTCTAATATATTTTATGTGTGGATKTAAAATATAAGAATTGATTAAGAACACCACATTCTCCTAATGTACTGATGTTCTACTACAATTTCCATTTATGAAAAGTTATATCATTTGATAGACAATCCTCTTACAAAAATAAGTTATTTACTTTCAGATTCACTAAYAGTCAAATTGGTGGGGAATAAAAAACCTGAAAAATAGAAGACTTTTATTCAAYAGATTTTAGAGCAGATTACTCAAATACATAAAGAGCAAAGTCCAGGATTTATAATTTTATGTTTTTAATTTTAATTTTACTTTTACTTTATGGATCCTTAGGAAACTAAAGAATGAAGGACATTTAAATTCTGCTCCTTACAAAACATTTGTCTTTGCAACCCAGGAGCACATTCAGCTTTGCCCAAGATAATACCCATAAATCATTCAGAAAATCACAAAGGCGAGCTAGTTGGGATATTTATTTGCTACATTTGTCTCCTGCTGAATATATCTAAGTGGCAATAATTTAATTACCAAAGTTTTTGCACTTAGACCGACACAGAGAAAACAGATTTATATGAAAACTTGGACCAAGAGAAAATAAAAAAGAAACTGTAAGCAACTATCTCAAACAAGGAAGGCAATAAAGCCACCACTGTTTCGTAGTCCAGTATCTTCAAAGTAATTCTCCATGGATAAAATTAGATTGCACCTTATCATCAAGCTGACTTAGAGAAAAGTTCAACCTAAATTGGCACACAGTGCTCAAGGGAAAAACAATACCAAAGAAAGACAACCAGGTACCCACTCAAAAATTTCTAAAAATCTGTTTTCAGAAAATCATACAGTAGCAAGAGTATTTTCATAATTCAGAATCTACTGTACATCCCTAGGAGTTCCATGTCTTCTTTCTTTCCAAGCTTTTACAAAGAAATAGAAATTAGTGCTCTGAAAACTAATTTTCAATTAATTTTCCAGATGTACATTTTGGTATTTGTTAACTTTCGTATCTTTGATCATTTCCAGAAAGTGGTTCTGATGCACACTTCTAGTTATAACWAACTTTTAGCCATTTTGGAAACATAGTTTTGATCCATTAGCTATTCAGTTTTTACAGTGTTGACTTCAAAAGAATAAGATTTCCTTTCTGCATCATTATACAGTGGTATGATGAGGAATAGTGGCAATAAACTAACTTTGCATTTCAAAATTTGCAAAAAAGTAGGCCTTTTTCAAATATGCATTATTTCCTTCATGGAAATAGTACTGGTAGACCAATTAGAATTCAATAAATAATAAAGAGAGCACACATTGAAGTCCCTTTTAATATTTTGGTTGGCAAAATTTTAACATTTTGGTAACAAGACAACTGAAAATCCATCAGATCTTGCACCTATCTCAAAGCCTTACATTTGTGACTATTAATAAGTTTGYTACTTATTTTCTCCACAGATTGTCTTGACTTAGAATTTCTTCTTAAAGAAAGAAACATGAAGAGTTGTTCCAGAAAGATCACAGAACACCTTCAAGGATGGATCCTGAATCTTTCTGTCAGATTGAAATTCTCCCTGCAGCACCAGCTGGGGTAACTGGGTGCCACAGACAGGGTACCAGCAGGGTAATGAAGCAGTTCAGGAAATGCCTCAAGCAACCCTGGGTTTTCTGTGATATCCCAGGGCTGCTCCAGAGCACAGGTGAACAATTGTTCTTGCCTCACGGTTGTCACCCTTCTCATCGCTCACTATTTTTACTGAAAAGCACAGGGAACTTTTATATTACACACACAGCTTCCCTGGGTGAGCACTTAACCTGAAAGATTAGCAGTTATGACTAAGAACACATCTATATTTAGAACTGTCTCTAGTTAAAGTCTTTTTTTTTTTTATTTTAGAAATGGCAAGAGATAGTTTAAATTGCTGAAAAGCCCATAATTCTATTCATTAGCACACTTCACAGAGACAGCTTTTTATTAGTCTTTAATTYTGTATTTGAAAGACTAGTTTGATATAAGCTGGCAGAAGTCACTGCTGAAGCACATTTTGCTTTGTTCATAAAGTGTTAAATTCAAACTTTTACCTCTGTGGAGAGACTTTGACTGGCACCATTGTCAAGAAGAAACTTAACAACCTCCAGGTGGTTTTCTTGGGCTGCCATGTACAATGGAGTGAAGCCATTCTGAAACATGAAAAYGAGAGTGTAAACATTTTATACGTACCCCCCAACATTTTATACATACCACAGATCTGCCAAACATGGGCAGATCAGGCCAAAAGTAAAAAAAAAGGGTTTGCTCACAGACCAATTAACAGCATGATCTACACTGGCTTAAGTGAACATGGGAGAAGGGCAATATAATTTAAAAGGACACGGGAATCTTTCAGCGGACCTGTTACAGTTCCCACAGCTACACCAGAACAATGCCTTTCACATCTGTTGTGAAATTAAACTAAAAATCAATCYAGACAGATGGTCTGGTGGCAGTGAGTTATGATTCCTGATAAATACAGCCACAGCACTGGAAATGCAAAACGGGACAGGGAAATACAATACAAGTCTGTAGCAAAAGCAACGACTCTTCATAGTAATGGGCATTTTTTTTTCTCTTCTTTCCATTAGCTTTGACTTGTCTTTCACTTGTGCYAGCTACTTTTGCCTTCCATCTCCTCAAGGGGCTGCCTTCTGAGCACAGTCTGCTGTGGGCACTGATCTACTTCATATTTCAGGCACCAGGAGATGTAAGGATCATTGGTTCTCAGCAGTTYGAGGCAGAGGTTTATCAGTGCTTCCAAGCCCATTAGAGCATCTCTCAAATTATGCTTAAGTGACTGATTTCAATCAATGCAATACAAGTATGAGAGGCTGCAGAGCTTAACTCCTTTGATGAATGCCTTCCCCTCACAGTCAATGCTTTTCTCTTTGCCTTAACTGCAAGCAGGTCACAGACTGTCAGAAATCAAACTTTTTGGGATTAACATGAAGGCATAATTTTTTTGGCAATTTTTTTGCCTATTGTTCTAAGAATTTCTGAAATCTCTGCTACAGTTAGCCARGACGCTGACCCAGATTTTTCAGGAAACCAAGGGGCCAAACAGAGATGAGCTGAGAGGAGTTTGCCATACATTTGCATCAAAGACAAAACCATGAACACTCCGGGCTCTGGAGAGATTCAGGGATGCCACAGCCTCAGACCTATGGCCATGAAACTGGGCTGAGCCRTGGCAGGGAGCAGCTGAGGGACATCTGACCATCCCAGGGCACGCGGCCAGCACCGGGCACAGGATGGCACAGGTGACCCCAGGCCAAGCACGCAGCAGAGGGGACAAAGAGCAGGACACCACAAAGGACAGCTGGGGAGGAAACGGGTGCTTGATCCAAGAGGAGCTTTACCAGCAGCAAGACACGGAGCAGCTGCCAGGCCACATGTTCATTCACCAGGGCTGGGCAGGCTGCAGGGCTGCTGCGCCGCCAGTTTGGGGATTGTGCTCGGGGAAGCTACAAACACACAGTGGGGCTGAGGGATCACAGGTCAGCCACGGCTTAATGCACTCCAGAACAGAGATCGAGCACTTCGGTCACCAGACAGCCAAAATTCTACTTAATTAAAAACCAAAGAAAGCAGCAAGCACTTGCTAAGGTAGCTTCTGTGTCACACCTCAAGTTATTGCAGTGAGCGGCAGTCTGGCATTTCTCCCTATCATTTCAGGGCATACTCAAAAGCTATTTACTAACTCAGCTGGAAACAAAGATTAATTTTTTTMGTTTCAAACATTTGGAGTTACAAAGGATTAGTTTTATAAAACAATTACTAAGTGAAAATTCTCAGAACCAACTATTAACATTTGGAGGCAGAAAAGAACCTTTTCTACTGTGTTAAATTTCTGTAGGGTTTGAAACAACTTTCCACCCCACACTTCGCATTTTCTCCTCTCTCTAAAAAGGGACTGAAATCACCAGAGAGCCGCAAGTCTAAAAAAAGCATTTTGCCTTCAATAGTAATAAATAGCCCTTAGAGGAGGTGTGAAATTCAGACTCAGCACAAATTTATGGTTTGGTTTTGGGTTTTTTTTTTATTTACAGGCAGGAAGATTTGGTTAAGGAAGGCCTTACACCCCTAACATTGGGACTGTGAGCTTGGAAGAGGAGACAAAGCTCAAGTGAAGCTCAATGCCACAGACAAAACTGGTTCAGGGGCAGTTTGGTAACACCAAAAGCACCAGGGATCTCCTCAAAAGACTAATCCCAGCTGGATCTCACTGCCAGGTACTGATGTAGAATCGCCAATAGAAGTGTTACATGTGTGTTCCAAGGAAAGAATCAAAGACCTCCACAATGGGGTGGGGGAGAAATAAATCTTTAATTCCTTTATGTTAGCAAAGTAAGAGTAACATGTGGCAAAACCTTAGGGTGTATGGACAATGCAGTTACATAAGATGTTTACAATCTCAGATTATTTTTAGTTTCAGGGCTGAATGCTCAARTTCTCAAACACAAACAGAAAAGATTCTGTCAATTCCACCTCAATTTCTTTATCAGGAAAACCATGGCAAATATTTTTGCYTTGTTTTATTTCTTAACAGCCAAGGGAAATTTTACATAAAAATACTTTTTGCTGTTGTTGTTGTTCTCTTTCAATTTAAGTTATATGGTTCCKAGAACCAAATACTGCTGTATCAAGCAAGTATATAAGAGTAAGAAAGAACAACTGAGTCATTTATTTCTTTTTTTCAGGTGAAAAAAATCATGAAATATAGACCACAAATAACTAACATTCTTGCAAATAGATCCTATTAAGCTTTTTGTTCCTRTTATTTGAGAGACCTATAAAAAACACCATCCTGCCTCTTAAAATGCAWTTTTTTTAACTCTTATTTTTAACAAACACTTCTTTTCATGCCTACATCTTTATAGCATAGGAAAATGGTAATCCTGGGCCAGATGAGAAGACTGAGGTTGATCTCACTGACTCTATCAATCCTGTTTATCAACCATAWTTTCAAGAGCCGACATTAACACAGCAAGATCTACCAAATACACTTGCTAATATCAGAATTTCTAAGGAGAGATTTTAGTTTTTAATTTGAATGTCAGCAAACAGGGACACATGACTTTACCTGAGACTGTGCATTGACATTGGCCCGATTCGTAACCAACACTTTGACAACTTCTGCTTGTCCAGCGAGGGATGCTATGTGCAATGCTGTGTTTCCTTTCTGGAATTCAAGACAGAGACAATTGAAAAGAGCACAAAACCTGAGCTTGAATATGTAACAACACAATCAAGAACATCTGCCACTTTCAAATATAGTATTGCTTGCAATAAAATACTTGTAACTGAATACTTTAAATGGTTGAGTTATTCTGGAAGACATAGGCAGAAAGCAAAACAGGAATCTATAATTTGCTCAGTAATCTTTCCCTAGCAATCTGTGACATTTACTATCATCCCAAAAGTTTCTATTTCACAATTGCTGAGACCACCCCCCCCAGCAGTGGAAAATGGGCAGTTACAGTCTGTAATCAGCTGGCCAACACCTCGTGCCCAGGCCAGCACTGTGAACAGGGAACAACCAGATAAAACTGACTGACCTTTGTGGCTGCATCCACACTGGCACCTCGCTGGATCAGCTCAGACACAACTTCTACATGCCCTTCTTTGGAAGCGAGGTGGAGGGCATTCAACCCATTCTGATTTTAAAAAGGAAGGAGAAAAAGAAAAGCAATCACAAGAGTTACCAAAGGTTTTCCAGTTTACCAAGCATATGAGAAGACAAATTATTATCCCATTGAGAGGACTGCTTACAAAAACTACACTTAGGTCAACTTTACAAGACCTAGATTATAAGGACAGAGTAAGAATTAAGTCAAGACATACTGGCTCTAGGGTTTCAAGTTTTGTGTGCTGTTCCATGATCTAATGCAATACAAATGGAATGAAAGATAAGGTTAAATAGCACATTCTACAAGTGCAAGTGAAATGGTGTCTGGGTAAAGGGTAAAAAAAAGTTTTAATTGGATAAGGTCTGTAAACTTGGTTCATCAAAAAGAAYGCAAATTATCTTTAACATGAAGTGCAAATATAAAGAGGAATTTGAGAAACAGTAAGGAAGATATTCGTCCAGAAAATTTAACCAAAATATTCAACCTGATTTGAAATGTTGATGTCCACTCCATTTTTTAAGTAGTCAAGAGCTTTTTCCAAGTTGCCAGCTCGCGCTGCTCTCAGGTAACTTGCATTTGTGTCAGACTACAAGAAAAAAGAGAAAGTCCTGTTAGAAACTGTGGCACAGCATAAAAACACATTTCTGTGGCAAAGGAATTATTAATGATAGAACATACTGTACATCCATTTAACTAGACATGAAAGATCCCAAASCACCTCATGAAATGTGGGTCAAATCCCGAGCAGGCAGCACGAGGCTCGAGCTCCCACATGCACATGAATTATGGAGCGCTGTCTCACACGCAAGGCCAGCAGCCAGGGACACATCTGGCACCCAGCACGGTGCAGGAACAGGGGGAGCTCAGGACTGGCCTGCACAGACACCACACTGCTCTTTCCAAAGTGCCACACCACTTTCAATGTCCAAGCTGAACAGACCCAACCAGCACTGTGAGAGCTAACRTGACAGATTTWAAAAAAATTCAAAATAGTCAAYCTCRAAGGACTGGATTGGTGGAATTAAAAAAACYCCATGGTTCTACAAATGAACATATTTTAAAATCTCATGGCTGCTAATATTTTGGTTTATTTTCCCCATCCTCCTTCATTTTACAGCACATTTTATTGACAATGTTGGTCTACAATCAGTGARGAAGTCAGAAGTCTCTAGGTACAGTGCCATTACATAAACTGCATTTTCCTTTTTTTCCCAAACCTTGCATTAAAGATAGCTATGCAAATTTACTTTATGGTGACTTCACCTTGAATGGAAAAATTGCAGCAATGTTGGTTAAGTCATGAAAGAATCACTGAGAGCAAGTCCCATCCCCAGAGGGTTTTAACAAGTTATGCAAATATCCAGGAAGGACAGTTTAGATAATGCTGATCCTGCCTTGGAGCAAATGGATCGAACTGGGTTAGCTTTTAAGAGGGACAAACCACATAATCTTTGATTTTATCTGTGCCACAGCTTTCCTTGGCATCCTGGACTAGATTGGTATAGCAGCAATTGTCTGGGCCCTTTCCCTCTCAGTATCAKTTCATCACAGGCTTACATCATTGCAGCTACCAGTGCTTTATCTTTTGATATTTCAAAGGAGTGCCACAATCACCTTTAAACAATAAAGGCAGTGAATGCTAAGAGAAATACAAACTACCCTGGCACTAAAGCTCAGTTACTCAACTGATGCTCAATTTTATTTATTTTTTTTWWWAAATCTAAAATGTCTAGATTTGCTATAGAYTTCTCTCCTGTCGGTACAACCACTGCAAACTGGGTCTTGTGTCCAAGCATTGCTCCAAGCCCATCGGAAGCCACTTGAATGAGCAGGATGAAGTGATTTTGGGCATGATGACTGCAAAATGATAAGCAGGTAGGAAATCTGCTTTTCTCCTCGTACCCATACAAGCTACAAAAGTATTTTACCAGTACTTCCAATATAACAAGCTCTCTCTTCTAAGGAGAGAACCATTACTTGTGAACTCATTTTCTCCTGAGTTCTGCACATTTGCAATTTTGCAGTGGTAAGTCACCACCTTTCAGCCTTCCCTGCTCTTTATCACTCTTTTCCAAGTGTGCCACATTGATTGTTACAAACCAGCTCCTGCAATGTCCTTCCAACAAAACAGCCCCCAAACAGTGGTGTTTAATTTGGCTTTATCAAAAACAAGGTGGTGCTGCACAGCACACGGTCATAACTATAAAGGCTGTGGGGAGGAAAAGCTGCCTTGAGAGCTGCTTTCATTTGGAAATCATCTGAGTTGTGCAATGCAGATTATTACAGGAGACAGGTCATATTCTCAGCGTTTAGCAACAGCAGTCACCGGGGTAAAAAACAGGTCAGCATTTTATCAGCATTACCAAAGGTATGAGGGAGGACTCAATAGAGCGGGAGCCTTTTTGTCAGAGGGGAATGGCATCTCTGTTTGGCACAGTCAGCAGGGGACGAGAATTCACATCAGCTGTTTACAGCTGCTCTGCCTGGGGAAGGGATGCGCCACAGCCACTCGCTACGGAAAATCAGATCCTGCCAGATGCATTAATATACACAGACCAGAAATGCTGCTCAACTGCAGGCACCTTCAAATCTCACAGGGGCAGGGGGAGAGGCAGAAGGAGCGATAAATAGTTGATAGTCACATTCATTGCTAACTGCATTTCACTTCAGACAGAGAGCAATGCTTGTGTCTTTTGCAAACTTGGGCATGGCTTTTGGACTCGAGGATTCTTGGAAGACTGAGGGACTCTTGGAAGCACTTGCTCACTAACAGAAGGAAGGATAAAGTTCAGGTCACAGTTCCCAGCCTGAGGACATACAAAAATGTTTCAAACCAAGCTATCTCAGGTGCTGCTAAGTGATGCACAAATCCACTCCTGAAATCCCTCAAGGTAACAGCATGTCCTCCTTTGACAGCTATCCCTCAAAACTCACTTCAAAGCAGCTAGAAGTGTCCAGACACATCACTGGCACCAGCAGCCAGGCTGCCATCCGAGCAGCAGGTGTGGTGTTGGGCCCAGCATCCCTCTCACCTTTCAGCCTGAGCTGCCAAAGCTGAGATGGGCTTCCAGCACAAGGGCACTGCACAGGGAGAGCAGCAGGGACACAGCAGGCACAGCACCAGCAGGCAGGAAGCACCTGGAGAAGCTCCTTTAACAGCACACTGGGATAAACCAAACCCTCMCTCTGTTCGGCTGGTCTGAGCCAGCACTTCCAGTTCCCACCTTACTGGTTTCCAGTTCCTTGAATGCGATGTGAGCCAATGTGTGAGACTGCATGGGCTGCCTGAGCAGTCAGGGTGTAACATATGTGTACTCTGAGGAGGGGGAGAACCTTTTTTGGCTAAAGCTCCCAAGCCTGCAGACGGGGTTAACTCCTCCCTTCAGGCCACCAAGCACAGGGGCTTTGGGATTTGCACAGAGGGGTAACAGACTGAGGGTGTACAAATGTGCAAAAAGCTCAGAAGGGTTTCTGGGATTCTCTCCACCCATTTCCACCTCTGCCATAAGCAGAAACGAGCAGTAACATTAGAGAGAAAACAGGGACATGTTGTTGGAAACCAAAAAGCAGTTTCAGCCTCTCTGAAAGCAGCGTTGCCACCTTCCCTATAACCAAGGAATGACTTCAGACCTGCTCAGATAGAGGAGAATTTCAAGCCTTTTGCTGCCTTRCAAAATATCTTGAATATCCTTGTTAAGAAACGTCACTCCCCGAACCAGGAGAACACTATCCAACCAAAAGCAAAGGAATTGATCAAAAATATCAACCCTAAACTCCCAATTTTCTGAATCCAAAATTTCTCAACTTCACATTTGTATTTTAAGCCTAAATTGGCATTTTTTAATACCTCAGTAGAGTAGAAAAATGTTATTTTCAATTAGCACTGTTTTATTTTTAAAAAGAGCCTCTTAGAGTCCCTGCTAGAGCCTGTAATTGCCTCAGTATTGCAGAGAGAAACAGCACCAGAGCCTAAGCTCAAATCACTGATGGATTTTAAAGACCAAAGAAGTGTAAGAACAATGTTCTAATAATTCTAAAAATAATTATCTATCTGGATTGCCATCATTTCTGGAAACCCATGTAAAGACTGATAAACAACCTGTTATWTGAAATGCATTAAAAGCCACAGCAGGGGGGAAAAGGATTTTAGGTTTCCTGCCATCACCYAGAACACCCATGTGCTCCTCTTTCTGGGCAATTCTTCTCCATGTGCTCGTTCCCTTCCACATGAGCTGATGTGTGAAAATAAGAACCCCACACAGACATAGACAGTGTGTCCACAGGACATTCCCCCACCAGAACTAACACATTTATTCTCCAATACTAATAACTTAAACCTCAATGTTCCTGAGAAACATTTTGTATGTTTACAGCCTATTCAGATACCTTTTTTTTTTTTTTTTTAAATCAAATCCAGTATGAAATGAAGATGAAAATTGGTTTTTGATTCTCCATGATCTTAACAAGTATCAAGAGAACAAGAGGCATGGGACACACATCAAAGCACCCTGAGTCTCAGATGTTCTTGCAGCCAGTCACAAAGATTGCAGCCCTTCCTGTGCATTTGCACTGCATCTCTGTTGTCAGGATGTGTCCCTTTCCCTGCTCCCTCTTGGGCTTGCCTTTTCWAACTTTGTATGCAAATGAAAATTAAAAATCAAGATTCTTACAAGYATTTTAATTATGGGAGAGACAAACTTCAGATGCCATGCATACCATTTAGTTATGGAAGYGCTATTCAGAGAATATTTAATAACCAGTGGATTTATAGGAGTACCAGAACTGATGAATGCATAATACCAACCTTTTTCTTCACAGATGGTATGATTTCKCCCCTCTCCTCATACTTTCTTGGAAGAAAAAGGGACTATTTCTAGTTTTAAGAAATGTGCAAATGCAGAGGATTGGCTAATGAATGCAGGTTTTATGCAACCTATATTTCTTTAGGATTTGTGTATTTCCCTTTAACATACCACACCACAAAAAATCCCTTCTCTAATGTACAGCAGGCTGATGAGCTTGCAGACTGCAGGCTGCCTGCAGCACACAACAGGTTTTCCAGTCTGGAGCTCCTTTTCAACAGCCTTCATCCCAGGGACACCTCAGGAAAGGGCTGAGGCTGAATGAGCTGTGCTGGCAGCAGAACTCCATTTGCTAACCCCTCTTTACCTTATGGTCCTACAGTCCTGCCACAAGATCTGTGGTGCACAGGGAACTGAGAACTGTTTCCCCATTTTGAGGAAAAGCTACATGAGTTAAAAACATTTCTATTTCAGCAAAGACTAACTCCTAAGTCACTTGGATATTACCTTATGCCTCCAGAAAATGCTGATGCTGACTCACGCTAGCAAATACATATTCACTCCTTTCCTTCAAGTGCTTTCAGAGAACTAAGAGACTATTTGTCATGATTAAAGATAAAAACCATTAGGAAATTTGCACTGACTGTCAGCCCAGGGTCTGGCCTGGTTTTTSCACAGCACTAGAGAGGGTCCCTTAAGAAAACAGAAAATATGTGTTATTGAGTGAACCCTCTGAAGTGCAAAGCCATTGTTTTTAATGTGCACAGGCCTCCTCCCATACTGG